TACCATTTTAAAATACCAAAAATAATATAAAATAAGATCATATGCAATTTGTATTCATATCAATATGATACGAAAAAAAATTCCCTAAAAGATGACAAATTGACCAATTCTCTGTGTATAAATCTACAAATGATATTATATTGTCGCAGAAGTGGCGAATACTTTGGTTTTTTTTTTTTAAACACATTCTTTTCACACCTTAAGCCATAAATTCGCAGCCCGAAATTAAGCCATTGTCCGCCAATCCCCATTCCTATTGCTATTCCAAGCTCAAGGACCTCGGGCTCGAGCCCCTTCAACCCCTTGAAGTATGCAACAGCCATTTACAACTCCGGCGAGCCAAGATGACCGAGCTATAAAAAAGAACTTACAAAGCAAGCAAAAATGGAAAGCGAAAATGAAGAAAACAAGCAAAGAAAAAAAAACTAAGCCAAAAGGTCAAATGTATTATTAAGCTTCTACTGTGTGAGTGTGTGTGTGTGTGTCTTGGGTGTGTTTCTCTGAAAGTAAACGAGAAATTGAAATTTTTTTTTTGGGTCAAATGGTCAGGTTGTTCTGCTGGCAATCCCTTCCACCTGGTTTTCTGCGGTGGTGACCTTCAAAATTTTGGCCGAGTATCCTGTTAAGCCCTCAAGTATCCTTTTAGCCAAAACCCACACACACACGTGTCATTAGATACAAACATTTTCTGTTTTTTTTTTGTTCTTTTGCGCCACTGGCAATTCGTTTTCCCTTTTTTCATACCCATTCTCGGGCATTTTTGCTTTTTGCCGCTCGTTTTTATTTGCCAAGTGCACGCAATGTGACAAAACGTGGGCGGGCTCAGGTGGGTGGTGGATGGTGAATGGTGGGTGGTGGATGGTGGCTTTGGACCCTGGTGAGAATTATAGTGTCATATTATATAACGTGCTATATACACGTGTGCTCGTACGGCAAAATAAAAATAGAACCACATGTGAGGGCAGGGAGAAAGCGCAGCGGCAACACCATAATTAAAACACTTGCAGTTGTAGTATTAACTGCAAGCCAGTAACCGCTTACGGCTGACACTGGGAGAAAAGCAAATGGGTTTCTAATTGAAATGTGTTTTATTCTTAACCTAACCTATAAAAGTCACTAAGAGATTCTGGTTTTAAGTTTAAATAAATATGTCTCCGAGACACTTTTATTTTGAAAAGTCATTGATAACTTTTAAAATATAAAAATCCAAAAAAAAACTGTTAGTAGACCCTTTTAAAATAAAAATTAAAAGAACAATTAAAAAATAACCCTTTGAAATAACTTTTATCTATAAATGTCAAAATCGTTACGGTCCCTGGTTTCTATTCGAAACTTGACTTAAGAAATATTAAAAAAGAAAAAAATACAAAATTTTGTGAAGAGACTTTCAATGAAGCCTTTTATTTATATAAAAAAAATTTAAAAAAAAATTGCCCTTATAATGAAATGTATAATTACCAATGATAGATGTTATTTGTGGCTCTTTATACAAAATATTATAACATTTATAAATGTTAGTGATTACCAGACTTTTAAAATGCAAACGTCTTTAATTAAACATATTTAATGAAGAGAAGTTGAAGAATATTATGTAGTTGGCCATTAGGAATTATTTCTACGATTTGGAATTTAAAAAGAAAACCCAAAGGGGGAAATGTGGATTTGCGCTTTGAATTTACTGTGCTCAAGCATGCATGAAGCGATTGTTTTGTTGTCGTTTTTCTTCCGTTTTTTTTTAATTAATGAACTAACTTTTGATGTCTGCCACCCTGGCTACCCTGGCCACCCCCGCTCATCACCAGAGTTGCCACTTCTAACTCGCTGCGCTCTCTAGTTTATATGCGATTATGGATGCAGGCCAAATTTTTTTTGGATGTTGCTTTGCTTTTTATTTGTTTGTCTGTGAATTTCTGTTTCGTTGGTTTTCCCCTCCGGTGTTTATGACACTCGACTGGACTAGCGGTTAACATAATTAAATAGGCTGACGGAGGTGAAAAGAAATAACTCTGGCAATTAACAAGAATCAGAATTTTTTTAAGTGAAATTTTAGCAATTAAATTCGATTTAAAAATCTTTAGTTGATAAGTGATTGATCCACCCTCGTTTGTGCTTGCGTCAAAGAAAAAGCTTGTGCCAAATTGCAATTGAAGCGGCTCTCATTACCCACTATCCATCCCCTAAATCAGAGGCCGCCTTCTATATCTCAATGTGCCGAAAGCCGATGGCGAAAGCTAATCAAAAACCACTTAAATGGAAACAGAGGAGGCGCATTAGCGAGTCCTCCCCACCGATCGACCAAGAAAACACCAAAACGGCCCTTTGCTAACAGAATCACCAGGCACGCAATGCCAGTTATCCGTCGTTTTTGCCTTTGGGCCACTATTTTTGAGGTCTTCTTCTTTTTGGCGGATTTGAATTCTCTTTGCTATTATTATTATTATTATTATTATTATTATTATTATAGTATTATTATGCCACGCTGATTGACTCAAGTGAAGGTTATGACATTCAAATTACATTTTCAATAACCGCCGCGCGCTAATCAAACAAACTTGTACAGATCCCTCTCTCTATAATAAATGGTAAAAATCTCTGCATATCGACTAATAGATACCCATATTTTTTTAAGCAATGGTTATCATAGGGTACATGAAATGTCATATTTTACATAAATATTTAAAAGCTTATAATTAAAAAAAAAAATCTTTTTTCTACATTAAAATTATTAATTTTTGGTGAATGAGTTTCTAGTGCTAGGGGCGTTTCAATATTAAATTTAGTACGCAAGCTTTGAGAAACTTAAAATACCACAGTTTTATGCGCGAACACAGGGCATGTAATCACACAAACATCAAGAGCGATGACAGCCCTGGCATGCGATAAAGCCTTTTGGCGACATCGACGACAACCGAGATAGCTATAGATATAGATGGAATATAAAAGCGACGAAAGGGGGGGAATGGGGGATGAGAGTCTACCAACTCAATTATACAAATATTATACAAACATTAGAAATGCATCAAAATAACGAAGGATATTTGTCAAGGCACGGAACGGAACCCTTGGAGAGGCCAACATACGACGACGTGTGTCACTGGGACAAGGATGACTCGGCAGTGACTTTTGCTCCGAGAAAACTGAGAAAACCGAGAAAATCGAGCCTTGGCACACTCTCCAAGGCGCCAGCACGCGCGAAATGGGGGAAAAAATGGGACAACAGGCCAATCAATAACACTGTGCTGGGGATGGATAACAATAATTTAGCAAGGGTTAAGGTTTCCCCTTCAGTTGGCCAGGGGTTAAGGCTCTGGGCATGATAATTGCGATATTTGGAAGGTGACTTGTTGCTCAGGGTTTTAAAGGAAATTGGTAAACCCTTTGCAAACTAACTGTTTAAGTTCAAAGAACTAAAATTATTCTGATTACCAAACTAAAGGTTTTTTATGATACCAAATACTAAATAAATCTATAAAATATTTCCTAAAATTACACAATGATATGTGATAGATCTTAAGTTACCAAAACCATAACGAATTTTTCACTTTAGCCTTACCGTTATGCAACCCCCCATATTTGATTCCCTGATTTGGTACATTTATATAGTTATTATTATTGTTTATCACCCCCAGCACTGCAGTTGTTTGTAATGTCGCGTGTCACATTCAACGAGATTCTTTTTTGGACAACAATTGCCCCTCCTTCAACATCAACATCGCCATCACTCAAGCACAACACCCAAAACCCATACCAAAAACCCATCCCCATCCCCATCCCCATCCCCATTCCATAATAATAGCAACCCTTTCTTTCTGGCACTTCTCCCTGCTTTATTTATATAATTTGTTTCGCATTACATTTGACGATAGCGGATTTTGCGTCGTGTGAAAACAATTAGATGAAGGCAATTCGGGTTGTGGCTTTTACTGGGGCTGGTAGTGGGTAGTATCTGGATTGAATTGATTGCATAACACACACATAGATACTATATATATATATATAGATATATTTTTGAAAAATACTATATGTACCTAATCGGGGCAGGCGTTGGTCAAGCGTTGGCACTGACATTGCGATTGCAGTTCCGGAAAAGTAAACAGTAACCGCACACCAGATCATAAATATCATGAAATTCTTCCCCATTTAATAGGTTTTATTTATAGCTACTTTGGGCTTTTGCTACTGCAATTGTATGGGGCCCTAAGGAATATTCTGTATAGAGCTATTTGTTTCCAATATCTTGAGACCTTACTTGAGGAGATAATCAAAATATCAAAAAGATCATCCTGCTAGCATCCTTTAATATTGGGTGCTCTATTCTATTGAAATTAAATAAATATGAAAATAAAAACAAGAACGAGAGCTGTGACTTCCTGCACAGAAAAAAATTCAATATGAAATATGATCATTTCTACCTTATTTCATATCAATAAAAAGCCGATTAATGTCAAATTTATGAGTCGAACATATCAACTTGATATTTTAAATACTGTTTTAAAATACCAAGTTTAGTATTTTTTTAACAAATATTGTAAAATAAGATAAACATGATCTTAATTCTTGTCAAAATGATATGAATGCTAAGCTATGAATTGTATAAATTAGCAGCTAGCAAGTAGCGCCCCTTTTCGGCACAGTGTACCCAGGAATAGTGCTGATTGAGTGGCTATGTGTATCGCTTATTGGTTCGCAATTGCATCCCTTTGTGCTGCCAAAGCTTTTAGCCGTGTGACAAGCTGTGAGTGAGCTGGCCATTTGGATTGGGGTGAGATAAGTGTGGATTGTGGGGGCTGTTTGATTGGGAAACAAGCGCCAGAGGTCCTTTTTCTCTGCAGTGACATGGACGTGGCACAGGGGGGGGGCTACTTTGTGGGGGTTTTAGTGGATAGGCTGCTGTCCCCACTGCTGAATGGTTTACTTTGCACTGGAGAATATGGAGCATGATGATGGATGATCATCAAAAACACATCAACAGTGATTTTAGATTCTATAGGCGGTAATACCAAACTCGGCGACGAAAAAGTCGCGCAATTTCAATCTGGATTTCTTGGGCTCCTCGCGAGGATGATGGACGGTGATCTGGTCGCCGTCGGCCGATATCATTGTCTCGCTGGGCGGCGATATCGAGTATTGCTGCAGCAGACGACGCTGCTGTTCGGTGAGCTCGTCCAGCGGATCGTGGCTGGTGGACGGACCTCCACCTCCACCTGCCCCAGGACCAAAGGTGGCCGCCACCGCCGAGTAACTGCTGCTGCTGCTGCTGGCTGTGGGCGATGAGGCGGTAACGGCGGCAGCGGCGGCGGCGGCTGAAGCGGTGGCCACGGCGGCTGCCGCTCCGCCGGCGGCGGCCAATTGTTGAGCGATTAGCAGCTTCTGGGCGTGCTCTTCGGCCTCTTTTTGTTTTTTGAAGTCTTCGCGTTGCATATTTATATGTATGTATATATATAACGATTCATAACTCAAATAAAACTGGGACGAGGAGGGGTCAGAGGATATATAGAAATAAAAAACATAAAAAGGAGAAAAAATAAAAGAGGAGAGTCCGGCAAAGTGCCCTAAAAATTCAATTTCAATTTGCAGTTTGACAAATGAAATTTATCTGCCGCCGCTGCTGCTGCTTTTGCTGCCTTTGCTGCCGGTGACAGAGGCTGATGACGCTTCATAGATCAAAATTAATGGCATTTTTTCGGGGGGGAGGGGCAGAAAGAGAGAGGCGGGCAGTGCCATGACCTAGCCCACTCGATGACCTTGACAAATGGTGGGTCTACCGCGACCATCTCGCCCAATCTGTCTCTTTTTCTATTGCCCTTATACTTGGTCATCTGCGAGTGCTTTTTTACAGAAGCCAATCGATAAAAGGGAACCACATTTTCTTCTTTTTGTTTTTTAATTTTTAAAAATCAATATAAGGACAAAAATTTTAATTGAATGTTATTTATTTATTTACCATTTAACAAAGTACCAAAGCAATACTAAGGTAATTAAAGGTAAAAAAAAATATATTATATAATATTATTCATTAATAAATTTGTTTTGTGTAACTTGATTGTTTCTATTGGTTTTTGAGGCCTCAAGAACCTAAGAACAAAAAGTCGTATAGCCTATAAGTATGCTACAATTTACATTTGAATCCTGTAGTCCTGATTATGCATGCCGAAAGACAAAGGCACATTTTTTGGAGCATACTTTTAGACACCTTTTGAAATTATTTCATAGTTTTTTTGCCAGTGACCACTGTAGTTGGGTCGTGTCATCTCAGGGTATGAAAAAAGTGAAAACGAAAGACAGTTTCGGAGGAGGGAAAGAGAAACGCATTGCGGAAATGGACAAAAACCGAAAATCGCAATGTTCAAATGCAATTTCCCCGAAGCGTCGGGGAGCCAGAGCCAAAGTCAAATCTTCGACATTGGCTGACACTTGCAAAACGAGACAAGCGCTAAGCGGCTTAAGCAACCCTCGCAGCTCGCAGATGTTGGGCGGTTGGGTTTTGGGGTCTGCCCAGCAGGAAGAAGGGAAACCCAACCCAAAACCGAAGAGAGGTTGCAAAAATGTAAACTATTTAGCGCTTTTACGCTTTGCAGGAAGGTTGCATGATGACGATGATGACACAACCCCCACCGCGCTTTCTAAGCCCCCTACAGTAGACATCGGCTAAGGCAGCTTTTTCTTTTAACGATAGGAATATTCTTAGAAACTTTACATTTTTATACGTATCCATCGAAGAAACTCGAAGTCAGCTTACGTTTTTAACACAACCAAAATTTAAGCTAATGAAACGATATAAATTTAAGCTACCCAAAAGAAATGTAGTACGTTATGATGAGCATTTTTATAATATTACATCATTTTGTACGAGATATTAAAAATTTAATTGCGATATAAAAACATTTTAATCCGATAATAAAATAAGATTTTTTAGATTGAAATAGAGGTGGGATATGAACCCTGCCTCCAACCTACTTTTCTATCGTATGCAAACAAAAAATTGTGAGTATTTGATGTTAAAATTTGTATTTAATATTGCCTTTTTTCGAATAACAAATATCTCTCAAAACTAACCGATATTAACCAAAAGAATATCCAATATTATTCAATCATTGCTCATGAAAAATGAAAAATTTATTAAACGGTCTCAACCGATATTTACTAGCGATGATCGCGTGACACGACTAGTGGTCCCGCCCTAACGGTCAGTGGGGTTATTTGCCGCTAAGCTCCTTATCGAGAACTCATGTGATCCAATTCCATTCCTTCGCCGGCGAATTCATGGCTGCATACGTATGAACATATATATTTAGCTTGAATCACGCCCGTGTTTATCAGCACGATGACGTCATGGGCATTCGATATAGTCGAAAAACTAATAAACCAAAAATCATTGAGAGACAGTTGATGAAAGAGACGGCACTAGTAACAGCGCGATCGCTGTTAGCGTTATGTAAACGCTAATGAGTGTAACAGTAGATGTTGTTGTCGTTTTCGTTATTGTTGTTGTTGCCGTTTTCCGAGAGGAGCAATGAAAATCAATTAAAACTAATTGATTCAAGAGTCAAATTCAAACGGTTGCAGCAGCGGCGGCGGCGAAGAAAAAGGGGTTTTTTTAGAGAGAAAAATAAACTACCATTTAAGCGAACAATGTGCAATAATTAGAAAATGCAATCGCACACACAAACACACACACCGATAAACTGGGTTATAAATTAAAACGGGGTAGGACAGGGGCGGGGATCGGAAAAGGAAAGTCCGAGGGGGTTTGGGCGCATTTACTTACTCTCCAGCAGCCGCTGTATCAAACTGTCCACATTCAGATCGAAATCGCCCATTTTTCAGCAGCTAAATTGTTCTTCTTTCTTCTTGGCCGCGTTTTGTTGTTGTGGCCAGCTGTTCCAGAATTCCGATTGGAATTTTTGGCGCAACAACTACACGCACGCACACACGCACACAGCGACGCCCGTTTGGCTTATATACTTATTGTAAACAACAATTTTCGAACAATCGCTATTTGTATTTGTATTCTTTTACTTTTTTCCCATTTGCCGCAAAAGGCAATTTCACTTTTCTCTCTTTTGGTGGGCCGCTAGTTCACTGATGTTGCACGAGGGGCAAGAACAGAAAAAAAATACGCACGGCCGCTCGACTTTCGGTGTTTTCGATATGATTCGATGCGATTCGATCGCAAATCGGTCGGGGAATATACGTATTTGTATGCGGGGGGGCTGAGAAATCGGCTTAACTGAGAATTTATAAACCACCGTAATTTTCTCTCCGCCAATAACAAAAATCGTCAGATCAGAATCGCCAGCTAGCTGAGTGTGACCGTTTGCCGGAGGGCAGGAAAAGTTTTGGAAAAGCCAGGGCCACTATCGATATATCGATAGAAAAGCAGTGCTAAGCAACGCGGCAGGGAAATGTCACTGGGCTTTTACTGGATCCCTGGTGCTTGTCATTTGAAAATCATTTCTAGAAGTCATTTCTACGGGAAAGAAAAAAAGATTAATTCTTAGATTCTTAACGAACCAGAAGCAGAAACAAAAGGTATGTACTTTTTTCACTCCTTTTATTTTTCTCAAGGAGTACTCCACCTCCACCAGCTGAAATCATCATGCCGCGTCGCGTTGAGCCGAACTTTTTACAATTCATTCGCGCTAATGGACGGCACTTGTGGAAAGGATGTCTCTTGATGGCCATTTCCTTGGCCATCAGCGTCTTTGATGTCGACAGTGTCTTGGCCGTCTGGTTTATAACGCTGTTCGGCTTGGAGTGGAATACAGAGCACGGGTTCAATTACTACATGGCCGTCTTCCTTTTTGGATTATCGCTCGTTTTGGCCCTATTCGCTGTGTATTGGCAACGACGTTTCAGAGTTCTCAATATGAACCGCTTGAACTAGGATGCGACGAAGAGGAATTTTAGCAGGAAATAAAGGCTAACCTTGAATTAAAAGAGTGTTTTCATTACAAAAAATAAATGTTAAAAGAATAGAAAAAGAAAGAAAACGAAAAAGAAAATGGCGAATCTGGCAAAAACTTGCAAAACTTTTCTAACCTAACTTTTAGGTTGGAATTTTGTTTGCAGGGGTTAAATAAAAATAAAAATTATTTTAAATTAATAAAGGTTAGCCTAATTTTGCTATTTATAAAAACGATAATGTATTTTACAAAAATAGCTGGCAGGGGAATAAGGCTACCCTTAAATTAAAAAGAATAATCAGTGCCACTGTTTTTATTACAAAAAAAAAAATGAGAAGAAAGAAAACGAAAAAAAAAAATGGCGAGTCTGGCAAAAACTTGCTGCCTAATTTTCTAACCTCACTTATGGGTTGGAATTTTGTTTTGCAGGGGCTAAATCGAAATAAGTATTTTTTAAAATAAATAAAGTCTAACCTAATTTTGCAATTAATTAAAAAGTATGATTTATTTTCCAAAGTTTGCTGCCCGGGGAATCCCAGGTAGTTGGTCACTTTGGAGCACTGCCAATCGCGGTTTCGATAGGTTTTCCCACCCCCACCTCCTCCGCCTTCGCTGGCTGTTGTGCAGCCCTGGCAACCGCGCAAACATAAATAAATGCTCCTCGGTTATTACATTTATCCATTTAACCGCCGGCATGAACTACTTTCCCAACTACTACTCCATCGAGGACATATTCGTGACCCAGGAGAAGGTGGAGTGCCGGGTGAACACCAAGCTGCAGCGGATGGGTGAGTGAAAGCGATGCCTTGGAGCTCCTTTTAACTTGAGGTTCTCCAAAATCCCTAGGATTCCTGGATTCTGGAGCTGAATCCGATGATTTAGAGCCCGGACGGACGGTCAACCTGCCGCTGTGGTACATCAAGGAGCTGAAAGTGAACAATGCCTACTTCACCGTCGCCGTACCAGAAATCTATCGCAACGTGCACAAGGCCGTCTGCGAGGCGGAGACCACCCACATCGAGCTGGGCCGCCTGCATCCGTACTTCTACGAGTTCGGCCGCTACCTGACGCCCTACGACCGCAACCACGTCATCGGGCGCATCATCTTCGAGACGCTGCGCCAGCGGGTGCGCCACCTGCTCGACATCTCCAAGAGCGACGGCCAGGCGGCCAAGGCGGAGCACCGGCTGGACAACATCGAGGCCAAGCTGCACGAGGCGGGCGTGCGCACCCACAGCCAGGTGGGGCATGCGTATGGGTATAGGGGCTACCACAATTGGTGGCTCCATATGCCATCTAAGTCTCAGTGTTCAATGGAAGATGGCAATCCTTCTAAAGAGTCTGTTTTCCCCCTCTTGGAAGCTCCACATTCCATATATCCTATGTATACAAATTCCTCGAAGGTTCCTTAATCCCTCCTTCACTTTATCCTTTCACAGCCTTCAATTTACTATATATTTTTTGTATATATGTTCCCCAAAGGATCTTTAATCTTAGTTTTTAATGGTAGATGGCAATCCTTCCTCAAAAGATAGCTCTTGATAGCTCCATATTCCATATATTCTATGTGTAAATATTCATCTGAGGTTCCTAAATCCCTTCTCCACCAATTCTTCCTCAACAGAGTCTGTTTTTTCCCCACTTTATCCCTTCATATCTCAATTTTCCATATATTCTTTGTATACATGTTCCCCAAAGGATCTTTAATCTCAATGTTTAATAACAGATGGCAATCCTTCTTCCAAAGAGTCTGTTTGTCCCTCTTGGTAGCTCCATATTTTCATATATTCTTTGTATACATGTACCTCTGAGGTTCCCAAATCCCAGTTTTCAATGGCAGATGGCAATCCTTCCTGCAAAGAGCCTGTTTTTTCCAGCTTTATCCCTCCACAGCTCAATTTAATATCAGTTTTTAATAGTAGATGGCAATCCTTCCACCAAAGAGTCGCTTTTTGCCTCTAGGTAGCTCAATATTTCATATATTATATATATACAATATTCCTCTGAGGTTCCTAAATCCCAGTATTCAACGGCAGATGGCAATCCTTTGCTCTTTCCCACTTATACCCACATTACACCAACCATAACTAAAATCACTTTGCCATTTGCAGTACATCGAATGGCTGCAGATGACCGGCAACAAGATCCGCACCTCGGAGCTGGTGGAGGAGCACCAGAAGAAGCGGCGGCGGGCCGATCGCAGCGATGACGAGGGCGAGTCCCTGCCCAACAGCAAGCGGGCCACCTTGTGACCTGGACCAACCCATCCCAACATAAACTGGTGTCTTGGAACTGTAGCAACTTTATTTCGTCCATTCTTTTTGGTGGCCATAGGGCAGCCTCAACTCTCAAAAATACACATCATCTACGCAATCGGCTACAGCCATTTGTACGGTTCGAAAATACATACATGGGTTCATCGCATACACATCTACACATAACTAAGCATCCGATCTGGGGGCCCGGTCTTAAACTAATCTATTTGGAGCTGCCGGCACGCGCTTTAAATGGACCTGGCAATAAGCCAAACAACCGCGCATCCTTATACGATTTTGCGCCACATTATTACATATAAATAGTTAACTACATATATAATTATAATCTTGTAAGCTCAATTAAAATTTGATTTTGTGCTAGTTTCACATACATTTCACAAATAAACATTCACCAATGTCAGCATATACATAGGTAGTTCGTTAAAAGCAAACAATAGGACTTCATTCTATTCCGGGGACCGCGATGCTTACAAGTTTTCAATGTCTGGACTGGGCTTTTCGTATCTTGGAAGAGTTTTCAATGGAAATATTTATTTTCTAGATGTAATTAACTAAAGAAATTTATTATTAGTGCTAAACGTAATTATAGTTCTGATCAAATTAAACACTTCAATAGTACAGTACAGCTTTTCACTTTTATGAATTTTTTTTTAAATATATGCTCAAAAAGAACAAGTTTTCGGAGTGAAAAAAAAAGAGTTGTGATCTCAATGCAAATAATAATGTAATCCAAAATAATAAATACAATTACGAAAACTTATTTTTTTATTTTTGTGAAATTATTTTAAAATTTGGCTTCATGGTTTCATAGTTAAATTGGAGAGGAGCATAGGTCTACGGTCCCCGGAAATCTATATCTTTTTTTAACACTAGGTATACAATTCCCTTCGCTTCACAATATTAACTCGCAATATATGCACATCGAACATTCCTAGTTATGCATCTGGCCAATTTCCTTTGGCTTTAATATGCTTTTCAGTTATCTCTTCTGCATTCGCTATATATTTCTAACAGCATTCCGATTAACAACATCGATTTCGTGGATATAGCAAGAATTGAATGCAACATTAATGCAACATTTATGGTTAGGGGGCTTGCTTCAAAAAATAAGCAACATACATATATGTAGTTAGTTTATTCGCTTTATCTGCATTTGGTTTTAGTTTTGTTTTTGTTCTTCGTTTTTTTTTTGTTGGTTTTCTTTTCATGTTTTTAGTAAATAATGTCTTTTTACAACTAAAGATCTGTCCCGGGTCTTATTATTTTGTATTTTTCTCGTAATCCTCCCTCGATTCTTTTTTCGTGTACATTTTCCGTCCGTCCCGTTGAGTCGTTGTTGTATAATTAATTGTTAAAAATGTATAAACAATAGCAAGATCTCCGCAAAATGGAAGCGGCTGGAACTGTGCCTCAAAATAAATACATGGATACAAACAAGTAGGTTACAATTTGCACTAGTTTTTGCCATTTGCGAGGGCGGTGGGAGTGGGCGTGGCCGCAGACGTGCCTGGAAGGACGGCGTTGGGCGGTCGTCGCTTCTGCGGCAGGAAAACCTAAAAAAAGTAGACGAATACACGAAAGTGAGCGAGTAGGAACTATGCAAAATCTTCATTTGTAAGTAAAAAATTACTAGTAAATTATGGAAATAAAGTACAAGATAAAGGCCATGTAAAATAATAAACAATATTTCTTAGTTTAGTCACTAATCTGCAGTCTTCATTTTTTAATAATAGTTACTTAAGATAATATCTTCCTTTGTAAGTATTAGATAATTAAGAAATCATTATTGGAAGTAAACTACAAAATAAAAGAAATTTAAAATAATAAACAATATTTCTTAATTTGGTCCCTATTATGTAGTCTTCATTTTTTAATAATATTTGGTTTAGATAATATCTTTATTTGTAAGTAGTTAAGTAAATAATGGAAATAAACTAAAAGATAAAAACCATGTAAAGTAATAAACAATTTAGTCACTAATTTGAAGTCTTCATTTCTTAATATAATTCACTTTAAATAATATCATCATTTGTAAGTAATATATCAATAAGAAATCCTTATTAAAAATTAACTACAGCTACTACCAAAGCAATGATATTTCGTAATTTAAAATGTAATTTTAAGAAAATCGGTAGACTATATAAAACTATTGGAAAATTGATGCGAAATTATTTAAAACCAAATTAAGAAGTCGGTAGGTATCTTCGACTTTTGGGAATCTTACTTTTTAAATATTTCCGAACTTTAAATTCATTTTATAATAAATCAGATATAAAATAGATATAGCTGCCATAGGAAGAATAAAAAAAGTATGTTCGAATTAAGAAGTGAAGAACAAATCAAAAATTCAAAATTCACAGTTTTTGTAAGATTTCAAAAATTAATTTTTAATTTTATAGGTACGATCTAAAGGGTATTTCCTTTCTTTTTTTTCTTTTTTAATAATATTTACTTGGACACCCACTCACCTTGAGAGCCCCCAAAACCATCAGATAGAACCAATAGAGCTGTGGCAAGAACAGAATGGCGATGCTGACGAGGCAACCGCGCGGCAGCCCGCACATGGCCGCCCACATGGAGGCCGCCTCGATGGCCAGGCTGTAGCGCCACATGACATAGGGCCACATGCAGACGCGGCACACGAAGAAGGTGGCCAGCATGAGGAGTCCGTTGGCGATGTAGACGCGCGAGTCCTTCAGGCGCATGGTGCTCAAAATGCTGCGCAGCGAGACGAACGGCGTGGAGAACTCCATCATGAACATGTAGCTGTATATGCAGTGGCCTCCGCCGCGGATGTACTGAAATTTACATAAGATATTAGTTATAAAAGATATAATATAAGAAGATATAAAGCCCATACCGTCACCACCAGCAGACCAAAGGTACCGATAAAGACGTGGTGAATCATCATGACCGGGTGCGTGAGGACGTACTTGAGGAAGTCCCATCTGCCGTCCTTGGGAATCTGCACGCAGGCGCCATCGTAGTCGCAGATTTCGTGTGGAGTGCCCGGAGTGCTGCCGTTGTTGTTGCCCCCAGATGACTGACCATTGACCTTTCCGTTGGCCGGATGACCATTGCTCACCAGCTCAGTGTTCTGATTTTGACCCTTGGTAATGCGCAGCAGGTGCAGCTTGTCGGCAATCTTCTGGGTGTGCACCTTGTACATCGACCAGATGTCGTACATAAAGTAGGCGGTGCCGAACCAGCCGTAGGCCTCCATCAGGAAGTGCGACGCGTACACGAAGGACTTGGTGCACGTCGACTTGCAGACGATGAGGCCCACGAGGAAGGAGAACGACGCCTGGATGGCCGATACGATTCTGAAAGGAATAAAGACAGTGGTTAAATTGATGCTTTAGAGTTATTTTAACGGAATAATGCTGATATATTGGATTTATTACAAATGTACAAATGCCTTTCTCTGAATTTTATACATATTATTTTGACTTGGGTAATACTTTTACTGATGAGTCATCAGTAAAGACATAATATCATAAAATACCTTATAAATAAATGATGTATGTATAAATGCATTCTATCTATTTACATATAAGTTTGACTTGGTTACAATATTTATTTATTAGTAAAGTAACATACCTAATAAATAAATGATATATGTAGTACTTTAATAGAATACTACTGATAAGTGCATTTTGTCTACAAATGTGATGTCTTAAGAAGCCTTTTCTCTAAATTTCATATTATTTTGACTTGTATTTTACATATTACTGTAATATTACATAATGTTATAAAATATCTAATAAATAAATAGTATGGTATTTTAATAAAATAATACCGATAAAATGCATTAATTATATAAAAATGTGGCGCCCTAAGAAGCCTTTTCATTTAATGATATTATAATGTTATAAAATATCTAATAAATAAATAATAGAGAAGCAGGTTTATCTAAAGACCTCAAATCTTTTTAATAATTTATGCAAATTTCACATATTTAGCGGTTCTCAAAAGCGGGTCCATCGCCTCAAAATTCAACTAAAGCTACAGTTTTCAAAATATTTCATATATATCTCCGGAAACAACTCTAAATTTTAGGTAACCAACTGGAAGAAGTCATCGCCTCCCCAAAAAAAAAAGGAAATAAAAACAGGAACAGTCTCGAAATGGAGCCATGTGATCCCGGACCCGAGCGGGTGATGCGGCAATATCTGTCCCAGTTGCTGGAGACGGGCACCACTCGTTCCGCCGGCTGCCTGGACCGCTTCGTCACCAAGGGCATGACCAATTTTCCGCCGCCGGCGCCACCGCCACCTCCTTCCTCCTCCTCTTCCTTCTCCCTGGAGGGCAAGGCTTCCCGCTGCTCCCTTTTCGAGCAGCTTCTCTCCGGCGGCAGCCGAAGATCCGAGCGTCTGTTGGTTCCCGATCTGGCCACCGAGTGGTTCCGCAAGCAGAAGGTCTTTCTGGACAAGCTGACGCCCGAGGAACTGGCCGCCCTGAGCGATGGTCTCTCCAAGAAAGGTCAGAAGAAGGATCCAGAGGCCACCAAGGTAGCCACCTGCCTGCCCACCACTGAAAACCGAACGGGTAATGCAAATCCCTTTCTCATCGCTCAAAAGGAGGAGATTCGCGGAGGAGGAAGAGGCAGCTGCTCCTGCCTAAAGCGTCGCAGCTGCAGTTGCCTCTTCCAGGCGGATGGACAGCCAGTGGCCACGGATTGCCTCTCTGCCCGCCGGACGGAGCCGCTGCTGCCGCGCCTGCGCCGCAAATTCGATCTGCGCCAGGCGCCCCAGCGGCGTCTCGATCCCGCGCTCTTCCGCCGCATCTCCCCGGAGTTCTTCCGCATCCTGGCCAGCTACGAGGAGGCCATGAGCGAGAGCTGCCCGCTCTACGGCATCTCGATGAATCACTGGGGCGACACCAGGGGATGTTGTCCGTGTGGTGAGCATCTCAAGAAGAAGAGGGGCTTTCTGGGTGATGAGAAGGTGGCCACCGGCGTGGTGCCTCCTCCCAGTTGGCCGCCATTGGAGAGGGAGAGGAGCCAGAGTTCCAGCTCTAAGAAGAAGTCTGTTAAATATGCCAAGGAGAAGCTGAAGAGACCATGTCATAATGAGACCTGCAACAATGAAGCCTGTCGCGGAAGTCCAAAGGAATCCAAGGAGTCTAGAGAGTCCAAGGAGTCCAAGGAGGAGGTGGTATCCTCCGCGGATGAGAAGAGTAAAAGGCCAAGGAAAAAGGAGGAGGATCATCAGCAGCTTAAGCAACTGCAGATCAGGCAATCGGTCAGTCAATCCTCCAATCCCTCAGAGAATCCTCAGCCGGAAAGGCGACTGTGGGGACGAGAGAATCAATCGAATCCCCCGGAGAAGCGGAGAAAGTTCACCAATTGCTTTCGAAGGCCACCAACGCAGATCTACAGAACCACGAACTTTGCTCCTCCTCCACCAGTCGTCCAACCATGTCAGGCTCATCCTTTAGCAAACCACCAACCCAAGGGCATCCTGGGTGGCTTCACGGGCATCTGCAAGCGCTGCATGGAGCCGGGTCGTCATCTGCTCTACAATCTGAATGCCAATTACCAGCAGAATCGCGAGCGTTATGGGCAAATCCGGAAGGAGAAGCTGGAGAGGAAGCGGCAGAGGGAGGAGATTGGCAGGAGAGGAGATTGGGAAGAGGAGGAGGAGCAGGCCTTGGAGGAGGTGGACAGCAGCACCACCACCTTGAGACCCCAAAATACGCAGGGGAGGAGTGAACATTCCTTGCCCTTTCGCACGCCCACCAGTGAACGCACTTTGGCGGGATGGAATCCATCCGGAAATCCAATAAAACCATCTAATCCCCATGAGAATCACCCACCGGAGCAATGCAACCAAGCTCCAAAGCAATGCCAGTTGGACTGCAAGTGTGGACTTCCTCAGGAGGCCTTTCAACTGCCGCCCGTTGAGAGGTGCACTTGTCCAAAGGATCCTCCGGAACAACAGGTTCTCCTCCAGATTTCAGAGGTCCAAGAAGTCAAGAGGTCATTCTCCAGCGAGGTGGAATATGCCAAGTGCGGTCATCGAACGAAGGCGTGCTATTTGGCCAATGATTTCCACCAGCTGATGCGACGGGTGGCCAGGAGAAGACCTCCCACAGGTAAAACCAAGATTCCCAAGTCTCATAATAGACTTCCTACCAAGTCGAAGGAGGCACCACCAGCTGTGTGTCCCGTAACTCCAGAAGCTTCAACCAAAACCCATTCAAAACCAAAGGTTAAACCAAAACCAAAAGTAAAACCCAAGGCAGAGGAAGGTGTGATCAACATTCCCATTCCCACCAAGCTTAAAAAGATTAAGGAATCTCCAAAGGAAGCCGCCAGTTCCCTCAACTTATCCGCTTGCCAGGCACAAAGCGATATTCCCTCAGTAAGAAGAGAATCCCAGGAAGAAAAGACTTCTCCTCCACCTCCAAGCAGAGAATCTCCAAGGAGCACTTCCTCAAGAGAAAAAGGAAGGACACGAATGATCTGTCGATCAAAGAGGAGTTCAAGAAGTCCAAGGAGTCCCAGGAATCCCAAGAGAACCCCCTCCTGTTGTTCCTTCTGCAGCTCCTCCTTGGGAAGATCAGGAGGAGAACGAAGAAGACGACGACGAGTCAGTCGGAGCTCCATTTCGGATGTCTCCTACTGGAGGCCTCCCAGGAAGCAGCAGGATTGCAGGCAGAGATTCCCATCCAGTTCCTGCTCCGATGCCTGGGAAGATCCGCCCTTGAAATCGGCCATGAAGAAGGCACCCATCCAATGGCAGCCGGATCCCTTGGAGCACTTGGAGACGGGGCGACGCTACTACACGGATACCCAGCCGAATAATGGCCACCTGGAGGCGGGACCCCGCTGCAGCTGTCGTTCGCTGCGCTCCACCAGCTCCATCCGAGCACTGAGCTCCAACACGGACAGTGTGCGATGTCCCTGTGCTCCGGCGCCATCGGTGGCCAGTGTGGAGGAGGAACAGGAGGAGGAGGAGGAGCAGGGACAATGCATGTGCTGCAGATACCACACTCCTGCTCCTCATGGACAACCCATGCCGGAGCCCTACTTCCAGCCCAGTTCTCCTGCTCCTAATCCTCATAACCAATCCATGATGGAACCCTATTTCCAGCCCACTTCTCCTCCTTCTCCTCCTGCTCCATGTCGACGTCCAAGGAGTACGTTTTTCAGCGGAGCTCTGAGATGGGAGCCACGACAGCACCATCATGCCCGCACCCTACTGCGCACCCAACGTCCTCCGCCGCCAAAACACCAACACTTAGCCAGTTATCCCCATTATCAGGAGGAGAATCCCCCGGAATGGATACCCAATTACCCCGCTCCTCATCACTATCCCCAACCCGTAATCCCTAATCCCCAGTGGGAGCAATACTACGGGCAGGAGGAGCCTAATAACTATAACATGCAAGAGGATCCAGGGACAAGAAATAGCTACCATTCAGGAAGAGATCGAGGTGGAGCCATTACAGCCGCTGCCCAGGGACTTCGGGGTTTGGTCAACGCTTTGGGGGGAACTCGGATTAGGTCGAGGCACCACTCTCATCAGGATTACTATCATCATCAAGGGGAAAGATATTCTGAAGGTCAGCCAACAGATTATATCAACAGTTTTCAAACTCCAGAGGCGACAAACATCCTTCCCAGGCGAAATTTCAACGGGTACAGGGATAATCAAGTGGATGAAGGGCTGACCAACAGGGGTAATGTAAGACGAAGCATGGAGAACGAACAACAATCGTGGTTCCGGATGAAAGCTGGAGGAGCAGGAGGAGGAGGAGGATCACCTGGGTTTGTTTTCCCTGGTTGTGAAATAGATTCCCGAAGGAAAACCGGAGGAGCAGCTTCATCCCTCAACGATGGACAAGAAAAGTGTCCAACTTCCACGCCACTTGCCATATTCTTCGACAGCCTGAGAGCAAAACAAGCTGCCTCGGAAATCCTGGCAAGAAACACACAGCAGCCCAGAAAAGTGGATACTTTGGAGAATGTGCCCAAATCCAGGCGAAACATGGATGGCCACGCCACATCCTCATCCTCGTCATCCTCCAGTGATAATGACATACGTGATTGGAGCAACAGGCAAAGGCGACGGCGAAGTCCCTCCGAGGAGACCATGGTCATTCCGTCCACCTACACGGGTCTCCTCGAGGAGCAAGTGCTCGGCGAGTATTTGCCCAGCCCACGGTGCAAACGAAGGATCTCAAGAAGTCCATAAATCGCTAAAGAGAAATATTAAAGATCATGCTGTTTCTAGCTTTGTTGTGAAACTTGTGAAATACAATAGCCACCTAGTGAATGATATGGTTTTTCAAAATTTCTAAGATGCATAAATGTAAATTTTAGGAGATTCTGGATCCTGGCGTTACGATCTTCATATCCTACTGTCTTTGGTTGTGAACTGAATAATTCTGCAAATGTAGTTGCAAGTTTCTAAACTTTCTGTGATAAAAAATCATGAGCCGGATCTCCAGGGGAATTATGTAACCAAAGAGTATAAAGTCAAGAAGTCCATAAATCACAAAATAGGAATAATAAAGATCATTATTTATCTAACTTTGTGTGAAATAAACTAGCCTAGAGCTTGAAAATTATCGATATTTTCGATATTTTCACAATATCGATACGATACTATAGATGTTTTAAAGGGAAAACTCCTTTTAAATATGGATAAATCGCTATTGAATAGCCACCTAATGAATGATATGGTTTTTTAAAGACAAATTGAATCTCTAAGATGCGTAAATTTAAAAAATTCAGGAGATCCTGAATCCTGGCGTTACGATCTTCATTCTACAGCTGTAGTTGCAAGTTTCTAAGGATTCTATGTTACAAAATCAAGCGAATCTTAATTTGCCATCCCGTCTAGCATTTAAAAACCAAGCCACAGACCCTTAGCAATACGGAATTTAGGTAGATTTAGTGGGACAGAGATTAATGCGAGAATAAAGAGACTACAGACTCGACTGGTTCCTTTGTCGGTCGCCTCCCTGCATCCTGACGCCCGCCTCCGGGCCTCCCTTCTTCTTGGGCGATCCCGTGGAGTTGCGCGACTCGCGGCGCGAACCCTTCTCCGAAGCACCGCCCGTCTTCTTGGGATTGGAGCTGCGTCGCAGGGAGCTGGCGGTGCTGCGGATGACTGGTGAGCCGCTCTCGGTTCTCGCGGCAGGTTCCTCGGGTTCCGGCACCCGACGCGTGCAGTAGATCTGCGGAGTGATCGTTCTGCGCAGCGGCTTCTTCTGCGCATCCGCATCCTTGCCCTTGATCTTCGACTTGGGCCGTCGCCGCCTGTGGATCACCGCATTCTTGTCCGTGGCCGCCACCTTGTGGTACAGCCGGCACAGTTCTCCGCACTGCCTGGCGCTATAGAAGCGCCTGATGCGTCCCTCCTGCTCCAAAATGCCGCACACCAGTTCATCCAGCTGGACAAGCTGCAAAGCCAACAGCAGGCCATTCAGATCCACGGGACAGGCGGCCCGCTCGTTGAGCCGCTCCAGCATGGCCAGTAGTTGGGTGCGCTGCTCGGGAATTAGCACAGGGCCAAGGAAGATCAGGCGCAGCAGCTTGTAGGCATTCGACCGGTCCAGCGGATCGATGGGCTGGCCGCAGCGATCGAAGAGGCTGTCGTAGATCTTCAGATCGTGCAGCTCCGAGTAGGGCGCCTTCACGTGCTCCATCACCGACCAGATGCGATCGCGCGGAAAGCGAGGGAGCGGCCTGCTCTCGTGGTAGGCCAACTGGAACAGGGTGGTCAGCATCTGGAAGCGGCTGACGCGGAACAGGCAGCTCAGCGCCTCCAGGATGTGCTTGTTCCGCTGGCAGCTGCAGCGGCACTCGTTCTCCGTGTTGCGATGGCTGCACAGCGAGCACTTGGGACCGGGACAGCCATAACGGATGGTCGCCGGACGCAGTGGCTCCAGCGGCAGAGGGCAGGCGTCGCGGCAGCGGCAACAACAGGGAGCACAGCACATCGTCTCCTCTCGCCTCGAATCCCGCGCCGAAAAAACTACTAATTTAGACTAGGTTTTTTTATGAAAAACTCGATTGATTTCCTCTGAGTGAAAAGAAATCCATGGCTATGGAAATTGACAAAGAAATATAGGTATATCAATTGGATATTCGCAGGTGAAATATATATTACTCGCAGAGTAACGCTCACATCTTTAAAGATTTATGAAAAGTTTGAATGCAAATTTGTTGTGTTTAAAAATACCCATCAAAATGTAGAAGAAATTTTTTAAATCAGACCGTTCATTCAAAAGTTATGTGCAAAAATATAAACAGCCGCTGGATGGAGCCAACAAACATTTCAACAGCCGCTAGATGGCGCCAGTAGCTTTGATGACTGCATAGCTTTATCTCCCTTTACATGAGTAACGGTTATCTGCTCAGAGAGGAATATGTAAGCACAATTGTTCTTGAATTGAGAACATTCGTTTTTAAAAACACATTTTTTTCGTGTAAGATCGAGAACATTCGTTCTTGAAAACCGGATAAGTACGTTTTGAATTCAATTTAAGAACAAAACGGTGAGAAGGGAAAAGTTTAATTGCGTTTTTAGCAACTTTATTAAACAATTTTAGATGACTGAATAAACTAACTATTCACTTATTGATATCAACTATGTAAATACCGCCAATTTAACTTGATTCAAGCACTTTAAACCAACAATAACTTAAAAAATATCCTTATACTTTTAAGAATATTTTAAACTCAAATAAATTCTCTTTGTGTAGCCAGGATTTAGTTGAGTGGAGGGTTTTCAGTACAAATTTTGCGAATAATATTTTTGAAACCCGTATTTTCCATAGGATTTAACCCCCAATATCCTGTTAAAATCTATTAAAATGATCTATTATAACTTCAGATAACTTGAAGTCATTTCATGTTTCTAATCATAGTTTACCATTTTTTGGTCATGAATCGAAAAGCATAGTAGCTGACCCAGTCCATGTCATTGCTATTCACTCTTTATACCAATCACTATGTTAAATTATCGAAAAAAATTAAATCAAAATCGTTTTTAACCATTGAGCAAAAGTACACAGTATAAATTTGAGATTAGTTAAAATTCCCATTCGACCAAAAAAGAGCGCAATGTCCCAGGAAATGTCGAAATTTTTAGGTGGAATCCGCCGTGGCACTCCCCAAGATCGAGCCAAGGCGATCCGAAACAGGGGAGGAGCAGCTGGAGGAGCAACTGCCCAACCAAGCCAACCTACCCAACCACCCAGGTGGAATCAAAGGCCACCGGTTGGCGGAGCAAGTGCAGCAGCCCCCAAGAAGACGTTGAATAAGGCGAAACCAGGTGAGCCAAGTGGAACAGGAGCTGTTCCCAAGAGAGCAACCGGAGGTGGTCCAACTAGGGTGTTCCAAACCACGGCCACCTCCACGTTGCGTCGCCGGCAAAATCCGCCCCCTCCGCCAAGAGTGGCCGTTCCGCGGCGCATCATCGAGGTCAAGTGGATCATGAAACCATCGCAGAGCTTCGTGCCGGGCAGCGAATCCTCCTCGGAGCCAGAGGTAGACTCACCACGCGGTGAGGGAGACAAGAGAACCAAGGTGCGAGCCTCGCGACTGTTCCGTGTGCCCAGCCAGCGGATCATGCATGTCGAGGAGCTGAAGCAGGCGCAGCTGCAGCAGATGCATCCACGCAGGACCACGAGGAGCAGCCGTTCACGTAGTAGGTCAACCAGTAGGTCAACAAGTCCAATGCCCCATCCTTCGTCCACTAGGTATTTCTGTAGCTGCTCCAGTCGCTCGGTAAGTCGCCAGCCATCGGAGGAGGAGGATCAGGAGGAGCTGAAGGAAGTGCCGCTTCAGGATTCCAAGACTGTGACCCTGCTGCCCAGTATCAACGAGAGTTCCTTTCCCAGCCAAAGTCCCCTCCAGATCGCCTCGAATTCCAAGGATAATCTCCCCAAGGGTTCCACTTCCAGCTCGAATCCATTATCCACTCCCACCAGCAGCAGTCTCAGCAGCAGTGGAACCGAATGCAGTGGCGAGCGACTGGTCCGAAGGACCACCACTGGTAGACTGGCCGGCAAGGCCATCAAACTGACTTCCACGGTGATTGAGATCATCAAACCGCCGACAGCTACATCGAAAGTGATTAAGAAATCACCCAGAATTCCCAGGGAGAAGAAAAAGCCACCTCGGGCCAAGAATTTACCCAAGATCCATTCGGTAACGCCGCCAAAGCTTCAGGTTCCTGTTCCCCTCAGTCAGTCGGTGAATCATGTGGTCAATCAACTGACGGCTCAACTAAAGGAGGCTGCGATGATGCATTCCAAGGTGGAGGTTCCTTCAAAGGATCAGGATGTCTACCAGGCATTTGCCACTCCATCAAGAAAGCCCTCCATTTATCTGCTCATGAATTCGGAGGCGAAAAATCACGCCGAGAATCCTTCCAAAGATGCTTGGGTCATCCAACCAATGGAGCAGACAAATCGTTATTTGAAAGAATCGTTATCAAAGGATCATCCTAGGCAGCATTTAAAGGTGGCTCCTCCAAAGGATCCCAGCAAGCCTCCTCCGTCGAATATCACAAGGAATCCCTACATTGATGAGCCAAAAATGCTATCCAAGTTGAGGAGCCAACGAATCAGTAGTTCAAGTGCCAGGACGCAGCCTGTTTCGCTGAACCGGATCACCAGGCCTCCATACGTAGTTCCAATTACTCCAAATCCTCCAGAGCAGCAAAAGCAACAGCAGGAGCATCCAAAAGCCAGCAAGATTGTCCGAAAGGCCCAGCACAAGGTGCCGCGCACCATGGAAGATGGCATCGACATGAGCTACCAGTACTTCGTATCCATTCCCCTCAAGCGTGGCAAGAAGCCGCAGGTGGTTCGCTATCTCTACCGGCCGATGGTTCGCCAACTCAATGCACCCACTTCGCCCAATCGACGATCCACGCGGCGGGTGAAAAGGAAAGCAGCAGCAGCAGGAGGAGATGACCAGCAGCATCTAGAGGCTTCCCAAGAAATCGATCCTGAACTAAAAGCTCTAGGCGGAAAGCCACTGCCGCTGGTGGAAGCTCCTCCATCACTGGAAACTGAAGAGAATCCCGAGTACGAGGTGCCGCCGCTCAAGCTGGAGGCTCGCTTTAAGCCGCTGATGGAGCAGCTGGCCCAGATGCCGTTTCCCGAGGAGCGAACCAATCGCCGTCGGCGCCGAGTAAGAGCTGCCGGCGGCGCTGAGCAGGTTCCTCCAGCGGATCAGCAACTGGGCAACGGAGGTGGAGATGAAATGAGCTCCCTGGGGCGGCTATCCTCCATCTGGAAGTCTGGCTCGCGGCTACCCAGGCTGATTGACTATCAGCCGGAGGCGAAGCGTCTTAGCTCGGCGACCGGAGCATCAATCTCGTATCATACCCCCTTGCAAATAGGAGAGGCTGAAAAGCCCTTTGTGCTACCAAAGGATGATGATCCAATGATTCAGGCAATAACCTATGACGACATCGAGCAGAGGGATGAGCAGAAGGATCAGAAGGAGATGGATCAACCGGGTGAGCAGCTGCCTCCCCTGGAGAACCTCAAAAAGGCAGTCAGTTTTCAGCCCGACGAGGTGAAGGTCAGCGAGATTCCCGCCAGGAGCAGCAGTTCCATCAGCTCCTCTTCCAGTGGAGCCAAGACCAAATGCCGTCGGCCAACACAGAAGAGCAAGGCCAAGTCCAAGGGAAAGGCCAAGGGACGCAAGTGAGGGAAAGCTCTCTGGCAATATTAATTTTGGAAATTTTTAATAATCTTGAAAAATTTAAAGTGAATTGTAGCAAAGGTATAAACCTTGAAGGTTTGAAATAAATTTATAATATAATTTTGGAAATGTTCTCGTAAACTTTTTTAAAAAAGTATAGAAACTAGGAATACTAGGAATCCATGGAAAGTTTAATTTCGAATATTAACTCCTTAAAACCTCAAATAAAAAAATATTTAGGAAATGTTTTTGGCAATTTTTTTATTTTTAAACATATTTTAAAAAGAATAGATGGAATTTAAGTAATTTAATTTAATAAAATGGAATACTAAAATACTTTATTAATTTTCATGTAAGTTTTAATATTCGAATAGTATAAAGAAAAATATAATTTTGGAAATGTTTTTGTAAACTTTTGTTTAAGTCATATTACAAAACGAATAGATGGAATAAAAGCTGTTTAATAATACTTTAGTTATTTCTTGGAAGGCTTTTATATTGGAATTTTAAATATAATAATACAACAAATTTTTTCGACAACGAAACTTGGATTACTAAAATACTATAATTATTTCCATGGAAGAATTAATATTTGAATTTTACTGCCTGTTAGCACAAATAAAGCCACAAGCAATATAATATTTATAAAACATATTGAATAGGAGGAATTTAATTTCTTAAGACAACGAAACTGGGAAAACTAAAATACTTCAGTTATTTCTATGGAAGTTTTTATCAGAACTTATCCACCAATCTTGAACTGGCTGTTGGCACCCCTAAAACCTCAAATTTGCCTTCAAACAGTATATGCCTTTATAAGGATTCTTCGACTCAACGATGACTTCACCTGGCGCACCTGCAAAGGTCAAGGGAGAGTGGATGTGGAAGTGGATTTGGGTCAAGGGCCGGCTGGGGCGATTGCTCAATGTCAGGATGTTGGTCATTAGCGCAGAACCTGCGAGCCGCGGGAAGCGATAGCCCTACCCCCGTGATAATGGGAGCGCTAGAAATAGATTTGAATTAGCTAAAGTGGCTCGAAAATAATTGGTTTATGTTTTTGGAATAGCTCAACAACCTGATTGTCATGGTTATTTTTAGTTATTAAATTAATTGCGGGGGTTTACTTTTGATTTTTCAGTTTTAATTTTACTGGCTCCACCTAGCGGTCATTTTATTTTTTGATTTTACTGTACGAGTAACGGGTGTTCAAATGCCATGTCCTTTTCTCACACATATTTTTAAATCTAAGTTATTTTTAGTTATTAAATTAATTGCGGGGGTTTACTTTTGATTTTTCAGACTTAATTTCACTGGCTCCACCTAGCGGCCATTTATTCTACGAGTAAGGGCTATAAAAATGCCATGTCCTTTTCTCACACATATTTTTCAATCGACATTTATGTTTGCTAACTAAACTAACTGAGTTTGTGACCCATATGATGCCCACGCAATCAATTAGTCAGACGTGATTCCGCCTAGTGCAAAGTGATCACTTAACCTTGACGCACCCTTCACCACCCCTAGCATTCGTAGCACTCGAACCATTCGTAGCACTCGCACTCCATCAGAACCGAGGCAAAGTCCCCACATCGAATGTAGGAATTAGTTCCAATTAGAAGCGCCGGCGGTTCTACCTAATGAATGGCCCCAAAGGTGTCGCATACAAAGTGTTTACTATACAGAGTATATATGCTATACCATACTATATAGTATATACACATAGGTGTGTTTTTCTGGGCTGGGCAATCGAATCGAATGTGATTTAGATATCGGTTACTGGGTCGCCGGTCGTCGTCCAAAATGCCCGCTATCCGAAAGCAAAGCGAGCGTAGAGCCAAGCCAGCGGTAATACAAATAAACAAATAGCCTCAACTATGTCCAATTAAGATTTATGACGAAAGTCAAGGGCCTCGCGAGGGAGAAGGGAAAAGCTGTGGAAAATTTCCCAACGTTCTGTTGTTGCCTCGAGTTTTTGAACTCGAAAGCATCTAACAACATGCCGCTTATCAAGCTTAGATGCACTCACTCACCCAAATCGATTCGCTGGCCCGATAGGAGAGACACAAAGCAGACGGACCCGGATAGACATAGATAGTGATAGGGGCCAAAGCCCCAACTGATTGTCTTATCGGGGAACGAGGCGTTACAGCGATCGTGGGGAACCAGGAAATTGGGTCGTCTGGTTATTAGATTGCAAGATTAAGGCAAGAAGTTGGAGAAAAAGATTTCTGCGATTTAAAGATCCTAAATATCCCAATAGAACCCAACATCTATATGTATATATAGATTTCCGCGATTGAAATTTTGTTTGTTAAGTTTGGACTATATTGTGGGTGTTATTTTCATCTGAAAGCTTGTCAAAAATTATAATTTTGGAGTATTTTTATTAATTGTTTAACCCACGTAATTTAAAGTTATAAATTAATTTAACAAAAAAAAAAGCGTTGCCATATCTACGCATCTGTCAAATGGATTTTTTTTTAACTCTTTAAAAATTCTTTTTAAATGGTGTAATGTTGTGATAAAAATGAGATATCGTTTTGAGACCTTTAAGAAAATCTCGATATATTTCACAAAGAATCACTCATACCCCATTTGCAGGGAAATGCGAGAGAGCAAGCATGTGATGAGCGCTTATCCAAGTTTACGGCTGCGATAAAGTAGATTGAGCCCATTCCCCTCCAGAGATCGGGTTGTATAACACCTGAACCAAGCATCGCACTCTCTGTTTCATCATGATATATACTATATATATATACTGGGGGGAGGCTGGAACTCAATTTAAGCTCGCTAAACAATTCTACACACAGTTTAATTAACACTTTGTACAAAAGGGGGGAAAGTAGTGGGGCAATTGCTAATAAATAGTGAGTCGCATTCAAACTGAAATGCTGGGAAATTTGATTCTTGAACGTTGTTTAAAGATCATTTGGCTAAGCAAATAAATACATCATTCGAAGAGAAGATATAAACAATTTGGGAAGCGTGCCAAATCAGGATGTTTATGGATTTTGCAACAAAGTCCGGTTAAAAGGGGGCTTTGATTTCATTTCACAACCGACTCGCCTTGAGCCAAACCCGTTCTATCCCCATCCCACATCCCCCACGAGACCTTGACCCGCAAGTCTCGATGCGAGATGATGATATAAATCATTGCCGAATGTCGGGGGTATATATATTATGCACTCATCGATAGGAAGGGCCTTTGAATAGGGTAAGGCACTTCAAAATTCGCCACTAAATTTAAAACCCTAGATAAGGCCAAAGGTGTGGGAAAACTTACAGTAATATTCCACTTTCAAAAATATAATCTTAAATGGTTTGTTTATGGTGTGAATCATGCATTCCCTACGTAATCGATGACACCAGATATGCTGTGAATTCATGCCTAAGGTAAGGAACTACCGCCTGAAACCAAACTATTCCAGTAGCGCAATACAAAGACCTATTTTTATAGAATTATATAAGTATTAGGAACGCATAATTTGATTGAGTGAATTGAGTGTTTGTCTGTGTGTGGAGTGGTCTCCATTTCGGGGGGAGGGGAATGGGTTGGTAATGGGCTGGGTAAGGGGACCTGCGTAATAGCACCCACACACACACACACACTCACGCATTCCAATGCACACAGTGCAGTTTGTGCGTGGGTGTGGGTAGAACAGCGGGAAAATCAATAGAAATATGCGTGAATTTGGATGGGAATTTTGGATTTCCACTCACTTGTTGGTAATCTCCAGTACATCGGACATCATCAGGCGGTACTTGCGGCGGAATCTCTGGCCATGCTTCGTCTCCAGCAGATATTTGTTGCAGAAATCGGTCAGCGAGACGAAGTAGATGAATCCCAGCGATGTGAGCACCAGGCCGCGCTGCAGCGAGATGCGGTCGCTGCTGTTGGGGATCTGCCACAGGCTGCCGCAGGCCAATCCCATCGAGCCGATGGAGAAGGCCAGCGAGAAGTAGCAGCCGCGTCGCTGCGGCGTCTTAATCCCGGCCTGCTTTGGATCCTCCTGCTCATTTAGCGGCTCCTGCTGGCCGGCGGTTCCCCCTCCTCCTCCTCCATTCGCCGGCTGGCGGCGCTGCTGCATCCTAGATGCAGGGTAAACACTTCTTTTGGGCGACGCAACCTGTTGCGGATTTCCTGACCCTCCTTCTACTGCTGCTTCTTCTGCTGCTGCTGCTCCTGGCGGACTTCTCTCGACGGCGGCTGCTTACTGGCGGCACTGCGTCTGGGACATGGCGGCTGGGCGAACGGGAGGAGCTGGAGCTGGAGCGGATTCCTCGAGTGCAACATGCAAAAAGCCAAAAAAAAGTATTTCTGGTATACGCGAGCGAGCCGCGGGATTGGTTGTCACGGTCGCACTGCGCTCAATTAAATACTAAAAGGTACTGGCCGAAATTACCTAAAAAACCGATAGCGCCTATCGCTGGATGTGGTATTAAATCGGTATAAAAATACCAAAAACCGATTGTTTTGCTCCCGTTACAGCGCTCTGTTAACTCCTCACTGTTAAGTTACAGTGGCGGGAAAATGTGATTTTTTCAAAATTATGGAAATATTGGGCGGGACTTTTAAATATAACCCATTCAATTGAGAATTAAATATTATATATTTAAATACACTAAAAAATAAAATAATACTGTGTTTTGTCATTAAATGTTTTTCTATAAAATTACTCTTTTACAAATCCATAATAATTAGTTTTCCCTGTTAAAATTTGTATTATTTCATAAATATTATCAAAAATCAGCAAAAGAAGAAATTGATTTTTCACTGCATCGAACGCACATTCCTTAAATCAACATACTGACTCCGGACGAAGAGTCACTGTGCATGTTTTTAAACAAAGTACTTGTTTACTTAGGCTGCGGCCTAAATATATAGGTCGTTTAATTCGTTCCATTCACCACTCATTCAGAGTTATGAATGCTTGCGATTTTCGTAAACAACTCAGTAGGTTTGCGTATATGAACCCGTAATGACACGTTTCCAATCGTCACCTTTGGCTATCCACTTATTTTTGGTCCTAACGGCCACTTTGGCGACTGGCCAAAACTATTGCGACTCTTCGCTCTGTCCGAATGGAAGACATGTCGCCTGTCAGAGCAGCGGGGTAAGTTCATCTCGTTAAAATTGTAGGCATCCCAGTATTTTGGGGTCCTGATATTTGGGTAGAAAATAAGAGTTAAAAAAAAAAATATTCCTAACAAAAGCTATAGATCTAGTTAAAAACTCTTATCTATCTGTCCCAGAAAATAAATGATATATATTCAAAAGTCCCAAATTCCGATCTCGTTTAAATTTTTTGGATCCCAGTATTTTGGAGTCCTGATATTTAGGTAGAAACTAGCAGTTACAAAAAAAAGCCCTTTAAAACCCTTAAAAAATATTTCGAGCAACAGCTATAGATCTAGTTAAAAAACTCATTTGATGGTCAGTAGAATTTTATGAAAGGGTTTATATTTTGGGAAAATAATAACAGAAAAAAATACAGGTAATATTCAGAAAATAGTACGATCCTGAAATTTTGAAAAAGAATCGGTTGGCGGAGATTGTCAGAATTTTATTCCTGGTTTAAAGATTTGAAACCAGGAAATCCTTAAACTTACTAACTGAAATCGAAATGTTATTGGACAGTTTTATAATAATAGAACAAATAGCAGTAATATTCAGAAAATAGTTCCTGTCGCAAAAACTACGATCCTGAAAATTTGACAAAGGATCGGTAGTCGGAGGTTCTCAGAATTGTATCCCTGGTAACTTGGTAAAAACTCGAATAATAATTAGGATATATTTTGTTGGTTATTTCTCTGAACTAACTGGTCTTCCTTGATTTTCAACCGATTAAACTAGCGCTTCGTCAGCGGCTGCAGCGGTGAGTTTGTGCAGGTGGACCGCTACATCCAGCAGATCCTGCAGCTGCACAACGACCGTCGCAATTTGATCGCCGGCGGTGGAGTGAGCGGCTTTCCCAGCGCCCTGCACATGGGCACGATGGCCTGGGATGCGACGCTGGCCCAAGTGGCCGCCTACAATGCGCTGCAGTGCCGCATGGCGCACGACGAGTGCCGCAACACCAACACCTATCGCTATGCGGGCCAGAACCTCAGCATTCTGTTCACGAGGAGCGTGGATATAGCCGACTTTCTGCGCCAGCGGATAGCAGCCTGGTTCGATGAGAATCGCGACGCAACGAGTGCCGATATGGAGAATTATCAGATGCGCGGTGGACCGTGAGTACTCAAAACGAGGGTGTAAACGATGCAGTATCTACTGGTTTCCCAAAAGGGGCTGTAAACGATGCAGCGGCTGTAAACGATGAAGCAGCTGTAAACGATGCAGCTGCTATAAACGTTGCAGCGGCTGTAAACGATACAGCGGCTGTTAACGATGCAGCTGCTGTAAAAGAAGCAGCTGCTGTACACGATGCAGCAGCTGTAAACGATACAGCGGCTGTAAACAATGCAGCTCCTGCTGATGCACCGTTTACACCTAAAGCTAACCTATAAAACCCCTAATTTTCAGGGCAATTGGGCACTTTACGACCATGGTGAACGAGCGCAACAACCGAGTGGGCTGTGCAATCGCCCGATTTACGGACGCCAACAACGTGCAGGCCACCCTGCTGGTCTGCAACTACGCCGTCACGAATGTCCTGAACAATCCCGTCTATCGCGCGGGTCCTGCCGCCTCCGAGTGCACAACGGGCCGGAACGCCAACTACCCCAACCTCTGCTCCCCCAACGAGGTCTACAACTACAACCAGTGGTCGGGATAGTTAAGAACTATTTTTTTGTCAATTCCCAAATATAAAAATGCCTTCAATGTTAGTAACTATTGAATTATTTATTTTTTCTTTAAAGTATCGAAGACTAAGGTGTTTTTTCAGGGCCCAGGATCCAATTTGTATACCCTTGCATTTTAAATTAAACGCTAAAAAATTGTGGCTTTCGTTTTTAAACGATCAACCTTTTCTTAAAAAATAGTATTTTTTAAAATACTATTCAATTTAAACTTGGTATTTTCAGCATATTTTTGTGCAAAGTTAATTATTGGAAAACATTTTTGAAAAAAAGGTCTGCTTATATTTTTTGTTTTTCTTTTGAATCAAAACAAAAGTGTTTAAAAATAAGTATTTTTGAAATAAATATTTGAATTTCAAAAATTGGCCGCTGTCTTTGCTAGATTAGGAGGTTGTACTCGCTAAATGCGTAGTATGTTCTCGCTAAGGTAAACGGTCACTCTGGAGGGTGACGCTGCTAAGCCTAGCGAGGACACACCACCGGCTAACATTGAAAATATCAATTTTAAATATCGATGAATTTGTATATTTTTTCAATAAATTGTAATGAGAGGAAATTACACAGCGCACAGTGCCCTTTATTTGTTGCTAAAGAAATTCAAGAAATCGACAAATTTTATCAAATCAAATTAACTTATTTTATTAGGTACAAGAATGCCAAAATGAAAGTCTAGGTTCTTTATATATTTTGATGGAATAATTACAAATCTGGCCAGGAAAATGTATCCTTGTGAATTAAAAATTTCAAAAGAATCTAAAATTTGAAGGCGCCTCTGCGGCCGAAAAGGGAACCAATGAGCTCTGACAATTGCTCAGTGCTAAGGATCGACTATCGCGATATAGATATTTATTGTTATCCCAAAAAATACCGATATATTGATGTATTGGCATACTCTTCACATCGCTAGTTTCTTTTTGCCTCACTATTCATTCCATTTCAACGGCGGCAGAAACAGAAATAACGGTTGAACAATGGCGAAGAGTGTCGGTGGTGCGTGCGCGCAAATCGCGGTCCTTTTGGCCATATTCTGCAGTGCATCGGCCCTGTGTAAGTGCAATTGACCACGAAGCGGAGTAATCAGAAGAGAAAAAAAATTATCCACATATCTCTTTTGTTTTACCATCTCTGTCTTTGCCCACCTCGCTGGTGGTGTGCGTGTGTGCCTGTGTGTGAGTGAGTGACTGTGTGCGTGTGTGTGTGTTGGCTGTAAATCTGGTTGTTATTTTCTTGTACGCTACGCAGTTTGAAAAAGTCGAAAAGTCCAACAAAAGGCGAAGAAATACCTGGAAAACTGTAGGCTAGGCACATATGGCCAGTTTTCGTTTTCGTCGGAGGGTGTATTTATGTATTTTTGGCCCATTGTTTGTACACAAAGTCCACGAGAAAAGACAACAAGAGACAAAAATCATCAGGGGCGGCGTGGAAAGGGGGGCGGGGGCGACCAGGTACTTTTTCGTATGGTGAAATTTACCGCTGCCATGTTGTCTGTTTTATTTTTTTCTGCTTTTTTTCCCGTGTGCTGGCACATCAAATGCGTTAATTGACAACAAATGTTCGAGTGTGTGCGTGAGCGGTTGAGTGTGAAAATAGGCAACGTCCTGTGGCCCAAGGCGCCCCCTAAATACTAACTCCCCACCGCCACTGGCTTTTTATTTTTGAGTTTTTTTCTTTTTTTTTGTTTTTTTGTTTTGTGCGACGCCATGCTCCACTTAACGTGCAACAATTTTCCATCTGCGACGTCGCCACCAGGCGAACAACCTGCATATATCAATTGAAATCGCTGATTAAGGCGCAAAAGCTCATTGTTTTTGTCGCAATTTGCAATTGAAACGCCGGAGCTGCTGGAATAATAACAATAATAAAAAAAGTTGAAAAAAAAGAAAAAGAACCCCCAGGCTGGCAACTCTTTGCCAACACCGTTATATTCGCTTTGGCGCGTTTCTGCGACAGGTGGCAATATTGCGCGCCGGCTAACGGCACTTTTCAGTTTTCCCAATAAGAATTCGAGAGGGGGAGTGCTTACGCAACGGGTAAAAACCACCCATCCACCTCCCACTGGATATGCCCAATTTGCACAGTTTTAGCTATTTCCGTCGTGTTTACTCAGTTTGCACGACATTTAGCAGCTCCCTTTGTCTGCTTATCGGCTATTTGCTCGTTTATTCACCACCACCCAATGCCAAGTTAAAGTGCATTGCTTATCTGCGTGGCCAACTTATGCACCGTGCCCACTGCGTATCCGAACCCCCGAAGAAAGAAGGTGTGAGAACAGGTGTTTTTTTGTGGGGAAAAGTAAAAGTAAGATAATGGTCGTATCACACTTACTTTTAATTTCAAAAAGGAATTGAAATATATAACAATATTAATTTAATTTTTAAACTACGGCCATAACCTTTACTATGTATACATTTCCAGCTATTGGCAAAGTCAAGTTATTTACACTCAGTCAAGTTCCTGATTGTATGATATGTTACACTTATAAAGAAAAACCAGGGACCGTAAATAATCATTATTTGAGATTTTTATTTTAAAAAGACTACTGTGATTTTTGGTTTTAAACGTCAAAAATAACGTTCTTTTTACTATTGTCCACAAAGTATATGCATGTCAACAAAGCTGGAAAGCAAGTTAACTGTTATTTCTTCATGTCTATAAAGTGCATAAAAACCAGTTAAATTGTTGACTAAAACTTATACAAATCTCAGTAGGCCTTTTAAAATAAAAATCTCAGATAATGATTATTTACGGTCCCTGAGAAAAACCCATTCAGCTAGATACATTTTGATAACAGTTACCAATGCAGCTATATTTGAATTCTGAGATCTCGGAAACTATAAAAGATAGAAAGTTGGGATTATCCATGCAGATTCTTGGGGTTTCTGCGCAGCTCAAGTTTCTTTCATCAAATTGCCACGCCCCCTCTAACGCCCATATCTTTACAGATTTTGTAATAGTGTAGTAATACCTACTACTCCGCTAGATGGCGCTTCTTCAATCTCTATCACACTTATTTAGCACTGGTTTCTTATCTATAGTTTGCAAGAAAGGCTAAAAAATCAAGTGATCAAGATCAAGAAAAACCCTTTTCCCCCATCATAGAAACCGCATTTGGACCTCTTCGGGTTAGCCCAAATCTCCCAAGTCCCACATATCTGCAGCGGAATTCCAATTGTAATTTCGCAACCCACTCCGCATTGCACTGGCAACTGGCAACTGGCATCTGGCGTCAGTCGGCTACTGGCACCATCGCTTATCAGGGGTGCTGGCTGATTGCTCCAATCTCTGGACGCTGGCTTCTGTCCACTGCCACTGGCCATTATCGGGGCACACTCCTCCCGTTTTGCAGTTTACAATCTGCTCTAATCACCCATCCTCGCCGCTTTTCCGGTACTCCCATGCTCCAAACTTGCATACGCTTGGGAAATGCGAAAAATAGTTAGTTGTATATTTCCAAGAAAATATTTGTACACCCCTTCAGAGGCTTATCTTGAATTCGTATTACAAACTGTGATGAACAACATTTTGCTATTGCTGATTGCAACAAAATTCCCGTTAAATAATTGCTTTAATTAGAAAAACTATGCATCATCGACTATGCAATAAACAACGAGATTACTTGTTTATATACAAGAAACTTATTGAAAAAATTCTACTGAGAGTATTTTAAAAGAAATGCAATTAATTATATACATTCTCCAAGGCGTTTGAATAAATAAACAGTTGGCACTTCCCATCCGGACTTAATTCCCCATTCAAGACGTGTTTTCCCCAACTCGCTTATCAAAATGGATGTCAAAAATGTCAGGTCAGCAACTCTGATGACTGTTTTTGTGCATAATAGGCAATTTCTGGCGAACCGAAGGAAACTACCAGAGACCCCGGGCGTTAGAAAGGTACAACAGGTTATCATTGCTGAATGCTGATGTGGTCTGCCTTAAAACAGGTTCCTCCGGTGAGGGTTGCTATTTGAAATCTTTGCATGACCCCGTCTCATGTCACTTTGTTCTTTGTTCAATTTTCTAGAATAAAAGAGGCACATTGAGAGTGAGAGTGTGGTGCTAAAAGTGCAGAATCCACACCTCTATGGAAAGTTCAAGTTGCAGTTCTTCTCTTTCATGGGAATTTAGAGAACCCTTCTTTTGGAACAACTGCGACCCATTGTGCATCGACAAATGCATCGTTTGTCAATGTTTATCTTGGCCATGGGAAGATCATTAGCCCCAGATCTTCATCATCTGGCTGCCCTGCTCTGCTGTTCGTTTCTCGGCATAAAAAGCTGCGGCTTGCCACTGTTTTGCTTTAGGGAAAAAGGGGGAAATGGGAAAAAGGGGGGCTGATAAGCTTTTCCGGCTAACGGGGTCAGAAGAACTGTTAATGCCTTGGCACTTCGGCCACGTCTGTCCAGTGCAAACAGCGGATACAAATGCTCGGCCTTTGATACACAAGAAAAAAGTGGAGGGGCAAATATGTAGGAGAATAATTAAAAAAATTTTTTTTTAATATATATAGTGGTATACAAAATTTGTCAGTAGAATGCCATAGATCGGTTTCGAACCAAAATTTCTGTATAGATATAGTAGATAAAAATAAACCTTATCTCAAACTAAACAAAAAACACCTCTTTATGACTTTTCAATGCACTGCATATTTTCGCTTTTTACATCACTTAAAATATTTGTTATGCAATTTTGTTTTTGCCTTGTAATAATAAATAGTGGTGATTTAGTAATATTTCAATAGTTTTTGCACTCACTTTGTCCCATAAACACTAAAAAGTGTAAAGAGTTGGAGTATTTTTAGATCTTTAACATTCGAAAAGTCTTTAAACCAATTTCAGTTTAAGAAAAATGTATATATGCCGAATCTTTTATATTTTCTTAGTCTTGACTGTGAATTTTTATACGATGCATATCGAGAATATCAATTTCTTTTTTCCGGTGTAGTCAGGTTCGTGTACGTGTTTCTACCGCCTGTCAATTAACCGGACAAGCTCAGGTAAAAGCGTGCGACGCAAATTGCCCGCCGAAGCGTCGGTGCAAGGCAGGCGTTTTTAGGGAAACGCTGATAAACTCGACACCGCCCCTGACGGCCCGCTAATCAGTGTGATGCATTTGAAAATGATACAGTAGAAATGTATTTTAAATTGGTCCAACAAAAAAAAAGCAAAAAAAAAGAAATCAGTAAGACAGAAAATGTTACTTGCATTGACTAAAGATCTAGCTAAAATTTTAAATCAATCTTAAGATTTAAATCATTATAAAATAATATAATGGGCTGAAATGGGCTCATATTACATATTTTATGGGATTTATAACGGAAAATTCTACAAAAATTCAGTGTGCTGATAAAACTTTTTAATCTTGAAGAATTCCAGATCATTTAACAAGGGCCATGATTTTTTGAGGAAATACGTATAAAAACTGAGTTAAAAATATGTACGTACATATGATTTTTATCGAAACAAAAAATAACGCAATTGCATCCGCTAAAAGTCCTTGTTTTTGATAACAAACTTCGATGTGTACTTGTGGTAAGAAATTTCCAACCTCAGCGCAAATTGAAATTTGAGATAAAGCATTAAAAAAAGTACAAAAGTAAAGTAAAAGACTTGGGTAACGATAAAAAAAAAGTTCCAGTGCGCAAATTTTTCTTTTTTGAATTAATTAATTCTTGCTTGAAATTACCTTATTTTCAAGAGCTTTGTTTTTCCATCACAAAGTTGAGAAAGTTAGGAGAATAGCTATTGTTTTTGGGTGTCGATATGATCGACATTCATTGATTCATTCGTCCTTCACACCTTGTTTTGCCACCAATACCACAGAAAAAGCGACAATTAAAGATTTTCCCCGAAAGTGGGTCACTGTGCAAATTATGCGGACTTCTTTAGCTTCCCCTAAGGTTGTTATCATGACAACCCAAACAGAGATACACTTAGAAACATTTATAAAAATATATATATATTTAAAAAACATTATAATCACTATATGTATGCGATATGAATTTGAATCTGTGTAAAACAATTGATCTGAACAAGTTGAGATGTGAGTAGGAATCGGTTTTCAATCAAGTGCCGCATACATTTACGCCAATTATTTCAACGACCATAGCAGAAACCCTGGGGAAAGACTACAAACCGCCACTTACAGCAATTAACACCGGGTTCAATTGGATCGGCGTCACGCGAATGTGGATCGTTTTCGGTGGCGCGGGGGATTTTTCGTTGCGGGGGATGGGTGGTGAGTGGGCGGATTGGGTGGCGGGCGGTCTGTGAGGTGGCAGGTGGTGTTCCCGATAGATGTGCATGTCATCTCGGCGAGGCTGTGTCAAGTCACTTTGACCGCATTTGCACCGAATAATTATAGATGCAAAAATGGTGAAATTGGGGGTGCGGTTTTTAACGATCGACATCAGGATCGGTTATCCAAGTGTGGTTTAAAAAACAATAGAAAAATAGAGCTTGGAAATATTATTAAAAATCAGTTTATGTTTTACTTTCCTATTATTAAATTAGGTCTCTTAAAATTGCTAGAAAAATCTAGAAATAGCTCTAATCTGTTACTTTGTTTTCCGCACTGTAAATAAAAATTGTTCATGTTTTGTAACATATGTTTCACTTTACGAAGCATGGCAAGTGCGCAGACTAACGAAGCAAAGCGAAAGCCAAGTCTCATGGGTGAGTAGTGTTGAAACCCCGGGGAAAGTACTTGAATACCATTTTTCTGGATTACAAACGAAAATGGAGAAAAACCTTGTGTGTGAAGCTGACCGAAAAAAGAATTCGGCACACTATGTAGGCTTAGTTTAATTGTTACATATGTACAGACAGTCCAATTGACAAAGCCGTCACTCATCAGTTAACAAATGAAAATACAAGTATGAAAATTATTTTATATACGAAAGAATATCCTTTTAATATTTTCAAAATATTTTTATCTTATAGCTAAACATTGTTTAATATGTATTATCATCATTGAACGATGGAAACCAATCAATAGTACTACATTTCTTATCTTATTCATCGTTGAACAATGGAAACCACTTGTAAGCCTATCAAATATTTAAATAAATACTTTTAAAATCTCTCGACTTGAACTAGATTTTTTTATCTAATGGCTAGAACATTGTTTCATATGTAATACCCTTGTTAAACGATGAAAACCAATTGTAAGCCAATCAATCACGGCTAACACTCGGTCAGTCCAAAGTTGTGAGAGCAGTTTTGCTCGGCAGCCTGTTATTGCTAGGGTAATTGTAATCGATATCGCTTGTTTATGGGTTTGTGACTATGCCTCAAAGCCGCCCCACTGAAAACCCCACTAAAAACCTCACGCCCACAAACCGCCCACCGCTGACCGCATGTTGTAAATGTTGTAATTGCAATGGGGGGCTGTCGACAATCGTCTTTGATGTGCCATTGTGGTATTCGTACAAGTACATATGTACATTGTGCCTATGAGAATGGAAATAGAAAATCAATATCGAGGGGCCGGGGAGCTCCAAATAACAGCTCGGTTAATTACAACACAAGCAAATGGGCATGCAAATGAGCACGAAATGAGGTTGTGGCCCCACCACCACCACGAATGTCCTGCCAGGATATCCAGTTGGCTGGGGCGACATGCTGAGTTGTGATTACAAACATTGCCATGACTTGGTGACATCTCACTTGAAATCTGCTGGCTTTTACAGTAAGCTTAACCAGACATTTGGGAATAATTGCTTTTCTATCGTTGATTTCAAGAGGATTACTCAAATATCTAAATCTATATTTGTCTTTATTAAAAAAAAACGGTCAGTAGCAAATTTCACCCAGAAAGGATGGACATAAAAATCTAAAAAAAAATCACATTATTCATAGATATACTTACTAAATATACTACTTAAATCTATATTTGTCTTTATCAAAAAAAAAAGGGTCTGTAGCAAATTTCGCCCAGAAAGGATTGACATAAAAATCTAAAAAAAAATCGCATTGTTCATAATGTCCTCTGTTCTTCTCCTTCACAGCGAAACGGGATACCTACGAGCTCCTGGACACCAAGCTCCCAGTCGTCGATACCTATGGAGTAGTGCCTCTTGCGACGGACCAGCTGCACCGCCAAAGGCGGGCCCTTTCGGTGGATGCCAAGGCGATTGCCAAGCTCGAGCCCGCCAATGCCACTGCGGAGGTGGGAGCAGCGGTTGCTGCGGCTGGAGGAGGAGCTGCTGCCGCCGCCGAGACGACGGTGACCACGGTGGACAACAAGGCAGCTGCAGGAGGCAGTGTTTCCTACAACGTTCACAATGTCGGAGTCAATGGCACCGGGCAGCGAAAGACTTACAGCGAAGTGGCTGCAGCTGCGGCGGCGACAGTCGACTCAAGCACCACCAACCCCAACATCAATGTGGCCCCCAAGAAGCAGACCCAGTTGACCCAGTCCAGCTATCCCAAGAAGGTGGCCCCATCCGTCTTGGCCGCCGTCCCCAGCAGCACGGATCGCTCGCCGGCCAGCATCGATGTCGATGTGTCCAAGGTGGACGTGCCCGACGAGGAGATCGAGCAGTCGTGGAAGAACGAATCGCTGGTGCGCAGCGAGGACTTCCACGACTACTACAACAGCGTGCTCTACGTCAACAAGGAGGAGATGGCCTCGCTGTGGGCCCAACTCAAGACGACGCCCGAGAACACCATGCTATCCTCCTCCCACCGACGCGCCATGACCGTTGAGCTCAAGTTCGACTTCCCCTTCTACGGCCACTATGTGCGCAACATTACGGTGGCCACCGGCGGATTTCTCTACACCGGCGAGTACGTCCACTCTTGGCTGGCGGCCACCCAGTACATCGCCCCCCTCATGGCTAACTTTGACACCAGCATGTCCAACGACTCGTTTGTCCGAGTCCAAGACAACGGTGAGTTCGAGATGACTGCACTTAAAAACCCAGTAAAATGTAATCCAATAATATATAAAAATGCCTAAAAATGTCATGGTAATTAGCTTGAAATTCAGATATAATGGAACATTTTGCGTTTTTTATTTGCAATTTGGGAATAATACATATTTATATAATTTAAATTAATATAAAATTATAATAATTTACAAATTATATAATACAAATTGGAAAATATGTCTTATTTTCAATTTATGTAATACAAAATGAAGAATTTGTATAATTTACATTTAAGTATGTTTCACTTTTTTTTTTTTTTTATTTTGATAAAAATTCAAAATAATTCTTATCATTTTTATTTCAAAAATATTGTTATCTACGGTCCCTACTTTTTACTAATTCTCTAAATATTTTTTATTTTATTTTAATCTCTTAATATGTGCTTAAAATGTATTTGTCATTCGCTAAAAACCCATTTTTGTGCCCACTTTTTGGCTGGCTAAATTCTTTGTTCCCCTACACCTATAATTTAATATTGTATTGGCATACATAAATCAAGTAAATATTAAAGAAATGCACGATTTAACGATTTAAATAGTAAAAGTAAATATGATCTGGTTTTGCACTTAGTAAAGCTACCATTTCTTAAGTAAGCAATGTGGTGCTAATAGAAGAACAAAGAAGAGGTACATATATAATAGTAAACCTCATTTCGTTTTACAGATAAGCGGCGACAGCTACTCTTTTTTCTCAATCTGAATCAGAATGCTAAATTATTTCTTATAATTTATTTAATAATTGTTTTTATATATTTTTTACTTTTCCATGTAATAAGTAATAATACAAAATTGTAATGGAAATTACTGACTATTCCAGGAACCGCCTTCGTCGCCGTGTGGGAGAATGTGACGCTGCAGGATAAGCCGGATTTCGGCAAGTTCTCGTTCAGCGTGACGCTGCACCAGAGCGGCGACATCGTCTTCGCCTACCTGCAGGTACCGACGCTCATCAATTCCATTCAGGACAAGGAGCATCCGGTCAAGGTTGGCCTCTCCGACGCCTACATCATCGACAAGCACCTCTACTGTGAGTACCTGCTGGTTTTCCATCTTACCTACTTACTTACCTATCAATATCCTTCGCCAGTTGCCCGCCGAAAGACAATCTACGAGTACCACCGAGTCACCTTCCAGCAGGGGGAGATCACCAACTCCACCATCATCAAGCTGGCCGCCCAGCCCACCTGCCTTGGCTACAGTGACTGCAATGCGTGCATCAACCACAACACAACGTTTACGGTGAGTTTTAATCTCCGCCCCGAAATGAGTTCTAACTAACAGCTAATTTCGATTTTGCAGTGCCTCTGGTGCTCGGCCCTGAATCGCTGCTCCACGGGCACCGACCGCAAGAAGCATGAGTGGATCCAGAAGGGTAAGCTGCCTGGCTGAGAATATATATAATCTGCGGATTTAACTCTGTTCTCTGATTTTTTTGCAGGCTGTGAGACTGCCGCCATTCGTGTGAATAGTTCTTGTCCGGCGCTCGGCGAGAAGGGCAACAATGCCGCCCAGATGAAGAACGGCGCCGCGAACAGTGGTGCCGGCAGTGTGATAAGCGCCTCCACGGCGGCCACCGGCTCCTCGGGAGCACCGGTGACGGAGCCCAATGTGATCAGCACGCGGGCACCGCACGCCACCGGCCAAGCGAAGCCGGATGCGGAGGCCGCCAGTGGCGTCCACACGGACGGCAAAATCGGAAACGCCGAGCTTTCGCACGCGGAGGCGGAAAACAAGAACGTGGGCGTGGCCTTTGGCTTCATGGTGCCCATCTGCCTGGTGTTCGCCGTAACGCTGTGGCTCTTCTACGCGTACCGCAATCCGCACACCAAGAGCGGCCAGCTGCTCATCCAGGTGAGTTTATAACGTGCTCTTCACGAATACCTAATTCTTATCCCGTGTCCTTCTTTCAATGACATGCAGTCCAAGCATTTACATCAGGTAACCATTGTAACCATCAATGTATTTGATCGTTTCTCTGAGACTTATTTGGTTTTATATAATTAAAGATTATTCAATTTTGTGTTGTATATCTTTAAAAAATCTTCCATCTAAAATTCATTTCTTCATATTTTTTTTTTTTGGTTTTTAAATATGTAATATTTATTTATTCTGTGGCTCAGAGGTAAATTTAAATTGCCTATATTCTCTACATTAATTGTAGTTATAGCTGCAGTGGCCTTCAGCTACGTTTGTGCCGTTTTTGATCATATATTTATACCCGTTAAAAGTAAAGTAAAAGAGTTTTTAAAAAAGTTTAAATGCAAGTTTGCTTTGTTTATTAATACCTATCGAAATGTAGAAGAAATTTTTCAAATCGGGCGATTCAATAAAAAGTTATTAGCAAATAAAGGAATTCAAGTAGTGCAAGCAGTCGCTCTGCGGCATGCATATCTCTTTCTCCTTCGCACTTCTTATCTGATAGTCGAGGCACTTCTAAATAAATATCCTATATCTTATATGCAATTATTTATATTTTTCTGTAGTTCCTTTTTATATTTTTGCTTAAATACGAATTAAAAAACTAGATTTTGACAAGAAAAAAAGGAAATTAAAAATGATTATAGGTATAATTAAAATACTAGTAATAAATATGTGTACAATGTAGTTATGCTACTGTCGAGCCCCACTAATCGCTACTTTCTCCACAGTTCCGTCCCAGCCAGTGGTCATGGAGGCGTGGCGAGGCCCGCTACACGGCGGCCACGATACACATGTAGGGGGTGATCGCCGGAGACGTCAGAGGGGTACAGAGATCGCGAGACGTGGGAGGGAGCTGCAGCTAAATATACCGACGAAGAACCAACCAACCAACCTACCAATTGAACCCCAAATCCCGATCCCTGATGGAGCAGTGTCGAGAACTAAAGGGAACTGAGAAGCAATTATCGCCATCAAATACGATTTTTCACCACATGGATTACCTTAACCAACCGAGCAAAGTGCCAATCGCAGATCCTATCTATAATGTGATGTTCCATGTCCACACGTCAAACTCGAAAAAATAGAAAAATAGAGATTTTGAACTGATTGTTGAGATTTAGCTCAGACCGCTGCCGAAACTGAAAACAAAAGCAATCTAGATGTGTAGACTTCCCGAGTCCCAGTCCCCCGAAAACTGCTCAAAACAACAGAAACAAAAAGAAAGAAAAAAATATATAACAAAAAACAAAACTAAAAAAGACGACTGGCAACAGCATGAAGTGATCTGATCTGTTAATGTATCTTTTTACCTTTTTACCGTATCGCCTGCCCCAAAAAAAAAGAGAAGAAAGGAGAAATACCCCCGAAGACAACTACATATATTGTATAACTACGCTCAGACCAACGGCTCCCACCAGGCCACGCACACACACCTAATACCTAACCTAAAGCACCTTTAACACACGCAACACACAACACACACAACATACACACACACACACCGCGGACACAGGGCAAAGTGCTTTCAATTGTTTCATAGTTCAATTTTTTTAGGGTTTTTATCTTACTCTGTACTCTGTACTATCTACCAACTATCCACTATCAACAAGCTGGAAAAAAAGAAAGAAGGAAAAACCGAGGAAGGGCTGTATATTTTTTGTGTGCGTGCGCGTTTTGCTGGACTCTTCGCCAAAAGTTCTTCCTCAGTCTGTGTAATTTTTTTTTGTTTGTTCTCGTTTGTTTTATTTTAAGTGTGTGTAGCTCTTGGCAAACAATTACGGGATAAATGTATTACTGTGAACACTCGGCGCAGTTTTTCATACTGTATTATACGCGATTTGTATGAAAGTTTTATGTGTGTATATGCGTGCACGGAAATCACATTTGTTTGCGAGCACGCATGGCCCTTATATTATATATATATATGTATACAGATACTTTATATATACATGAAGTATACATGGATATATCCAAGACAACCTCTTCTTTTTGTTAGTATTTTTTTCTATTAATTAATATTACAAATGAAACAAAAGAAACCAAGAAAATAAACTTATATTAATGAATATAAAACTATAACTAAATGCGGTGTGCAAAGCTAAACTAAAAACGAAAAACTAAAAACATAATTAACTAAGTAAGGGAGATTGGAACAAGGAGAGGAGATTAAAATATGTAATATCAATAAAATCAAACAGATTAAACAGAACAAAAATGAACCCCAAGCATGCAAGCGACAACAACTAAGAAAATTGTATAACAATGTATTTTGATAAAGAAATGAAACTTGTATTTTAAGCTCTTCTTATGTATACATGATAATTTAAATAAAAAGAAAAAAAACATACTCGAAAATGAACACAGCTTCTGGTTATCCTAACTTTAAATTGAAATTATATTTCAATCTTATGATATATCCATATCCATTCTCTTTTATATTCTAAAATTGATTGATAAAAAGGAGCACCACTCAGAATTCGCTCTATCCGTTCAAACCGAGCGATCATCGAAGCCCCGTTCCCGATATGATGCAGTGCATCCTAAAGGAAGCTGGACAAATCCTCACGCTGCCGGACAGAACGATTCAACTCATCAACGCGGGTGCACTTGGCTTTCAGCTAGTGTGAAAGTATGTGAAGACTGACTACAGAAATGATCCTGTGAAGTATAGTCTTATTTGTTCAGTGCTCGGCAATAGTCACTTGGTGCGCTGCCGGCCAGAACCAGTTGGGAATTATAGCCGCTCACACAGCGGACGAGAAAGAAACAGCAGGCATGCTGATAAGACATTTTTGGTTTTCGGCTGATGGGAAGACTGTCATACCATCGTAAATAAAGTGATGAGTTCAATTCCTGTGCACTTTCTTTTTTAATTATTTAGATAAAATATTTTTGAAATGTACTACAAATAAAAGTGGAATTGAAACGTAGGAACTCTTGATTTGATTACAAAACCCCCTATCCAAATAAAAACCCAATAATTTGTCTGATTTAAATTTTTACACTTTATTTTAGTTTCGTTTTTTCCTATTTCTGTTTGGTCTTTAACTTTATTGAATTTGTTAAGCTTTAGTTAATGATGCAAATAGCTCGTTTGTGTTAGTAATGTGGCTAATTCGAAATTCCATCTAAACATTTACAGGTTTCTCTTCTATTTGGGCGGGATGTAGACTCTGTCGGAGGTTTTGCTAAGTGAACGCTTCTGTTGGAGTAGCGGATGCAGCTGGAATTGGAGTTGCAGCTCACATCTTCTGCTGGGCCAGCTCGTCGATGGTACGGGCATTGGTGAGAGTCACCCAGAGCGGCGCCTGGATGCTGGCCAGCGAGTAGCTCTCGGCGGCGTCCAAATCCAGGGAGTGTGACTTCCTTATGGCCGCCGACTGGGAGTCCCCGGTGCTGCCACTTGGTGCTCCGCCCTCTTCTCCTCCTCCTCCTCCTCTTCGCCGGCGATCCCGCTTGGATTCGCGCTTGGCGAAGGCAGCACCTCCAGCAGCAGCCGCCTCGCCTCCACTGCTGGCGGCCCTAATCTCCTGGAGGCGACTACGCCGCTTGGCCAGCCCGGCCGGATCGTCTCGCACACTGGCCGTCTTTCGCAGCTGCGCCGGCGGCACAGCCAGCTGCGAGGAGGAGGAGGAGGTCTTGGCCACCACCGGAACCGGCACCGACTCCTGGCACTCCTCGATTTTGGCTATCTCCGGCTGCTCCAGTTGCTGCTTGGCTAACTGTTAGCTCGAGGAGATGGACATCTTGTAGGAGGTGGTCTCCATCGGCGACTCCGGGTTAAATATCTCCGTCTGCGTCTGCTCCACGTCGCTGCATCGCTCCTCCAGCACAGTGTCCAGCTCCAGGGAGGTGAAGCCCTGGCTTAGGCTTCGTTCAGGACGTAGACTGATAGCTCGCGACGATCGGTAATCTGTGGATTGGATTGCGTATTTTAGTATAAGGTTTTGGTCCTTCGAGCCGCGTAGGCGGTGACAAGATGGCAGTGAGTGAAGGGGGATGTGACTGAAATCGAGGGGGACACATTAAAAATGTAACGGATGTGCAGGTGTCACGCACTGAAAATGAGCATTTTTGGGGGGTGGGTTGAAAAGTGATTTACTTGCAACGCACCAGATGGCGAGAGCTTCAAGAATAAATCATTGTCAAACTAGCAAAAGCATTTCTTTCTCCCCCCTAAAAAGTATAATGAAAAATATTTCCCGTAAAAGTCGAAATACTCTGTTGAATTTTTAACAATTTCAGTAATAACATTCCATAGAGCTGTGTGTTTAAAAAGTTGAAGAATACAAGAAAATGGTGAAAACTACTTGTACTTCATGCTTATAAATCAGAATCCCAAAAATACTTGCACTTAAATGATTTAAAAACTTTAATTTCGCGGTGAGTAAGCAAATGAACTTTGCCTTTTCAATGATTAACTCAATTTGATTTCAGCCTTGGAAAATGTAGAGCAAATATAAAGGGACTCGCAAAAAAGTTGTGTGTGTGCAAACAAGAGAAAAGAGGGAAATTGGTGGGTACGAAAAACAAAATGAAAAACAAAGGCTTCTGCGGTGATGCGTAATCGTTTTGCGAAAATGTATGCCAAAAAACGCATGTCCCCATTTGGGGTTTCTGGTTTTTGGGTTTGGGGTTCGCAAAATATATATGTATATGTGTGTTGTTTTTGGGGCCAAGAAGCGACAGAGCCAAAAAACAAGTGTAGTTTGCGGTTGTCGCTTCTGTTTTTTTTTTCAGATTTTTTTTGTCGACCTGCGGTTGTGTCGACCTCGTCAACAGCACCACCTTGATCATCATCATCATCATCGTCGTTGTAAAGCTGAGCTGCACAGCGAATAAATGTGTCTCCGAAATCGTAAATATATTATTTTTATATCCAAGAGGGTATTACAAATTTATCACGGGGGTGCTTCGAAAAAAACCCCACCACTGGTATTAAAAAAGTTAGCTAGAAAATATTTGTTCTGAAACCCACAAACCCCCCTTCACTTTAACATACTTCACAAGGGGTAGAAGGCAAGGAATGCACCCTATAAAGGGGTATTAGAAAAATGTGACTGCATTTATTTTACTGAATTTTTGATGACTAAAGGGGGTTGCTCCTTTTTTCTCAGAGTGCTTCTTCTCTATCCGACCTGAAGTGCCGGATTCACATTCACTCGACGCCCCGCGTTCTGAATATGAAATTTACAGTTATAAAAAATGTTTCTGCGTGTTCGTGCGTGCATAAAGCACTGAAATTCTCGCACGACAGCGTGGTTTAGTGGGCGTGGCAGCTCCAAGGGCGGAGGGGGGTGGGGGGTCGCAGAGGGGGTCATGGTGTGTCGCTATTCTAAATAAGCTGGCTAGCTGGCCCTTTTCTTGTTTTTGTTTTACTGCCCCCCGCTTTTCCTCGCCTTTCCCCATTTGATTTTGTGATATGCAAATAGGACTGCGAGCGCCCAAAGGTATGCTATGCAAATGCGAATGCAGCCAGGCTACTTTGTCCTGCTCACTCTGTCTTTCTCTCTCTTTCTCGCTTTCTCTTTGCGCTTGACACTTGTAAAGCAACTGTGTAACTCACAAACACACACAGATATACCCAGAAGTGGCCATGTGTGGGTGCCTTACTTTCTCCCAGTCAAGTTGTACTCCTTTCACTCAACTCAACCCAACTCACGTTTCGCGTAGTTTGCTTTTAGGGGAAGCGCACGGCTTCCTTCCAGAATTTTTGAATAAATTGAATCTTTTTGTTGTCCCGATAAGGACTGCAATATTGTGGGTTGGAATATCTACATATATCATATGTTGTAAGGGGGAGGGGAGCTTTATTTCACAAAAAAATTGTTGAAGCATACTTTTTGAATACCAAATTTCCCTATTTGAGGGGATCTATGATATAATTAAAACAGAAAAGATAATGTTGAATGTTTAGTAACATTTGATTTCGTTTAATATTTGCAATATAAATATAATTTTATTATAAAATATAAAATAAAGTTTTTATATTTTGTTTTTTTTTTTTTATTGGTTGGAGGCCATTTGTAATTGTCTCAGAATCAGAGTATAAATAAATAAATAAATAAACTGTCTAAGGCTAAACCTATTTTTTTTCGGTTATAGCGGTGGAAGGTTTATTTCACAACAAATTTGTTGCTGCATACTTTTTGAATACCCAATTCCATTTAACTTTTCGATTTCGTTTTTTTTAATATTTGCAATGAAAATATTGTATCTTATTTTCTGTATATTTTGAAAATGCCCCTACTATAACCGATTTCTTTCAGTGCCTGGCTAATGCATCTGAGTTTGGGTCCTCGTTGAAGAGGAATTTGATATTGATTCTGCACTGGCCATTGCCCACTGACATTGGCCATTCAGTTGGTCGCACAAGGTAGATTTCGGGCATGCGGGCTCTTAAAAAACAATGATTATGATATTGATGGTGTGTGCTGTGCTGGGGAAGTGTGTGTGTTATGGGGCTCTTTGTTATCCCTTTGTGAATTTTAATTTCCTTTTATGCTGGCAGGACAATGGTCGACAATGGCCGACAGGTGTATTAATGACTACGACATGGCACAGATTAAGAGGAAAAAGTGAGTATATCAGTCGAAAAATAGGGGTGCATCAAAAAAATATGTATAGTGAGAATGTGGGTGATGATTTGTGAATCTGAATCTGATGCAGATGGGAATGTGGGATGCAGAATGCAGGATGCAGGATGCTGGATGCTCGATGCTGGTTGCAGGATGCATCTATCGAACTCATTCGATCTGCGACTGGCTGCAAAACCATTGAGAGAGGGAGCAGAAAAAGAGCAAAGAAACGTTCTTCGAACACACATTACACGACAACATTCAAACTCACTAAGCCTATGTATTGGACTAAATCTGACCAGGCTGACGGCATGGTCCTGCATGTCGTAGTTCCGCCTCCTGTCCCGCTCCCGGGCCAACTTGGCCCTCCTCCGCAGGCAGCAGATGACGAGGAGCGCCAGGATGGGGAAGCCGAAGATGCACGACACGATCGGGATGACGATCGATTCGGGTGAAACTGCAACGAGAGATGAACAAACAGAATGGGATTATATAACGACTAATCAATATTTCGATTAATCATTAAAATTTTGAGTTATCAAATCAAATGTAAAGATTTTTTAGTTGGTTTGTTTTTTGTGTAAAAAAAGCAAAAAGAAAAAATGGAAATTTTTACCAATAACACATATCCTAATTTTTCCGAAAAAAATAATTCGTTTTTGACCGAAACAATGGTTATATTGATCCAAATATCGATTGTCATACCTTTCTGAACTCGTTATTAAATTTCCAATCGATTGGCATTTAAACCTGGACATTTAATTTTTTTCAATTTTTTCGTAAAAAATCATGATGTACCCCCTTACAAAAAAAATTGAAAGTTGGCGAAAATTTTTTTTTTCCAAAATCACATGGAAAGTGTTATGGATTTATTTAATATTTTGTTATCTGTTCAAAACAGTATGTATCTTTGGTGTAGGACCATTTTTGGCCATGTCAAAGCAAAAAACAAACAGAAAAAATTAATATTTTTACCAAATACCCAGATTCCAATTTTCCACAAAAAAATAATTCGTTTTTTGACCGAAACAATGGAAATTAGTCTTTTTAATTTCTTGGTTTTCTGGGTAATCGTATATCTTTATGTCAAACAATTTAAATAAAATTCTTTTGCTAGAGACAAAGGATTTCAAAAATATTATTTTCATGTTTAAAATGGGCTATCTTTATCTAAATTTAAGACACCGTGTAGAACACGACCATTTGCGATCTGAGCCTCCCTTTTTGCTTGTATCAGCGTACCTGACTCTATCTTACCTTGCCCATCTTTAGGCAAATATTTTGACCCAAAATTTATTGAGCATTTCCTTGACGTTGAAACTGCCCTTCCTCGTTTCCTCCTCCTTCATAGTCCACTTAATCGCACTCAACATCGCAGAACCGTACTCATTCGTGACCCCACCTCAAGCCTGGGCCACTTTTTTGTTCAACCCAGGCTAACCCAAGCCCAACCCCTTTGGATTTTTCGGCCGCTCTGTGACCTTGCCCAACCTCATTTCGCCCCCATTATGACCCCACAAAAAGCGTCCTTGCCAAATGATGCACGAATGTTAATCGCCCGACTCTCTGGTTTCTGGCCTCTCTTCTCTGGTCTGTCAACGCCCAAAATCGGAATTTTGGTTTGGGAACATATTTGCCTAATTGTTGTGGTTGCGGTCAGCCGCAGAAATGCCATCGCCATCGCCATCATGGCCATCGCTGTACCATCATCCGAGCCAAGATTATTTATTTATATGTTTATTTTATCACAATAACCAAGTGCGGAATGGGTGGTTTTATGGCCAACGCAAACTCATAATTCCGGAGCTCATCTCATCTCCGGTTCATTTGCATGGCCTCAAATTCGTTGGGAAAGTAGGCAACATTTATCTGGGAGGTTGGGTTGAGGATGGGGACTGGAAATTATATTCTAGAGGGATAAAGGGCATGCGGAGAGGGGGGTTGTATGCCAAACGACTTTTGGGGGCGCATTCCTTTTAAGCCATTTGCATTTTCCTCCGTTAACGATTCGTTTGCCTGTTTAATTTCGCCTCTCAGTCGTAAACTAAGTCGGGCCAAATCTGCATCTACCCCTTAGGCCCGTGCCTTCCTCGGCGACCCTTATTCCATTAGGTGTAATTAGCAAAAACAAAAACATTTATCCACATACAAACATGGGGACACAAAACATTTTTCAACATGTTCTACTCCTAAAATGTTCTTAATATGCTACACATTTTCTTCAAGAAACAAGGATGCTCTTGAAGAAAAACATACATTTTAGGGTCTTAAATTTTAGTAGGTATGTGGAGATTTAAAAATAAAATATATTATAATATTATACATTAACATATATGTAACACATAAAGAAAATAAAATGTTAAATTCATACATTTTATTAAATTAATTATTTAATTTTAACTAACTAAGCTGCAATTTGCTACACCTTGAGTAGCATTGCAAATTGAACAGATTTCCAGCTTAGCTAGGGTATATAAAGGGTTAAGCCGGAGCTTGCAAAGAATAATTTAACCCAAAACAACATGATCTACCAAACCGACCTGATCCACCTGGGGAACCACCACTCCCACCATTCTACTCACGACAGCAAGCCCAATCCTTTGGCCCGCCGACCTCATTTACCATCCTCAGCCACTCATAAGTCACATCCATCTCCACCATCCACCTTCCCCCATCCACCATCCTCCATCCACCATCCTCCACCGAAAACCAAGCGTCCTTGCCAACGGATGCTCTAATCTAAGTCACAAAAGCCATGGCCCAAATTTTGTTTGTCGAAAAAGTAGCATAAAGGAAACCAAATCGAATAGAAAGAGCCGAAATGGGAATGCTCTGAAAAGTTTTGGAAAACGCATTTCTTTTGTGTGAGGGGATTGAAAAGCATCAAGTTTCCAAACTAACTGTGCATATTGGGTGTTGATTTTATACTTAAACAACAAAGTTTAGAGTAAAAAGAAGAGTTGGGAAAGCTTAGAACTTTCCAGTTTAAACTGCAGATTTTAGCTTAATTATTTTTGGATTAAAAAATATGTATTTTTTGTACATAACCTCAAGTGATTAGGCAAGAGTATCTAATGGATAAAATGAGATATCAGTATATCAGTATCAGAAATAGTAAAAAAAAGTTAGGCGAGCTTAGAACTTTGCCGTTTAAACTGCAAATTTAAGCTTAATTATTTTTGGATTTAAAAAATAAGCGTTTCTTCTACATAACATAACCTCAATTGCTCAGTCAAGAGTATCTAATGGATAAAAATGGGATGTGGAGTGTGTGTTTTGCCCCCGGGACCGCTACTTTATCGACTTAGGGCAGGGCTCTTGGATAAACTTGGATAACCACGACTTGGATACCCATCCCCCGTTCCCAGGGGTAAATGGAGCACTTGATGTTGGCCTGACATTATTCGATTAAATCCGAGTTCGATCAGGGGCGCAGTCGAAAGTGTTTGCTGCGGCGTTATCAGCGCCTCAGCTGGGCTTACTTAACTTGTACCCTGTCACCCAGACGAGTCACGAGTGGAAGTGGAGTGGCTGCTCGCTCCTCGCTCCTTGGAGAACGGAAAAGAACGCAGGACCTGCGCCACTGAATCCAATTAACGCCTTCAAAGTGACAGTTCAAATTTACACAAATTGATGGCGCGGAGTGGAGAGCGGGAGTCGAGTCCTTAGTCCTTAGTCCTTCGGCCTTAGTTCACTTTAGTTTGCTGCCAAGATGGAAACTTGAATTCGCGAAGGAGCAGGAGCTGAGTCATCAGGAATCGTTTGATGCCAGAAATTTTCAATAAATACAATAAAAATAATGCCTCAGACAGACGCGCCCTTTGAATGGAAATTAAATGTTTGCATATTTGACGTCGACGGAGGAATGCGCTACAAAGGAAAGGAGAGGCATCAGGAGGAAATTCAGCATCGCATCGGTAGAATCGGCAGCATAAACAAAGCCCATCGAATGGCAGAGAGGCAATATTCGAATGTGCCCAGAATATTTACATATAATATGTACATACGGAAAAATCGGGAACTCTATTTCCAAGATAGTCCAATTTAAAATAGACTTCAATTTTAATTAACTTTGTAGTTGGGTTGGTAAATCGATCGATAGCGCTATCGATACTATCGATGATATTATAGGAAACCCAATTTAACAAATTTTTTAAAACAGGATGGTTTTTTAACGTTAACTCTCAACAATGAACTTTTTATACCCTTGCAGAGGGTATTATGATTTCAGTCAGAAGTTTGCAACGCAGTGAAGGAGACGTTTCCGACCCCATAAAGTATATATATTCTTGATCAGCATCACAAGACGAGTCGATCTAGCCATGTCCGTCTGTCCGTCTGTCCGTCCGTCTGTCCGTCTGTCCGTCTGTCTGTTTCTACGCAAACTAGTCTCTCAGTTTTTGAGCTATCGGGACGAAACTTTCGCAAAAGTCTTCTTTCTATTGCAGGTAGTATATATGTCGGAGCCGACCGGATCGGACAACTATATCTTATACCTCCCATAGGAAGGATCGGAAAAAAAAACTTTAAAAAATTCTAGCTTCGGTGTTTTTTGAAATATTACCTTCTACTTTTGGGGATGTTATTTTTTAAATATTTCTGAATTTCGAATTATTTTATAAAAAATCGGACTATTATACCATATAGCTGCCATAGGAACGATCGGAAAACTAATGGAAAAGTAATAGGAAATAAATTCTAGTTTCTTTGGTTTTTATTGTATTATCTTCTACTCTAGGATATGACTCTTTTTAAATATTTCCGAATTTCAATTTTAATTTAATCAAAATCGGACGACTATATCATATAGCTGCCATAGGAACGATCGGAAAATTAATGGAAAAGTAATAGGAAATAAATTCTAGCTTCTTTGGTTTTTATTGTATTATCTTCTACTCTAGGATATGACTCTTTTTAAATATTTCCGAATTTCAATTTTAATTTAATCAAAATCGGACGACTATATCATATAGCTGCCATAGGAACGATCGGAAAATTAATGAGAAATATTAGAAAATTGAACATTTTTGCGATTTGTTAATTAATAGGAATGATCTGCAAGGGTATATAAGCTTCGGCTGGCCGAAGCTAGCTTCCTTTCTTGTTTTATTTAAATTTTTATTAATTTTCTTTACTATTCGTAATTTGTAGCATATTTTCTCGAATGCCCGATAGTATCGATAATATCGATAGTCAATACTATAGATGGAGTCCACTATCGATGTTTTCCAGACCCTGTACCTCAGTATAGTATCTATTTTGGTTAAAAAAGTATTATAATGATTTAATAACATTTTAATAATAATAAGAATCCACCTGTTATTTCCTATTTAATCTCACCACAACTATAGGCCATTTGTTTTCCGAGTGTATTGACTTAACGGCACAGGCAGATACTTCAGTACATATAGTAGCACAAAGTGATTTCTCCAGTTCGAATATATTCCCATCAAAGTCAACTCGAGCTTGATTGCGGTTCAACTCGAGGCGAGTTAAGTGGGAAGTGGATGTGAATGTGGATGTGGAAAGACGTGAGAGGGCCAACTTTGGAGTCCGCAGGCATTCTCACAGAGGATAGTTTGCATTTAATAGAGCCCCGAAAGTTTCACTTTGTTTCGGAGCCTCAGCTCACCGAATTCCTCCCAAATCAAAGTCACTTTTATCCTGTTGTTGACAGGACTCTGGGCAAACACTAACGCACTCAAGGTGACCAGTAAAATGTGGTTTTTACATAACCATAATGTTTTTTAAACTCAAAATACAATCCAATTAAATTGTTAACCAAATTGTTAAATCCCAAGCTCGGTCTTACATCGTATTTCCTCGGTTCAATAAAGGACAAAAAAAGGTCGCCTCAAACCCCTCGGAAACTGGTGAACACACATTAACTTGATTAACTCATCAGAGAGGGATTCAATTTATATTATAAATAAAAAAGGTTGCGGTCGTAAAGCAAAAGTGAAGCTGAACAAAAGAAGTAATAAATTAGGGAAAAATAAAATAAAATAAGGAAATGAGTATGGAGCTCAGGCATACCAAATATTACCCAAGTTTTTCTTAAAGCGGAACAAAAAGAATTTTAATTAAAGCCACATTACAAATCGATTAAATAAAATATGGGGGGTCTCACGGAAATACCAAGGGTTTTAAAATCACTTACAAATGTGTCTAAAAGTATGCAGTGAAAAAGTTTGTTCTGGCACTTCCTAAACGGAAATATACTGTTGCATACTTTTAGACACCTTAGAAGTACTTTCCCTAAGTGATTTCAAAACCCCATTAATTTCTTATCAACATATCTGGACTCTTTTTTTGTTAAATCGATTTGGCTTTTGTACAAGTTCCACATTGAGGCAATAACTATTAAAGTAAGCTTAAACCGTGCGACAAAAAGCGAATATTCAAGTATTGTTCGCCGAAAAACATCCCCAATCGCAACTGGGTGAAAAACGAGAGCTCGAACTCCCCTCGAAAAGCGAACAGGCATTCGAGTGTTTCGCTAAGTAGAATGCATTGTTAACTTATCAATGGAGCTGAAGGACATCGCATTGCTGTTACACCATTTTATCGGATGAATTTACGCACTTTTTGTTGGCGAAAATTGTAATGGCCAAGTTTTTTTTTTATATTTTTCTTCCATCTGCCATTCTTTTTGTTTTCTTTCTTTTTTTTTGTATTTTTTATTTCGCTGTCAGCGTGGACGAAAAGTTGTATCTTGTGTCGAACTGACAAGGTGGCGGCAGCTCGAGAGCCACGCCCACAGGCCATTGAGGGCGCTGACATTGACGTGCCTCCCCCTCCACAAAAAAAACGCCTCCCCGGTTTTTGTGACGTCGATAATGCTCCAGATATACGAGTGATTGTAGTGGGGATTGGAGAAATGAGATGGTTATGGGCCTACGGAGTCTGAGCCTGAGTCTGATGATAAGGCGAGCAGGAAAGTCGACAATGTTGTCGACAAATTTCACTGGCGCAGAAGCCCCGGGAGTGTGATGAAGCAGGCAGTTCGCTTAATAAAGACGCCAGCCCGGCACACACGCGAAAAAAGTTAAATTCACTTTAAAGGGAAATCCACTTAATTCGATTTATTATTTAAAAAGCTCCCAAACCAATTTGGGAAGGTGGAAAAGCCCTAGGACATACTCATTGGGGGGTGCCACCGAAATAAATGTCATAAAATGTGTCTGAAAGTATGCAGTGAATAAAGGATAGTCGACTTCCTGTATGCGTTCATATTACCTTTGAACTAAACATATATTGTTGCATACCTTTAGGCACCTATTTTGACATTTAAAAGTTATTTTAAAAACAAGGGCTTGAGAAAATATTGGCAGTTTGCTAAATATATTTAATTCAGTTTCAGTCCGCAATACTATATATATATATTTCCTTTAATAATATATATCATATTTCCTTTTAAAGCAAAAAACGGTAGAGAAGTTTTAAGCCAACTCGAAAAGCCTTTACTGTACATGCATATTTTTTGTGGTATCGAATTACAATCATCAGTTCAGTAATCAAACTTTCTTCAAAATAAAAAACCAATTATATTTTTTCAACTTTTTACGCTGCATATAGATGTTATTTATAAATCTCATTCAACTTTAAGTAAACAGAATTAAACCAAGATAAAAACTTGTTCATAAAAACCATTATATTTGTGTAACTTTTTAACTGCATTTAGATTTGATATAGAAATCTCATTCAACTTTCAAGTAAACGGATTTAAACTAACCAAATGTTTGTTCAAAAAGGACTAAGGAAATTCAATCGGAAAGAGATTAAAAACTTTTGTTATTCTTCTCGCACACCGAGGGATTTTCTCGGGGACACCTTTTCGATTTAATATAATTTGTTTTCTGTGCAGCCTTTTTTAAGACTCTAATTTGTGAATGGCTCGGGGCGCTACGACATTGGTGCCAGCTGCAGAGGCCCAGGACCTTCCCAACAGCAATTTTTCCGACCTTTTTCCCCACCCAGTTTTCCACCATACCCATCCGCATCCCACCCAGCGTTCAACTGATGGCGACACTTGCCTCGAACAATCAACAGCTAAATTCGAGTGCGACTCTTTGCAATTACTGCGACTTAGACTTGTCTAATTGCTGAATGGAGAAGGGAAATGGAGGAGGGAAATGGGAATGGGGAAACTCTTGGGGCAACTTTCGGATTGGCCTAAGCCAGGCCGAAAGCCAAGCAAACTTTGCCGTGCCACCGAAACTATAAAAAATAAGTTGACGTGGCTGCCGGAGCATTTGGAGGAGTCAATGCGGATAATGAGGACTCGGTTGTCAGCTCATGCAAATTAACGCCGACTAATTGGTAAGGGGATGTGTTGGAGGAGCAGGAGACTCCATCCAGTTTGGCCATGGATCCAAGTCTGGCACGCGACCTCGATGGGTGACTGACTGCACTGATTTGATTACCACAGTGGCGGGAACTCCGGCCTTATCCGATCTGGCAAATGTCCCTAATTAACTTAAGGCCGTTAAGAGTCTTTTAATTTGGACGATGTTTATGGCCCCAAAACAGCGACAAATCCAGCCAGAGTTCTTTCTTCTGATTAAACATGACTGGGAAGCTGACAAGTAGCTGCGTTTCTTTTTAATTTAATCTAAAGAAAATCTAAGAAAAAGTAAATATTTAAAATAAGAAAAAAATGCTAGCAAATTGTTCTTGATTTGAGAATATTTGTTTTTTAAAACGTTCTTAGTTTGAGTTGAATGTTGAATTTACGACTGAAATGAAAACTTTAGAACTCTCTCGGTGTTTAAATATCGCTCTTTAAAAATTGATAAATAGCTCTGAGTACCTTTTAAAGAAAATACCATTTAGCTAAATTAAAACCAAATATTACTCAAAAATAAAATTTTGGTAGTGTCACAGAAAAAACCCGGATATTAAATAAATGGAACAATATATTTTAAACCCAAAAGTGATAAAATTCATACAGAAAGACGATTATCTTAATTTGACATTTAAAAGTGATTTCAAAAACCCAGCAGTTTCTGTGGCACTCCCCATAAATATATTTATTATAATTTTCTCATCGGTTTTGCTCTTTCTGATTAAGGAATTACCCACATTTAGGAACCCCTTTGTGTGTGGCATGCATTTTCCGTTGCAAATCATAAATATTTAATTCGCCAGTTGCGCTTTAACAGGAAGCTATTTTGATTTCACATACCTACTCGAAAATTCATGAAAATGCATAGCAATTAGCATAGTAATTACTTTCTTAAGTAGATGAACAATAAAATTTGCTCTTTCTCTCACTCAGAATGAAAAATGTCATAAATTCTGGCAAATCGTTTAAGAATGTAAATGTAATTGAAAAAAGTTTTGTTCAAATTTCTTTTTGTATTATTTATGACAAAAGTTAAGCTCAAGAGAAAAACAAATGTGTTTCTTTAATATTTGGCATCTTGAAAAATGTAAGGGCTGTTTTCTCGTCCCTTGGTTATATTTAAAGTAGAGTTTAAAACTTGAAAGCGTATTTATTGTACTTTAAATTTAACAGGCGGACGAGAAAACGGTGCTTAGATAGAGCTGGAAAAAATATCGACCGTTTACTATTTATCGATTTTCCCTTCAAAATATCGATGTTATCGAATCAATATTGTCAAAATATCGAAAATATCGATAATATTATTTTTGTAAAATTTAAAAACTCACCCGTTGGGTAGACAACAATGGTCGTTGGGCGATTCTTGGTGCCGCCGGTGGCGGCGATGAAGGTGGCCACCGTCTGGGCCTGGAATGTGGCCATGGTGCTGGTGGGGATCGGCAGCGGCAGCGTGCTCATCACCGCCGTTGTCGATGACTCGATGAAACCGCTGAGATTGCCCGCCGGCAGATAAACGTCCGTTCCGGTTCCGGTCGCCATGCCCATTTCCATTCCCAACCCCATTCCACCACTCCCCGCCAGCGGATCGCCAGTGGCGTTGTTGGTGTTCGGGAATGGTAATGGTAATGGGAACGAGAGCACATCCGCCGCCCCTGGGCCACTGGTGGGATCGATGTCCTGCCCTTGGGCCTGCTGCTGAGCCTTTGCCTGGGCCACGTCGGCCGCATCGAGAGCCTGGAGCAGCAGGGCGGAAACGGGCAGGTTGCTCACGTGCTGGGCGGGATTGGCCCGGGCCACTTTGGCCATCGTCCGCTTCAGCAGGCCCCTCAGATTCCCTGTAGTTTCGTTATTAATGGTCTCGCCTGCTGCTCCTTCTCCGCCTTTTCCGGCTGATTTTTCCCTGGCTCCTCGTGCGGTCATATTGTTTAATAATTTCGCAGCATAATCGTAAATTTCAATGAGCATTGGGTGGTTTCGCCTTCGCTTGCTCTCCTTAAATCCTTGAATCCTTGAATCCTTAAACAGCCGGGATCTGTATGCAAGAGAAGTATTGCTAAATGTTTGTCCTTAGCCGCGGATTCCGGTCACAGGACAACGGACAACGGACACCGGACTTTGCTAATTGCTTTAATGAATCACTTTGCCAAACAAAGTGTGCGGGTGTGTGTGTGTGTGTGCTGGTGAAAGTGGGGGAAAGTGGAAGTTTCGGATGGCGAAAGTTTGACCAACCACGATTGATTGCGATCAGGGGCCAGGGATTTACCGAAGGACAACAAGACCACATAAAATACCTCAATTAAATAATTTAATTTAAATTTTATCCTGAATATTTATACGAAAGATTTAGGGATCTCAGCATTCAATACATATTTCAGATTTGTACAAGTATGCCAACTACACATACTTAAATTTTCCTCTATTTAATGCTCCGTAAATTCCGAACCTTAAATCCCAACGAAATATTGCACATCACATATATTTATTTACGAGCTGCTCCTGTCATCGTTGATTAGTCGGGATTTGTTAACGGGGCAACGTGTTGGAGAACATGACTTTTAAAGCTCCCCGAAATGATGTAAGCAAGTTATTCGGGGGAAAACCTAAACCCGAATCCCAAATGACCAGCTCTTGACCTCCCAATCCCAATCCCTATTCCAATCCCAATCCCCCACTTTCAATACCAATCCCCGCACTTGTTGGCCACGCAAAGAGCGCAAACATTGAATCGGCCAACCCTCGGCCATCAAGTGAGCAATCCGGAGGAGCTTCAGCTCCAATGGCACTTGAAACCGAAACTGCCGAGGGGAGCGGGTATATAGATGGATATATATCGTCGGGGGTAGGGGTATATATAGATGGGCAAACGGATGCGAATGCGAATGAGCAGGAGGATGGCAGAAGGGGGACACTTTGGCGACAACAGGCAATAAAAATATGTTAACTATTGCATGGGGCTTCGTGGACTAGCTTCATTACGACAAATCGAATTGAATCGAAGGAAGCACCATTCTACTGCCACATCCACATCTACATCCACATCCACATCCACTTCCCTGGTCACCAGAGACCACAATTAAATGAGCAAGCACGATTCCTTATGCAGAGAGAACAATCTTATACTTTAAAGACACAAAATGTCGCTTTCGACCTTGGGAATTCACTGATTTGGAATGATTTAAAGCCCTGTATATTTTTGCACCATTGAATTTGTCCAAATATAGCCTTTTATTACTTTTCTTTGCTGGAGAATCAATGAAAACATTTAAGAGTCTTTATAGGCCTTTTGCAAGTACACGAAAAAAAGTATACATTTTAAATTAATTTCTATGTTTTCAATAGGATCTCAAAAATTTGCTATTTTTTTTGTAGAATTTTCTTTAGACTAACATACTCATTTTCTATTTTTTTAAATACTTATATAATTTATTTTAAATACCTGTTTCTTTATATATTTTTTTGTATTCCTCAGGGACTTTTAGACAATTTTCGATTAATAAATATTAATAAATTGGAAGAATTATCTTTAGTTTAAATTGTAGTACCATGATTATCATCAAAGTTATGGTAAATTTGCCTTCAAGACCTTCGAAGGCGATACGAGACATAAAGAATCTTGTAAAAGTTTAATGGGTCGTTATTTGAGTTCTATTTTTATGGCCGTTTCGGGGTGCTAACTAAACCTATAAATACCTATAAATATCTAGAAAGTCCTAATCGGTTAATAAATCAGCGTTTCACTGTTGCTTTTATGGGGCTGCCGTTTCGCAGTTATCTACGTGCATATACGAGTATGTATGGAGAAGGCCCCCCTACTTTTCGCACAGTGTGGCTGGGGGGAATGCACGGACCGCAAACAAAAACTATCCCAGCGGGGAATGGAACTGGATGGAGATGGGGATGCTGAGGGATGGGGATGGTACTGGATAGATGGATGGCTTTCCGGGGGTTCGCTGGCTGGGTTCTATTCAGGCTGGATCTGGACGGAGGATGCTGAAAGCGCGCGTCCTTCGGCGCTTCATGTGTCGATGCGATGCCCATTCAAATGTGAAGCATACTTTGTCACTTTTGTTTCTATGAATCTGGACAAAACAAGGATGGCACACTCACACACACACACACAGCAAAATAAAAAGGGACATTAAAAAAAAAAGGTTCGCCGGCGTTCGCGGTATAATCACACTCTACGTTAACCGTTAGTTTCGTTCTTTTATCCGTTCGTACTTTCATACGCGCCTTTTTATCCTTTTATCCGCCTTTATCCGCTCGCTGCTTTCGCGTCGGCAGTCCGCCTGCCTTTGTGACGTGCGCGCCGAAAGCAGCGCGCTTTTATAGCCGCCCCAATTTCCCCAAAAAATACCCCGCAAATTTCCCACAATTTCCCACATTTTCCCTCAATTTCCCACGAAGAGAAAATTCACCCCATTCACCAATTCAAGCATTGGAAAAACGCTCTCCTCGCTCTTCGCTGGCTGGAAATTCACAAGAAATTCGTTATTTATTGTGCAAGACGAAAGACAAACACAAGTCAATGCCTTTGTTCAGGTCGTCGACAATACGGCCAGGTTCTTTAATTAATTCGGATTGTCCGCTCACGAATTTTAAATGACTTTGACCCAATTTAATTTGTAAATATATAACATACACAAATATGGGGGTGCCGCAAACAAAAAGGAAAAAACAGGAAGGCTACCGGTTTGAAATCCGCGATAAAAGGTGTCTAAAAGTATGCCACGGTATATTTTGAAAGTCCGTTCATTTGTCTAGGACAAACTTGTTAACGGTTTTTTTAAAGGGTTCAAACCTCTTAAGATTTCCCTGGCCCCCACCGATAACTTTAATTAATTTCAATTTGCAATTCGCGTTCAAACTTACATTTTCTGTATGTATCCCTAAGAATGCTCTTAAATAATCGTATCTACATTACGATTTTTTAAAGGATAATGGCTGCCTGACTTTTAGTTATATAAATGTTGAAAAAATAGTTAAAACTTAAAAGAAAATGTTATGATAATAAATTTCACCTTTTTGGAAGTAATATTTTATTTTCTTAATCATAAAAATATTTTGGTTGAGTTTTTAATGGAATAGTAGTAGTTTCAAAAACTATATCTCAACAAGTTCCATGTTATTAAATAAAAGAACAAAATAAAAATGTTGAATACCTTTAAAAAGGCCTTTTTCCTAGAAATTTATGAACATTTTTTCCATACAATTTTTTATGATATTTTAAGCTGGCTTCTACTGAAAATAAAGTTTGGGAAATATTTTCAAAATCAGTAGGCTCCAGAATTAAACTTCATTTGTTTCTAGACAGCTGGGAGTTCACATCTAGGCAGAGCCTCATTCCGATTTTAGTTTCATACAAAGTAACACGTAATTTTCCTAGAAATTTGTACGACATTTTTTAATACAATTTTAGTGTTAGAGTAGAAAACTGAAGACTTTTAACGCGAGGATTCTTTTACGGGTAAGTGTTGTGTGTGTGTGTGTACGGTAAACCCATAAAAAAATTGTAGGTAAAAAGTTAAGATATTTTTTCAAAATAAGTAGGCTTTGGAATAAAACTTCATTTGTTTCGAGAAAGCTGAGAGTTCACATCTAGGCAGAACCTCAGTTCATCTTCTACATTAGAACGAGTAACATATATTTTTTCCTAGAAATTTGTACGACATTTTTCGTTACAATTTTTCAATACAATTCTAGTGTTACGAACATTTTTGGTAAAGTAGAGAACTTGAGACTTTTAGCGAGAGGATTCTTTATCGGGTAAGTGTGGTGTGTGTGTGCGTGGTGGTTCAAAGGGCCAAAGTGGGTCAAGTTAGTGGTGTTCGGCTGATTTTCACACTTCTCGACTCGTTGCCAAGAACAACAAACACGGATGGAAATTGTCCGACCAAGACTCGCGTAATATATTCGTGTTTCGTGTTTGATTCGATTCGATTCGAAGCAAATTGCCATAAAATACGTGCCACTCGATGAATTTTCATCCGCCGCGATGTCCGATCGAATCCGGCTAAATAAATACGAGATACAAGAAAAGGCGGCAAGCTAAATTCAATTCAATTCGGTGACTGATGTGTGACCTAGGCTCTTTTATTCCGAAATGATTAAATCATTGGACTCTCGAGATCCAATCTCTTTAAAGTGTAAGCAAAAAAAAAGTTTTTGCTTTAGCTTTAGATAAATCGAATGAATGACATTTGATTCGTAGCCAAGCTGTTCTATTCCGAATTTGATAAATTGAAATTAATTTGAAAGCAGATGTTGCTAATCTTTGGCCAACTCATCGTAGAAAGGCAATTTCAATTTGAATTGTTGCTTTTCTCATTAACTAAAGTCACCAGCAACCGGCAACTGATATTTCGAGTGGACTGGCAATCCAATTTCTATGCTGAATGCAATCAATTTTAAATATAAAGGCCAACTGCAAAAACAGCATCTGGCTAATCAACAGGGACACAGGTAGAACACATAGCACATAGCACTTTTCACTCGTTGCGAAATTTTACAAATTTAATTGCCTTTGTTTACGGGCCGTAACCGTATGGAAAATGCATTTGGGAAATGGAAATAGAAATGGAAATGCAACGAAAATGGTTTGATCCAAGGGAAAATGCCCGAAACAATTGCACTTCCTTCTTCCGCATTTAGAGCAGATATTTGTGCAATTTATTTGTGCTATTATTCCGACTAAAACAGTCGCACACACAGAATGGCAATGACAAGTACGTTTTTATTTTCCTTTTTTTTTCCCCCAAAAAGTCCTGTATTTAAATGGCCCACATGGGGTCAGTTGGCCGAATCAGTCTGGGGTTAGACAAACCAATTCAATTTCCCTAATCCTGGTTCGGCTTTTTGGGAAGAATATTAAATTGTTTGCAGCCAATGGCTATTGGATTGCCAGCTGAAATTGACTGCTAGTTTTAGAGGCCGCTTTTCGTGGCTTTCTGAGCATAAAAATTTGAATTTTAAAGTTCGCTTCGAAAATAACGTTTATTTTGGATTTTTTATTTTTAAATTTTCTGTTGTATTTTGTTTTAAAAATATTTACCCTTATTCTTATCAACAGAGTATCTAAAAATCTGCCGAATAAGTCTATAAAAATTTCAAAAATCGCAGCAGGCCTTAAAAAAATATAAAATTTTTTCAAATCGCGTAGGCCTTGGAAATAAACTTTAATTTTTCGAACTATTTGGGTTACCTCTGCCAGCCCAAATATCATTATTTCACCAACACCCGTAGAGTTCACAACACAGTCCCTTGTATAGCTTTTCTAAAACTTGTTATTTTTCAAAAATAAATATCCAATAGATTTTCAACTCAACCAAACGGACAAAACGGAATTTTCAGCGTGATAATTCAATTCAATATTGGACTTAACCCGGCACGACTTTGCAAATGTAACTTACTGAATTTCTCCGTTGATATTGGCTAGGTTAGTAAAGAATACAAGCTCTAATAAATCAATATTGAATTAATAAAGTCGGGAATAATACATTTTTGATACTATTGTTAATCAAATATTATGAATTATTTAATTATATTAAACTATTTCATTTATGATTATCAATATTTTAATTTTAATTAATTAACTTTAAAATTTTGTTAAATTTGCAATTAAATATTTCCTGGTCTATTTAAACCAGCTTAACCATTTTATAAATTCTTAAATTATATTTAACTTCATTTGTTATTACTCATATTTTAAGAAAATATTATAAGTACCTATTTAATAAATTACTTTTAGTTATTTATTTAGTTTTTTTTTTAAATTATTTCATTTACTATTAATTTAAATATTTCCTGGTCTCGTTAAACCAGCTCAACCATGCTCGCACGGGCCAAGAATATTTGTGTCGGCCACAACACCCTGAAGCGATGGTCACGACTCGAGATATTGGCATGGATTAACGAGATGCTGCAGTGTCATATCGAGAAGATAGAGGATCTCTGCACCGGAGCGGCGTACTGCAATTTAATGCACATGATTTTTCCCGGATTTATCAACCTAACTCGAGTGAAATTCGAATCGAATCAGGAGTACGAGTTTGTAGCCAATTTCAAGGAGCTGCAGAAGTGTTTCAATCATGTCAAAGTCGATAAACATGTGCCGGTGGCCCAGCTGGTCAAGGGTCGCTTCAACCATAACCTGGAGTTTGCCGTGTGGTTTCGCCACTTCTTTGATGCCAACTATAAGAAGGACGTGTGCTCGGGCTACGATCCTTTGGCGGCTCGCAACCAACAGCCGATAGGAGTGGGCGCCCGTAATATTGCAGTCACTACTCCCAGGACGGCGAGGACTTCCAGGACTCCAAGGACTCCAAGGACTCCGATGAAGCAAGCCAGGCGCCAGGGAACTCTGGTGAAGAAGCAGCCGGAAAAAAGTGAGGAAGAAGAAAAGGAAGGAATGTCGCCAAGGCTGGGAAAGACATTGCCGCGAATCCATGAGCCCGGCACACCGCTCTTCTTCCTGGGCCCCAATGTCCTGGCTGTGGACGGAGTGCCTCCTCCCCCGGAAATCGCTGGAAAACCCGATGATGCCAAGCCGGTGCCGAAGAAGGTGACCAAGCCGCCCTTCTCGGCCAGAAAGAAGCCAGCGTCGACAGGCAGGAATAAGGTGGAACCACCACTGCCTCCTGTCGAGGTGCCTCCTCTGGATCTCAGTGACCTAACCGAGGATAAAGCAGGTCAACCGGAAATCAGTACAGGTGGCCGGAAGTCGGTTCGTGGATCCCTCTACAAGACTCTGCTTAAAACGACTACCCCGACCAACCCGACTACTCCTCCTGTGGAAAAGAAGGTACTAACCGGCCGGACCAAGCTGGAGCTCAACAAGAGCTATATCATCAGCCAGGACGGAAAGGTTCCCCCCTTGGAGCTCGATGGCCCCACCGGGGATGCAGTGAAACTAGTGCGACCAGCTATCGATACAGAATCCCCTTATAAGAAAGATCTCAAGGGGAAAAATATGCTAGCAACCACTGGGAGGAATAAACTTGAGCCTGCCAAGACCTCCTTGAATGTAGAACCAACCGAGGAGAAAGAGAAACCTGTGCCCAAGATTTCTGTTCTCAGGAGGACTCTTACTCTCGTGGAGAAATGGACGGTGCCAGTCGGCGGTAACAAAGTGCATATATCTACCAGGACACCCCCTGATAAGGTTACCCTGGACCAGGTTAACCTTAAATCCAAGGATCTCCATTCTAAGAGGATAACCTTCAAGGAATGGCTGGCGATAAGGAGCGAAGAGATGGCTGCCAACCAGAGCTTCAACACCAGGGACATCAAAGCCGCAATTAACCAGAATTACTTCAATACTGACATGACCGATAAGAAATGCAAGGATAAACTAACTATAAGGGAGTTAAAGGGAGTTAAACCACCAGAGGCGATGGACAAGGATGCGATCAACGAATCGGATGAGAATCTCGTCGAGATCTATAGGTCTCCCATGTACAATGGCAAATCCAGCACTACGGAGATCAAAAAGGAAACCGTGGAGGAGGAGAAACCACAGGATCTAGGTCTTGCATTGGATCCTATTCCCATCCCAGAGATCCCAGCTCCCAGTCAAGCGAAGATCGAGAAGGAACTCCCCAACGAGATTCAACTATCCAATGATCTGCTCAATGTCCTGGCAGAGCGCGAAGTTACCAACGAGGAGGCTCTGGCCGAACTGCGTCTCCACGATGATCTGCGTCTCCTGATCAAAATGCCCGATGACGGCAAGGACGTCGATGTGGCCTTGGCCACCATTCGCCAGGCAGGAGATGCCACCCACGAGAAGATCATCGATGATGCCTGATGCTCGAGATCCAACGATCCATCGCTGGACTGATGGTCCCGCCGATTTATAACGAAATTAACAGTATTAGTTTAGAGCAATCGGAATTATTTTCCTTGGTACTAGGTAAATTAGGCTTTATATTAGGCTATAGTGATCTGTTTTTTTTTTTGGTATAACTAGCCAAAATTAGGGATTTGTATTAGTCTGTAGTAATATGATTAGTTTTATTTCGTATGATCTAAATTAGGACTTTGTAGCTTTTATTAAATAAATTTAACCATATTTGAGAAAAACTGATATATTTTAGAAATTTTATTTTATCGCATTTCTCATAAAAAAGTGAGTTTACTTAAAATGGAAAAGCAATTTTTTCTAAATCAAAGGTGATCAATTAGTTTGTTTAAAACGGTAAATATTTTGGGTTTCATATTTCATCAAAAAACTTGTTTCACCTTTTTTTACTCACAAACTCTGTAAATTGACACCTTAACTTAGAAATTTACATTCGACATTTTTTTAAATGTCAAATTGCCAAAAGATGTTTAAACAATAATGAATTATTGAAGCTACTAACATTTTAATATTCTATGCTAACGGTAATTTTAACGGGCATTTAACAAATAAGTTTATGGTTACAATCCTAAGTAACTAATGTATGGTAAAAGCTTTTTTGATTTTGATTTCTATGTTAGGCATAGTGGGTGTGATATTTTAACTTATTCTTATAAGCTTCGAAAAATAAATTAAATTAAAATTAAATTCTGTTACAATTAAATTATTTCAACGATATTTATAATTTGACAAGGTAAAAAACACGATTTTTTTCGACTAAATTCTACTGTCATACGTGTCGAATGAGTAATTTTTAAGGAATTATAGATAATTTCTCCAATGCTTAAATCTTAAATTATTTAGTTTTGGAACACTAAAATCTACCACATTTAAGGGTTGGAGTAATGCAAGATTATATTTTTGGGGCCACCCTAAAGTACACACTTATAAGCATATTTCACAAGCTTTGGTCGAAAAAGCTCTTTCCATATGACATTGTCAGTATCGAAAGTCGCTAGATATAATATAAAAAACGGGTAATCGCAGTCGTGCTCCCCAGTTGTTTACCAAGCGTGAACGCAGGCAGAGATTAGTGGAGATTAGAGGAAAAACCCGGGAAATGGCACTCAAGTTTGCAGCGAATCTGAACTTTTTGTTCACCGAACGAGCGGCGACGATCGCGGAGCGGATCAGGCTGGCCCACCAGAGCGGCTTCCGGGCGGTGGAGATTCCCTATCCGGAGGGCGAGACGGCGGCAGTGGTGGCCGCCGTCAAGGAGACGGGCGTGGTGGTCAGCCTGGTGAATCTGGCCTTCGACAAAACGGATGACCAGCTGCGCTTTGGATCCACCAGCGTTCCAGGATCGGAGAAGCTCTTCCGCAGCCAACTGGACGCCACCATTGAGTTTGCCCGCCAGGTGCAGTGCGGCAAGATCCATCTCACCGCCGGCCTCTTCAAGGGATCTCCTGCCCAGGAGGCGGACTACACGAAGACCTACACTTCCAACCTGAAGATCGCCGCCGAAAGCCTGAAAGCGAACCAGCTAATCGGCGTGATTGAGCCAATTAACAAGTACGCCGTGCCCGGCTACTTCATGAACTCGTACGCCAAGGCCGCCGGAGTGCTGGCCGCCGTGGGTGCGGACAACATCCGGCTGCTGGCCGATCTCTACCACCTGCAGCACCTGCACGGCAACGTTTCGAAGACGCTCGAGGAGTACAAGTCGCTGATTGGGCACTTCCAGATCGCCCAGGTGCCGCATCGCCACGAGCCTGATGTTCCCGGGGAGCTGGACTACGGCTACGTCTTCAAGGCGCTCCAGGAGTTCGGCTACGAGGACTGGGTGGGCTGCGAGTACAGGCCCAAGACGACGACGGTGGAGGGCTTGGGATGGGTCACCAAGCTGGGCTACACACTGTGATCGCGATCACTAAGGATCCTTGAGATGACGTTGCATTTATACACATGTATTTACACTCTTAACAAAACATATATAAAGCTGGTTGAACCAATATATCCTACTAGTTTCTTCTGAAGAAGGGCTTCTAAATTCCCAGGGAATTGTCAAAAGGTCACGGAGTTGACCTACAGCAAGTGTGGAATAAAACAGTAGCCGTAGCATAGACGATTAGATAAGATTAGATAGATTCCCGTATCTCCTCAGCCGTCACTCTCGCTGCGAATAACCCGCTTGGCATATTCCGCGATGTGGAGCACCCCGAGCTCCGGGGAGGCGATGTGCAGGTTGTCCCCGCTGCAGAAGACCGTGTTGATGTGCGGATTGTGCAGCTCGGCCACCAATGTGGAGCAGGCCGTCGAGGAGTCGCCGGTGGACTTGAGCATTTTCTAAAAGGAAAGGGTAATTTAGAAAATTATTAATGGGGATAATAGTTGACTAATATATTATAAATATATTTTAATAGTATATTATATTATAATATACTGATATTTTAATCATAATAAATAACCTATTACTTAATGTGGTGAAATTAAAAAAATATTAGAAGTAATGCATCATAAATGTCACTCATATTTCAAAGATTATGTTTTAAATGTCAAGACACTTTTCCCAAAGGTTACATTCGGAATGCCTTTAAATGCTTGACTCTATTTCTATTTGCAATTAGCGCGAGTACAAGTGTATAATCAGATTACTGATAATGCCTGTCCTTATTATATAGATAGCTTTAGGTAAAATATTGTACTACAGTTCTGAACAAATACTTGTAAATTATATGAGAGCCAAAAAACCGCAAAATTGATAAGCATTTTCTATCTTCTTTTTGTGGCCTAGGATTGTTACGATAATTATGTATAATATGCCCTTAAAAAATGTAACAATTTACTATCTTTTTTTTGTGGCCAAGCATTGTTATGATAATTAAATTATTAAAATTTAAATATTTTAAAAAATTTAATAATTTTCTATCTTATTTTTGTGGCTTAGGATTGCTATGATAGTTAAATAATTAATAATTAAGTATATTAAAAAATGTAACAATTTTCTATCTTATTTTTGTGGCCTAGGATTGTCATGATAATTATGTATAGTATGAACTTAAATTTCTAAGCTTCTCACCATCCAGAACTCGTTGCCCGGCAGCGCGTTGCCGTCCCAGGCGTAGGAGACCACCAGCAGCATGCCGGCGTGCTCGGGATCGCTCAACTTGCGGGCCGGATTGCGCTTGGAAATGAGCACCCTGATGCCGTCCTTTGGATGGCCGGGGATCTCCACCAGCGATCCGTGGCGCAGGCCGCCGCAGTCGTTGATCGAGAACCAGGAGAAGTGGACGAGACCCACATGATCCAGCCGCGCGCCCAGCGTGCGCATGCGCTGCTCGAAGGTCTCCAGGAAGATGCGCTCCTGCTGGGCGGCCGCCTTCCAAACGCCCAATCCGAAGCCCACCACATGGATGTAGGCCAGCTTCTTTTCGCGCTTCGCCCTCGCCTGCGCCTCCAGCAGCAGCAAATCGAAGCCGATGGCGTAGCGCCGCTTCATCACCAGGTTGTCGAATACATCCTGCTTGTTTCTCGACGGCCCAAAGCGCCGGTTGTCGATGACGGCCTCGCCATGGATGAGATCCCTTGTGGCATAGAATCCGCGCCACAGACGCCGGTAATCCTCTTCGCGCGTTCCAGCAGGCTCATCCACCGCCATCCCGTAGCCCCTTTCCCGCGTATTCTGCTGGCGAGCGATGACTATGTCCTGGAACTCCATGAGATTGCGACGCGACAGTCGGGCTCCAATCATGCCCACAATAACGCCCGTTGGCTCGAGGGTCTTGGTGTGCGGATCAACTTGCCCGCAGTTGGTGCGCTCGCCCTCGTTGACGAACTCCGTGTGGGAACTCACGGAGAGCAGTGCCGAAAGCTTGATGTCGTCGTAGCTCAGGACATTGGCCAGCAGCAGAGGAGCCTTCTCCTCCCTGGTGCCCACGGATTCGAAGCCACTGGCTCCAGTTTCGCCGCCCAGCAGGAGGAACTTGTCGTTGCGGGCAAAGAAGCTGGCGCAGCGCTTCTCCAGGAGGCGCTGCACGAAGCCGCAGAGGGAGAGCGGCCTGTAGATGGGCTTCTCCAGGGAGTTGCCTGTAAAGGGAGGATTCAAGGGATTAGGAATTAGAGGGGGGACAGGAGTACTACCCACCCCACTGGCACTTGTGCTCCAGATACCGCAGATAGAGGCCCAACGTGCGTTCGTGGATCACCGGATAGGCGGAGGCCACCTGCTCGTTAATCCTGGCCAGCCGCCGAGGAGATTGCCTCTTCACCCGGACACTTTGCACGCCGAACTGAGGGATAGTTATCATTAATATCAATTAACTTATATAGTTCACCCAATTAACTACCTCCAGTGGGAACTCCTCGGATTTGGCCATCAAGTTCACTAAATCCTCCTCTCCGCCGAGGGGCTTCTTCACCTGGCGGCAGTTCTTCAGCAGTTTGCGTCCGAAATCGGTCAGCGGCAGGGAATCCCCGGTGACCGCGGGCCAAACCTGGTCAACGTCAGCTCCAAAGGTGGACATGGCTTCCAAATGAATCGTGATTTGATTTCACAATTGCATTTAAATAGTTTGTGGGCGGAGCGGGCGGTATTTTGTTTCAGGTGGAGAAATATCGATGAAACACCGTTGCAACGATGTTTTACAATTCTTTAGATACATCGATGTTTATTGGCGGCAATCGATGTTTTTAAAGAAACGGCGGAAAAGGTGTTTTTAATTTAATTTAATTAATTAATTTACTGTACACAATACAGATATTTTTAGATATTCAACTGGTGGACACTAAAATAATAATATAACTAATACACTAATATAATTATGTAAATATGTTGATCACTTAGAATCTTGATGATCAATTGCTTTTAATATTTTTTGCCAAATAAAGCCTTTTTTCTTTTTGTTTTAATATGAACCATAAAAGTCTTTCAGTTGGGCTATATTATTCTTAATCTTAAAAATTGTTTCTTTTCAGGTAAAATAAACATTGCAATAAACAATGCCATCCATTTCTTGTAATCTTTCTTTTAATTTTAATCAGTTCAAATTTTGCGCCATAAAACTCAAACAAAACAGGCCCACTATTTGCTTTGGTATTAAAATACTGCCAGTTTTAAATACCAAATTAGTAGTACCAACCCAATTCAGTATATACCAGAAATGCCAGCAAAAACTGCCAATAAATTAGTAGTACCATACGAAATCAGCACAGCCAAACGGGAGGCACATAAAAAAATTGAATGTGCATTTTTCCTACGGAACCGCGAGCACGAGAGCCAAAGGATTGCCGAGCGAGCCCAAGCATTGCGCTGAGTGAGTAGCGTTTCCGGGAAAACGGTCGGGAAAGCCGGGAAAAGCACGGCAGACTGTGGAAATGGCGCGCGGCAAAAGGCCAGCGACAAGCCACACACACACACGCACCCGCACAAAGCCGACGCACACAGACGCACGAACAGCGCATGCAAAAAACCGAAACACAAACAAAAAATATCGCTGCAGTCGACTTAAGGATGCCCTACATCCTGAATACCCTTCGTTTTGTTCGTGTGTGCATCTCAACCAAGTGCAGTCTATAGAAAAACCAAGCCTACATATGGCGCTTTCCCAGAAATGTTTCGGTTCGGAAACACTGTAGAAAACAGGATAGTCGACTTTAAAATACCCTACTCAAGGTTGCCAAATGTATGGAAAAATACCCTGTTTTAGTTTGAGTGTCCCGATTTGCAGTTACCCTAGTCACTATTCATTTTCTTCAAGCTATGATATCATATAATCGTACTTTTTAAACTATATGAGGTCTTTTCTTAAAGTTTTAAGGTTCTTCAACAAGTGTCACCGGTTAGCATTTATTTTCTTCATGGAAATCCACAATTTCCTGAAAAAGTCTTTTTTTTAGGGTTATTTATGATCGCAGCTCGATTAGCCATTAAAATAAACTGTAGAGAATAACACGATAGTCGACTATTAAATACCCTACTCAAGGTTACCAAATGAATGGCAAATATTCTGGGAAAACAAACCCATATGGTTAATTTCTTGAAAGTAGTTCCTTACAATTACAAGGTAATTGGTTTGAGTGTACCGACTTGCAGATACCCTCGTCACTATTAATTTTCTTTAAGTTACGATAACCTTGGTAGAAAATTAAGCATTTTTTCATCTTACTTTTTGAAGTATTAGAGGTTTTTAAGGTTCTTCAACAAGTGTCAATGGTTAGCCTTTAATTTCTTTATGTAGAGCCACAATTTCCTGAAAAACTTCCATGTTTTAGGGTTGTTTTTGATCGCAGATCGATTAGCTATTAAAATAAGATCGTTTCTACATGCAAACTAATACTAATTGACCCTTATTTTATCTCCAGCCCGGTGAACGACATACGAAGCTGTCCCTCCGCCCCGTCAACGCCCAGCAGTCCGATTCACCGCTTCCCCGTCGCCTCGGCTGCCGCCATCCTCCGGGTGAAGATGTCCGACTACAGCGACCTGGACCGCCAGATCGAGCAGCTGAAGCGCTGCGAGATCATCAAGGAGAACGAGGTTAAGGCCCTGTGCGCCAAGGCGCGCGAGATTCTTGTGGAGGAGGGCAACGTGCAGCGGGTGGACTCGCCGGTGACCGTGTGCGGCGACATTCACGGCCAGTTCTACGACCTGAAGGAGCTCTTCAAGGTTGGCGGCGATGTGCCCGAGAAGAACTACCTGTTCATGGGCGACTTCGTGGACCGCGGCTACTACAGCGTGGAAACGTTCCTGCTGCTGCTGGCCCTGAAGGTTCGCTATCCGGACCGCATCACACTGATCCGCGGCAACCACGAGTCCCGCCAGATCACCCAGGTGTACGGCTTCTACGACGAGTGCCTGCGCAAGTACGGCTCGACGGCCGTGTGGCGCTACTGCACGGAGATCTTCGACTACCTCAGCCTCTCGGCGATCATCGACGGCAAGATCTTCTGCGTGCACGGCGGCCTGTCGCCGTCGATCCAGTACCTCGATCAGATCCGCAGCATCGATCGCAAGCAGGAGGTGCCGCACGACGGGCCCATGTGCGATCTGCTGTGGAGCGATCCGGAGGATCAGACCGGCTGGGGCGTCTCGCCGCGCGGCGCAGGCTATCTCTTTGGCTCCGACGTCGTCTCCCAGTTCAATCGAACCAACGAGATCGACATGATTTGCCGCGCACATCAGCTGGTGATGGAGGGCTTCAAGTGGCACTTTAACGAAACCGTTCTCACTGTCTGGTCGGCGCCGAATTACTGCTATCGGTGAGTTGTCCGCCTGTAAACCAAGCGAATTCCTTTGACCAACTTCCCCTTGCAGCTGCGGCAATGTGGCTGCCATCTTGGAGCTGAACGAGTACCTGCACCGCGACTTTGTCATCTTCGAGGCGGCCCCGCAAGAGAGTCGCGGCATACCCTCGAAGAAGCCCCAGGCGGACTACTTCCTCTAAGACGAGCACGGGAGGAGGGAGGTGGAAAATCATCTAGGAAAATGAAAACTGCCAGCCTGCCTAAGCTAAGCAAACGCGAACCGCAACCATTGTAACATAAACGTAAGCTAGGATATCAAACAGCCGGACACAGTTTTAGTTCTAACGTTCCGGAGTTCCACTTGGATATCTTCTTTTTTTTATACATCTGTTTACCTCTGTCTGTGTCTAATCTGGCAATTCGCGATCTTTTGATGGCTGTTTGTGCTGTTACGTGGAAGTCATCTAGTGTAGACGTCAATATCATGGATTGCATCTAGCTGCTAACTAATAGGATTAATGACCCCTGTGTCCGAGACTCCTGCGAATTCGCCTGGCGCAGACGGTGCGCCACTGCCGTCTTCTCGACGCGAATTCCCCGAGATCGGGCAACGTACCATAAACATAGTCGTTACACGTAGGTTAAGGCCCTTAACTATAATGACCGACGGACTGCATGAAGTCGGCGGAGTTAGGACGGAATTACGAGGCAAACGAGGTCGTCGTTATGTTTACTGATTAGAAAACGACTTTGCAGCTAGAGAAAACAGCTGGGGAGAGCCAGATACGAAGAAAAATGTGTAGTAATTCGTAGTATGTAAGAGAACATTTTAAGTACGCCCCAGATTGGGATATTATATACAAATAATTATATATACTTATATTTAAAATAAAGATTGTAAGCCGAGAGACGAAAATGAGCAGGTCTATAATATACAAATTCCCAAGGGGGTTTCTTTTTCCCAAGACAACCCATCGCAGATATTTACCGCCCAACTCACAACCAATAACCATTATCTCTTGCAGTTGCTCACTTTATCGGTTACTTAAAGACTAGTCATAGGATACACATAAAAAAAATTAGATGGTTATATTCCAGAGGGGTCGCTTGTGATGCAGTAACGGGTTCGCAATGGGAATCAAATCGGTGTTCAGTGTTCCTCCAGCTCGAGTCCATGCTCCTTCATTTGCTCGTAAATGCAGTTTTCAAAGGCGACGGCAGCGTCGCAACTGGATGGATTTAAGAAATAAGTAGGCTACTCCAAAACAGATGTGAAGGAATACTCACTGATCCTCGGGTGCCTCGATGGCCTCGCACTTGTCCACCACCTCGGCGGGGGCGTCCTCCTTCTCGGCATCGTGCTTGCTCAACGCCTTGACCATCTCCACGGCGTGCTCCTTGCTCAGCTTGCCGGACTCATCCATCTGCAATTTAAGGAGAAGAAGAAATGGTGAGCAGAGCTCAAATCACTGGGCCATCACTTACCATCTGGAACTTCTTCATCACGCAGGCGCGCAGGCACTTGGCCTCGTGTCTCTCGGGCGCCTCGTGGTTCATCATCTGCTCCACATCCTCTGCAATGGATTAAATCGGGAGTAATGTTAAATAGAGATCAAAGGTAACTGAACTCCCGATCTTTATAGCAGAAATTTAATTCCTTCTATAATAAAAATCCCATTGATCCTCGTAACATAAATATCACTTTTAAAGTTACATACTTAAAAATAAATATATCAATTTTTTTTTTCTCTGTCAAAATATATTAAATTGAAATTAAACTTAAATTTCAAAGATCACATGAGAAATGGATATGTGAATAATGTTAAATCGAGATGAAAGGTAGTCGAACTCCCGTATTTTATAACAACAATATAATTCCTTCTATAATAAATATCAAATTCATCCTTATAAGTTATAACATAAATATCAGTTTTAAAGTTACATATTTAAAGATGAACATATACATTTTTTTTTGAAATTTTTTGTCGAAATATAGGTATTAAAATAAAATTATATGCGATCACACGAGAAATGAATATGTGAATAATGTTAAATCGAGATGAAAGTTAACCGAATTCCTTCTATATTAAATATCAAATTGATCCTCATAGCATACATATAAGTTTTCAAGTTTTATAGTTAAAGAAAAATTAATATATATATTTTTGAAATTTTTTGTTAAAATATAGGAGAATAACTAGAATGTTTTTAATTTCCATTAATATGTCCCTAAAAATATTCTAAAAATCTCGGGCTTATATTAATAATTATTCCTTTTCTACCCTTTCTTTGGACTACTCACCATCGGTGGCGCCCGTCTCGGCCTTGCACTCGTTGGCCAGCTCGCCGGCATGGTCCTTGGTCATCTCCTCGTGCGGCTTGGCAGAGGCGGCTCCCAGCAGGCACACCATGGCCACCAGGCCCAGGAGGAGCAGAGCGGATTTGTTGACCAGACGCGACATTTCGAAATGCGATTGAACTGCGCGACGTACGAACTCTGACTTGGATGCGAATCGCTGGCGACGCCTCCGTTTTATAGGAACCCAGTCCAGTGCCCAAGTCCCGTGATTGACTTGGCAGATCGGATCAATCGCGTCTCAAGCAGCTCCGGCAATTACTCGCAATTATGAACTACATGGGCAGCACATGACACTCCACTTCACTGCACTCCGCTCGAATCTGGACGGGCTGGGATCCGCCGGAGATGCCCTCGGCTGGGCATCGTGTGAACAAGTGACACTCCGAGATGGCCCACCGATCTCCACTTGCCTGTTTAATTGGTGACTGGCATGAAATCACTGGAAATGGAAATCAAAATGGAAATGGCACTAGAAATGGAAATGCAAAATCCCATCTCGCATCCGTAATTAAATCGATCAACAGCTCTGGGGTGAGATGAGTGATTGTGACTGGCGTGGGGGCCATCCAGCAGTCATTATATTATTATCTGGACACCCCATCCCCCATTCCCCATCTCCCACCGAGAATGGGGGGTTCGGCCAGGCAAATTGACCGTTTAGGCCATAATATACCCATATTTCCCATTTCCCAGTTTGTCCGTCAGCTTGCCAACTTTCTGATAATTCGCCAGTCTATTTGCTCTGCCATCGAGTGGAAATTTCAGGGCACGCAATCTATATTGTACAATCGAACTGCTGAAATTGGACTATATCCAATATATCGTGTCAGCACGTTGCATGCTAATTTTTTAGTGCAATTAGGTTGAAGATTTCGATATTAACAGGTTGGAAATCACCTTAGTTCGTAGAATTACGGACCAATTTAAAAATAATATAGGTGGCTTTATATAGTAAATCATCTAAAAAAATAAAAAATCCGTTGAGAAAAAAAATTCAGATTTATTTAGCGTTATAATGAAGTTTTAGGAAAATGATTTCCGTCTTTCAGTACTTTCACTAAAATTATAGATTTGTTTTAAAAGTTTATTTTATAATTTATTATTGATTTAAAATAAACCATATATTTCCAAACCAATTAGCCAAAAAATTTAGATATTTAATCTCTACAAATAAAATAAATTTAGATATTATCGCATAGCTAAATTTAGGAATTAATTAGGTTTTTATTCATTGGAAAAAATAAACACGTAACCAAGAAGATATTTAAAATTGTTGTAAATATGATATATATTAATTGATCTGTAGACTGTTTAAAATGGAAGGTTTATATAATTATCAGTACCTTTAATTTTGCATTATTTTGAAATATATTCTCTTTAAAATTAAAGGATAAATTGCTGTCAAAAATATATATACCCTACAAACTATTGGACTTCCTCTACAGGTTGTCAGATTAAAGATCTATATTAAACCGATTGCCATTGTCTAGACTCTAGATTCTAAAGTGAACATGTGCTATGTATTGTTTGTGAACTCAAAGATCGTCTTTGGAGCGTGACTTGTGGGGGCGACACTGAAATTAATGGACTTGACACTGGAAAAAGCGTTGTCATCAGCAAAATCGAGCAGAGAAAAGACATGTGCAGAAGAATATGTTTGGTTAATGGGTCACTATATAAGCCAAGAACCCGATCAAGTGGAGATCCAAAGATCAACCCGTTGCGAAGATGAAACCATCCGCCATTTTACTGATAACCTCCGTCATCCTGGGAGTTTTGCTGCAGATGCACTGCATCCAGGGCCAGAAACAGGCCTTTGATATCGCCAAGCTGCTGCCCAAGACCGGAACAGAGCCCATTTGGACGGTGATCGATCGCAATCTGCCGCAGGTGCAGGAGATGATCAACACGGCGAGGACGGAGTGCATCCAGAAGCTCCAGCTGCCCAGGGATCAGCGGCCCCTGATGAAGGTGGCCAATCCCAGCGAGAAGGAGAAGTGCCTTTCGGAGTGTGTGCTGAAGAAGATCAAGCTGGTGAGTGGATTTGGTGGAGATGTAGGTATGGTATAGGACTAACTAATCCTTTAACTAATCTCCAGATGGACGAGAACAACAAGCTGAACCTGAGCCAGGTGGAGAAGCTGACCAGCCTGGTGACCCAGGACAACAAGGTGGCCATCGCCGTCAGCAGCAGCATGGCCTCGGCCTGCAACCGGGGCATCTCCTCCAGGAGCAACTCCTGCGAGGCAGCCCACCTGTTCAACCAGTGCATCGGTCGCCAGTTGGAGCGGAGCAACGTGAAACTGGTGTGGTAATAATAATATAGCTCTGCTCTGGTGAAGATCAGTTGGAATATCCTGAAAAACACTCAATTTCTATTCACTAAATTGTTAAAATGTGAACTAGACCACAAGAATTTCGAGCACATTATTCGTTAAAATGATTCCAAAAATATTTTAAATAATTATTATAATCATAAGCTGTGGGCTTGCAATATTATATTAATAAAACTTATAAATACGAAAATTATTTAGCACTCTAACGATATTTTAACCCAGTTAGATAAGTATTTTTAGGGTCGGGTATACTTAATACTTTTGACTAGTATTACTTAGGTATTACTTACTCCCATCCCAGTTGATTAATATTCAGTTTTTCGTTGGTTGGGCGCTTTATTTGTGTTGGGAACCACCCCAAATTCTCGAGCTGTTTCTAATTAAATTGAACTGAACTAACACACAGAAAAAAAAAGAATGGAGAACATGCAATTTAGAGGGCAGCTCATCCAACTCACTCCTTGATTTCGGGAATCTTGAAGCCGGAGGAGCGCATCTCGCGGAGCATGCACATGGTGATGCCGTGGGCAGCCTCGCACCTTAATCGGGGATACACAGAGAAAAAAATATAAATGATTTAGAAAAAAAAAAAATATAAATAAATAATTTAAATATAATATTTTATCCTTCAAAATCTCTATCTCTCTAAAACTTTTTCGCTGTCATTAAATTTTGAAGAGTTTTGAAAATTTCTGGTATTAAATTTGGAAAAGTTTTGAATATTTCTGGTACTAAATTTTGAAAAGTTTTGAATTATTCTGGTATTTTCTGGTAGATTGTGACCAACACTCACTTGTCCTTCTCCGCCTTCTTCTCCTCGTTGCAGATCTTGATGATGCGCCGGCCATCCTCCTCGCGATCCGGGAACATCATGTTGATCATCTCGACGGTCTTGTCCTCGCTGAACTGCAACTGGCCCTCGGGCATCAGCTCGAACTGCTCCAGCATGCAGTGGCGGAAGCACTTGGTCTCGAGCTTGGCGTCCTCCTTGTTCAGCACCATCTCGACGATGTTCTCTGCGGATGCGACGGATGGGTTATGTGATGGGTAATGGGCAATGGAAAGTAGGATTACCCCGCAACGGTTTCGGGGTGCAGCCGTCGCCGAAGGGCTCGATCAGCTCCACCACCTCGTCGACGGTCATGGAGACCTCCTCCTCCTCCGCCGAGGCTCCCGATCCCATCAGCACACCGGCGCAGGCCAGTGCCATCAGGAGGTTCGTCATCGTCATCGTTAGCCGGTTGCTCTGCATCATTTTCGCCTCTCTTGTGGATAGTGGACGGCCAGCGATAGCCGCTGGACAATTTATAGTCGCCCCAATCGTGTCCAGCACATCCGGTACAAGCCAATCGCCTCGGTTGTAGATCTCCCGGCGATAGCCATGACATTGCTGGGGCGGATCATGCAAGCCGAAACCACAAACCATCGCAGCCCAATCAAAATGCACCACAATTTACGTAGCCCTCGGGCTAACCTTTATTGATCTGGGGCTTCTAGGGCGGGGAATTAGGGAAAGGGGCGCTCTTTGGTCAATGGATATTGCGATCTGATCTCTATCAGTTGCGGATGCATTTCTAGTATTCTGGTATCCTACGGAAACACGAACACCTTGATGTTGTTCTTCAGGCAGGAGAGCAAAGCGTGGGCGGGATCGCAGTTGGGGGCGTTCTTGAGGCCCACGGTCGAGTCCTTGCACAGGTTGATGCCCTTGCGGTACTCGTCCTTGTAGCTGTCCGGCAGCATGATGTCCATCTGCTTCAGGGTCGGCTCCAGCTGGAACTTGCCCTTCTTGATCTAAGCGGGATCGAAATAGAAGAGTTGATCGACCCAAGGTTGGGGATTATTAGTAATTATTAGTTTAGACAAAAATCAATCGAAGATCATCCTCCAGGTTCGGGAAGATATTGCGGGACCATCGAAATTTGCCGGCAAAATTCCTCTCTTTTTTGAATTGGGATCATTATATCATGGCCAAGTTACAGTAAAAAAAAAACAACAGACAAAATGTAAATTTTTCCCAAAACCAAATTTTCCACAAAAAATTATTTGTTTTTTGACCGAAACAATGGAAACAATAATTCAAATATGGATTGTCATACCTTTCTAAACTCGTTATTAAATTTCCTAACGATTGGCATTTAAGCCTTGACATTTTATTTATTTTTTAATTTTTTTAAAAAAATTAAAAATTGACGAAAATTTTATTTTTCCAAAATTGCACGGAAAGTATTCTGTATTTATTGATAATTTTGTTATCTGTTCAAAACAGTATGTATTTTTGGTGTATGACCATTTTTGGCCAAGTTACAGCAAAAAAACAACAAGAAAAAAAATTTAATTTTTACCAAAAACCCAGATCCCAATTTTCCACACAAGAAATAATTCGTTTTTTAACCGAAACAATGAAAATATTGATCCAAAAATATTTTTTCATTTCAAATTGGGAGGCTTTTTTAGTGCACTTACCGCCTGCATCATTTCCAGGATGCAATTGATGTAGCAGTTGCTGTCCTTGCTATTTGGTATATTCCCGTTGCGAATGTTGTCGGCGACCTCCACGCTGACCTTGGGATACTTGGGCAGGCAGACGTCGCGCATTAGTTTGCCGGCCGACCACATCTGCTCCTCCGTCACCTGGAAGTGGATGGCAATGGTGAGTCTCGGGTGTTCTTCAGGGAGTTTCAGGACCTACCCCTGCCTCCGATGCGGGCAGCGGTCCCATCGAAATGGCGACACAGATCAGCAGCAGATGGAACTTCATTGCCCAGACGATATTGTGGAGTCCGCCAAACATTGGAGACTCCTTTTATAGGCGACCGCCGACATGCAAATGACTTGATATTGGATCGAGATAATAGAGCTAATAGCACAGATTCCATCGAACTGTCAAGCAAGTGGGTGTGGGAATTGTGGGTCACTGCCCATTTCCATATCTAAATCCAAGTCCTAGGTGGGCCTACAGGCTATAGGCTATAATCTTCGTCACATTAATTGACCGTTCGGCGTTGGGTCACCATGCGAGGTGACATGCAAGGCGCCGAGATGGGTGGGCTGAGCCCACTTTTGACTGTTTCCGATCATGCGAATGCAAACAAGACATCAATATGAGATCTGTTGGGGCGCTTCTCAAGCAAATGGGCTCGAATAACAGCTACCTATTGTCCAATTTTGGCAAGGGTTTCTTGAAGGAACTTAAAAAAATGCCTTTAAATGTAGAAAAATATATAAATAATAAATTAACCAATTGGTAAAAAGGAAATACATATATCTGTCTGATATACCCTTGTTCACCCACAATGTACCGTATTTAATAAGTAGGTACATTTGAATATCATTTAAATTAGTTGCAAGTTGCCATTTACTATGACAATACATTTCATTTGTGCTTTCTGTACGACTGATGACGCTGAAAACGTATTGCGTGTGGCATGAAAAAACATCATTGATAAAGATAGCTGGCAATAAATACAAAATATGATTAATTCTTTCATTTATTGAGTGCAAGCAGAGTTAGCTTAATTTATGGTAATTTTAATTTCATTATAATTAAGTCCTTAACAACGTTCCTCCCATATCGATAGAATCGAAGATCATCCCTCAGGCTCGGGAAGATAATGCGGGACCATCGAAACTTGCAAAACCTTTGGTCTAAGAGGTCGCGAAAACTCATAAATCATAAGGATAATTCTGCATTATCCTTCAGAGTTATGAGTTTCCTCGTCCTCAGGGACCAATGATTTGATCAGTCCATTCGTCAAGAGGCAAGCGAAGAACGACTGCTGATCCACCCAATTCAATGCAGATTCTGGTGTAAAAAAGAATATTATTTCAGTTTCATATGTATATGTATGCAAAGTTACTCACCTTTTATTGAGTTTTTCAAAGAAGATAATGCGGGACCATCGAAAATTGCAGGTAAAACCATAATTCATAAGGATAATTCTGCAATATACTTCAGAGTTAAGAGTTCCCGAGACCTTTGAGACTAATGATATGACCAGTCCATTGATAAATCCAATGCCTGGTTCTTGAAAAGGCAAGGCAGTTAAAAAAAAGGGACTGATAATAAAAGTACAAGAAAATTATTTCTGTTTAATTTGTATGTGTAAGTAAAGTTCCTCACCTTATATTGAGTTTTCTATATTTTTTGGAAGATTTGTTCAAGTGCCGAAATGTAATGCATTATCACGCGTCTGATTTTTTTTGTATTTCGAAAAACAAATAAAATTCACAACCACTTTTGATGAAAATATTTTATGTTTTTATACCCGTTACTCGTAGAGTAAAAGGGTATACTAGATTCGTGCAAAAGTATGTAACAGCTAGAAGGAAGCGTTTCCGACCCCATAAAGTATATATATTCTTGATCAGGGTCACTAGCCGAGTCGATCTAGCCATGTCCGTCTGTCCGTCTGTCCGTCTGTCCGTCTGTCTGTCTGTATGAACGCTGAGATCTCAGAAACTACAAAAGCTAGAAGGTTGAGATTTCCCACACATATTCTTTGGCTTCCTACGCAGCGCAAGTTTATTTTAGCCGAGCGCCACGCCCCCTCTAACGCCCACAATCGCCCACTAACGATTTTAAAATGGGTCCTGCGCCCACATCTTTAAAGATTTCCGAGAAGTATAAATGCAATTTTGTTGTGTATATTTATACCTATCGAAATGTAGAAGACATTTTTCAAATCGGACCATTCATTAAAAAGTTATACGCTTTATAAATTGTCAACATATATCTATCTCCCTCGCACTCCCTTTAGCTGAGTTACGATTATTAGTCGGGACACCAACCCGACACAGCGTTCGCACTCCCTTTAGCTGAGTGACGGGTATTAGATAGTCGGGACACGAACCCGACTATAGCGTTCTCTCTTGTTTAGATCTGCTTTGTAGCACAGCCGGATTTGGAATGAGCCTACGTTAGAGAAATGTCGTAAAAATGTGCTTTGGAAGATGAAATTAATTTCAGAGCACACTTTTTACGACTTTTTACTCTAAAGAATAACTTAAGATATGAAAATTAAAAGAGATTTACGATTAAAGCTATGGAGAAATCCTTTAGAAATATATGTGTCTCCCAACGAACATCGATATTTGTAGTTTTTTAGCCTCTAAAAAATATGCTAAATAATATTTATGCTCAACCCTTTTAAATAGCCACATTGATTTATAAAAAACCTAAAAATGTGGTTTCCAGCGAAAAACTATTTTAAACAGATTATTCTCAGATATACATCTAAAGTCTATCGTAAAATAAAGTAAATTTATTTTTTATATTCCATTTGGAATAAACGAGGTGGCCTTGTCGAGAGTTCAGTGCGTGAGTGACGTTACTTAAAATTCCGATTGAAACCACAATCCGAAACCTGGTCAAAAATAAAGGTCGAATATCGTATCCAAATTTAAATATTTTTCCGCCGAATCAATCAGTCCACAACGAACCGAAGATGTCCGAACAGTTCAAGTTTAACGACGTCTTCAATAGTCAAACAATGCGCGGCCGCGCCAATGTAAGTCACCTATCATCTCTGCAGTCCCTCGGACAATCCCCCCTCTAAAACGAAAACCCACAGGTAGCCAAGGCCACCTGGGCCTCGGTGGGCCTGGTCTATGTCCTGGTCAAGATGCATCGGCGCAACTCGAAGCGTCGCGAGGCGAAGCTCTACTGCAAGGGCTGCCAGCAGGCTTTGTTGCACGGCTAGAGGATACTTGATGCCAACTATTCCAGCCCCGTGTGTCCGTACTCCTCCGATCCGTCAAAGAATCCAGTTCCCAGTCCCCCAGTTAAAAGCACAGTCCCAAGCCTCGTGTACTTTGTTGAGTCAAATAAATTTAAAATCTCGACTTCGAACCGAATTTTTTATTTGAGTAGGCCCTGCCATAGACCTCGTCCTCTGTCAATCCCATTCAATCAGACCCTCGCCCGGAGACAGAGCACACACACCTAGCACCCGGACTCAATTCCAGATCCCCAGTTCCCAGATTCCTAGCTCCCAGAGCCCCAAACAATGGCCGACGGCTTCAAGAAGTACTTCAATGGGACAACCATCAACGGACGCGCTAACGTAAGAAAGCTCCTATTTAAATTTAGAATAACTAATGCACCTGGTATTATTTTATCATGAGATTACTTGTACAATCTATGTTAGAATATCGGAAGTTACCATCTTCCGCAACATCTTTAAGATTTATATTTTGTAGACACACATGAGATAGAAGTATATATTTTCTTTTTCTGAGACTTCCACTTTTCACTCTTGAAGTAATTTTAAATCAAATTAAAATACCTCTTAAATTCTAAAACTAATGATAAAAATCAAAACAAAATTCTTAATAAAGAACATTAAAACGATTAAATTTTTAAAAGTTACTCCAAATAAAATCAAATTAAAGTAGCTCTCGAATTCTAAAATTAGTGATAAAAATTAAATTAAAACAATACAGAACATAAAAACGATTACATTTTTAAAAGTAACACCATTATACTATAACGTCAAGATGCACAAATTAAAATTTTCCACCCATTACTTACATGAAGAACCCATATTATTAAATTAATAAAAAATATTCTTAAATTAGATAGATGCTTCCATAATAAAGAATCTATTTTAAAAAGTCCTCGCTTATATCTAAACAAGCCCCATAAAAATTTCACAGGTGGCCAAGGCCACATACGCCACGTTGGCCCTGCTGTTCGTCATCTACAAGATGCGCCGCGGATCCGGCAAGTCCTCCAGCGAGCTGGCCAGCGGCAAGTGCAGCTGCGAGGCGGACCAGGATCCGTCGGTCAACAGCGACATAGGCGTCTATGGCGTGGATCCCGACTGCTCCATTTGCCGGGAGCGTGCGGAGCGGGCGATGACCGAGTACGATCGCGAGCAGCAGCGCCGGTCGGCGGGTGAGGATGACAATGGCTGCCGGGACGATCCGCCGCCGCCGCCGCCAGCGCCTCCTGCATCCGGAGGAGCATCCGGCTCGGCTCCGCGACGCAAGTGTCCCTGCGAGGAGCCGCAGCGGCGTGCAGAGGGATCCCTGAAGCACAGCAGCAACAGGGCGCGTGGCCAGCAGATCCAGCCGCCCTATCAGTACCACCAGTACGCGCAGCCCGAGGCGGAGCAAGTGCGTCCGGCCAGCCAGGTGATGGGCCAGGTGCACGACGCCTTTTATCGGGTGCTGCGAGGAGTCGTTGGGGCTGTTCTGGGCAATGCGGCGGTCAACACCAGCGGGGCAGGTAGTGCCAACGATGCAGTCGCAGTTGGAGTCTCTACGGATGAGCTAGAGGAGGACGAGCGAGACGATGGTCAGGACTACGAGAACGGCGATGAGTCGCCGCTGAAGCGCCGCACCGCTCCGCGCTCTTGTGTGCCCACCAGCGGCGGCCAGGAGAACGCCTCGGGGCAGCCGGAGGAGCTGAGCCGGGAGCAGGCAGGTGCCCAGGCGGAGGAGCAGGCCGAGTACAGCGCCTTCAGCGATGGCTTCGCCTCCGGGATGTATTTCACCAGCGACGAGAAGTAGGTGGCACTATGCCTCTTGGGATCTGCTAAATTTTTAGTTTAAAATAAAAATGAAAAAAGGAGTTTTTGGGTTTTTAAATAATCTTCATCCATTCTAAAGGAATTAGGATAAATTAAACTTTATTGGCGCCCCCGGGTGGACTTCACTTTGAATTTATAAGTAAGTGGCACCAAATCTATGCCTCTTGGGATCTGCTAAATTTATAGTTTAAAATAAATATAAAAAAGAGTTTTTGCTTAATAATCTTCATCCATTTTAATGGAATTTAGATAAATTAACATTTTTTGGCGCCCCCGGGTGGACTTCACTTTGAATTAATAAGTCACGCCATTTGCTTTTCATAGTATTTTATTTAGCTTCAGTTTAGTTCAGATAGCTTTCTTTGCGGCGCTTGGAGGGCGCATCTAACTTTTGAATAGATCATCATTAGAAACGAATTCAGCCCCTTTGTGTTTCTGGGGGGTTATCAATATCAATTAGCTTATTAACTGTTTTTTTGGGCAGGGTTTTGGACTCGGGATGGATGGGAATGGATTGGATTGGATTGCGTCTAACGTTTAAGCCTTGTGTATAATTATGAGTGGACTTCAACTAACATTTATATTTAAATTTATATGTATATATAATATATTATGGAAATAACTTTAACGCTTTGCTTTTTGGTTTCATTACGCGATCGACCGATCGTTATTCCTTTCGTTCGCTCGCCGTCTATCTACTTCTAACTCTATCTTTCTATCTCTCTCTCTTTCTCCGCCTCACATGCCCTCTCTCTCTTTTTCGCTCGATTCGTCGTCCTGCTCAGATTCAAGTGCTAATTTAAAATATATGTTTATACGTGTATATATGTGTACGTGTCGCGTGAGTGGGTTTAACTTGAAATCTTCGTGTTATTCTAGTGGGTGAGGATCATAAACTGCTGGGAGATTCGCCAGTTTTCTTGCTTCGTTTGTTCGGTTACTCAGTTGTTCCATTTACTCCAGTTCCTCCAGTTGTTCAGGTCAGGCAGGATGGGCTCCTTGGACAGTGGGCTCGGTTCAGCCCTCGTGGCTGGCCACCGACTCCAGGTCGCTGTTGTCCTCGCTGCCGGTCGCCTCGGTGGGTTCGCCCATGGCCACGCGTGCATACTCGTCGGTGTCAATGCTCTTGCAGAAGTGAATGGCATACTTGAGCTTCTCCAGAAGCACGAGCTAAAATAAATTCATGTTTCATTACTTTCGGTATCTTTTAATGACAATCTTGTAAAGTACTCACCTTGCACGAGTAGCGGGGCATCTTAAGCAGAAAGAAGCAGGTGTAGCTCTCGGGCAGGAAGTGGTCAGGCGGATTCTTCTCGAGCACTTGCAGCACAAAGTCGCGGCCTCGGAAGTCGGCAATGGTGCGCGGCAAGCGGGTGCGACCCCAGACGAAGCGTAGGAATAGGGAGCGCTCCTGAAAATTACATAAATTATAAGTAAAGGTTCTTTTGAATGCTTTTTAAACTTAATTTGTTTAAAGTGGTTAGTAAAGGAGCAAAGGCTTAAACTTAAATGAAAATCCTCGTCTGAAGAATTCGCGTTTTTTAATTCTAAGATAATAACTATCAACCGCGACTCAGAACAAGATATTCCCGAAGTCATTTCATATAACGCTATCTTTTAAATGTTTTTCGTTAGTAAAGAAGCGAAGGCTGTATCTTAAATAAAAACCCTCGTCTAAAGAATTCGCGTTTTTTTTTTTTTTTCTTCTTCTAAGATAATAACTCTTAACCGCGACTTCTTCAGGACAAGATATTCCCGCAATCATCTCACCTGATTCGTGAACTCCTCCATCACCTCCCAGAACCAGGTGACCAGGGCGGAGCTAGGATCGAAGCCCTTGTAGGTGGCCACCGACTTGAGCAGGCCCAGCGGAATGTCCGGCGAGCCGCAGACCATCGCCTGCAGCTCGGCGGCGGAGAAGAGCGATAGCAAAGGCACTGGAATCACCTTGGACATACCATCCCGCACGGCCTTCACCTGCTCGTCGAACTCGTGCAGCCGAAAGCCGAGGGCCAGCCGGACGTACTCCGATCGATTTCTGGGCGAGATGTGCGTGTAGCGCGTGGACAGCGGCACCTCGTGGCCGCGGGCCGAGGACGTGGAGAAGGGCAGCTCCAAAGTGTTGAACAGCTTGGGGTCGTCGTCCATGTTGCGGATGCAGAGCAAACCGGCCACATAGTCACGATCGACCTCGGTGAGATCGGTGGGCCGCAGGATCTCGCCGGTCAGCTGACGCCAAACGGGCTCCGCCAAGCTAAAAAAGGGTAAGAGTATTAGTTTTTTTTTTTTAGTGTAACCTATATAATTTTAAATTGATCAGCCAAATTAATGGCTTAAAAACGTATAGTACAAATAGGAACAAATAACTTGAATGCATAACAGGATGGCAGGTAACAAATCGTATAACTTATAATAGAATATTAGATTTTCTACATTTAAAGGCAGGAAAAACTCACTTGATGCTCAGCGGCGATCCGGTGCGCACGGCGATGCCCATGAGGACGCCCAGGAAGCGGAACATGTTCATCTGGAGCACCGAGGACAAGGTGGGATCCAGCAGGAAGCAGTCGCGATTGGCGCCCGCCTCGCCGCGTCCATTGGGCGTGTTGATCAGCAGCGGCACACTTCCGTTCTGCAGCTCATCGCACATCTCGGCGATGGATTCGCTGTACCCGCCGCCACAATCGTCCACGCTCTCGCCCACAAACTTGACCTTCCACACGCGATGCGGTAGAGCAAGTGCCTCCTGGGTGAGCAGCGGCAGCTTCTGCACCATCTGCCCGAAGACGCTCTTCATCCCATCCACGCCGGCCAATCCATTGCATCTGCTGCGCGATCGCTTCACCTGGATGCGATTCAGCTCGATCACCGGTCCATGCTGCTTGTCCCGCACCATTGTCGTCTGGATGACCTTGCGGAAGGCCGCCTCCTTGATGTTGTAGACCAGCACATCCTTGAGAGCGCCCAAACTCAAATCCCCGGCAATGGGCAGCATGGCCAGGCAGGGGCAAACCAACTCGGAGAAGTGATGCAGCAGGATGAGGCGGGCGTGCAGGGCCTCCGGCGCCAGATCCCTTACCAAATCATATTCCAGCGGAGGATTGGGCAGCGGACGCAGTCGCTCGCTGAGCTGCGAAGTGGACAAGGCCAACGTATGCGCCGATCCGCAGGTGACCTTCACAATGTGCTTGCCCTGCAGGGCGGCCACTAGTCTTGGTCTTTGGATGGCCGTCACGGTGCCATCGCCCAGTTGTCCCTCGTCGTTGTCGCCCCAGGTGTACACCTCCCCGGAATCACTGCAGGCGACGCAGTGCAGCGAACCGGTGGCTATCGAGATGATCTTCTTGCCCTGCAGCGCGGCCACCTTCTTGGGCCGCCGCACATGGTCAACGGATCCGTGGCCCAGCCGATGGAAGTCGCCCTTGCCCCAGGTGTACACAGCTCCGGATTTGGTCAGGGCCACCGAGAACTGCGAGCCGCACTCCACTTTGACTACTCCTAGCCCAGCGAGACTCTCAATCTTGTAGGGCAACTTGCAGCCATCGCTGCCGCCGCGTCCCAGCTTCCCGTAGTCGCCGTCGCCCCAGCTCCAAACGTTGTCGTCGTCCGTGATGCACAGCGTCTGGGCGTCGCCTGAACCACAGGCTATATCGATGGCTCGATAGCCTAGCAAGGCTTCCACCAGTTTGGGCCTCAGTTGATCCTCCGAGTCACCGTGTCCCAGGCGACCGTAGCGTCCCTTGCCCCAGGTGAGCACATGACCGCTGGCGGTGATGGCCGCCGAATGGGCACTGCCACAGGCAATATCCGCCACGCTCATGCCATTGAGATGCTCCACTAGCTTCGGGCGATCGTAGCTCATCCGGTTGCCATGTCCGAGCTTGCCATCTTCGCCTTCGCCCCAGGCATAAACCTCTCCCTCGGTGGTTAAGGCCAAACAATGCTTGCCGCCTGAATTCACGGCCACCTTCTTGACGAAAACATGCTGAAGGGATCCTAGCAGAGTGGGTATCGCCCAGCTGTCGCTTCCCCCGACGCCCAGTCGTCCGCCGGATCCGTAGCCCGTGGCAAAGAGCTTTCCATCTGGTGTCACCGCAAACAGGGACTGTTCTCCTCCAGCCAGCTGGACAGGACGCAGCAGGCTGAGCGCCTCGCAGGGCGTGGGCGTTTTAATCCTACTGCCCTCCAGTCCGCCCAGCTGGCCGCGATGGTTGTGGCCCCATCCGTAGATGGTGCTGGCTCCTCCCCAGCTGAGAGCCCAATCATCGGGCCTCCTATTGAGCCACTGCAGCAGCTGGGCGTCGTGCGGCGCCTGGAACAGGGAGTGATCCTCGTGGAGAAGGGTGCTGGCGGACTCCAACTGGCAGTGCAGCTCCTGCTGGTCACTCGGTGGCGGCGACACATTGCTCGCCGTGCTGGAGGACAGCGAGGTGGCCGAGTTGAGCATGGAGGCTCCCGGGGATTGGCCACCCGTATGGGGATTATGATTGGGCAGCATTTCGGCGAATTTCTTGCGCACCTCCAGGCAAAAGGCTCTTGGTAAATCAGTTCTCCGGATGAGGGATTGGGCCACTCGCACGGCAATGCAGTACCTCTTGAACCAGGCCCACTTGTGCACATCTCCGGTGGCTCCAGCGGAGGAGGAGTTGGGCAGCCCAACATCCAGCTGCATGTCGCAGGCCAAGGCGGCCAGGGTTTTGAAGTAATCCGAGTGCATCAGGTGAATGCCGCCGCGCACCTGCGGCTCCTCGTACTCGTACTGCCGCAGCAGCTCCGGGATGAGCGGTTGGAGGAGCGAGGAGAGCGCGGGATCCTGCGGACGAGGTGCCTGTTCCAGGAGCAGCACACCATGCAGCTTGCGCAGCGACCAGATCCTCTGAGCCGTGGTCAAAGCTCCCAGTTGCGAGCAGGCGGCCAAAGCGGAGGCTAATCGGAGTAAAACACTCGGTTGGCGAGGAGCCAGGCGGGAATCCAAAAGCGACATGACCAGCGCCATCGAGGGTTGGGATAAGACTGCCCTATCCGAGCCACTCTCGCCCAGCGTCGCCGCCGGCATGATGGCGTGCACCCAGAAGCGCCAGCCCCATCCGTTCACCGAGCTGTCCGATGAGAACTTCCAGCGCAGCTCGTCGCCAGGCACTCGAATTTCCGGCGCCCAGTGGGCAAACTCCCGTCCAGATCGCATGGCCAGCACTCTTCCAGTTCCATCCATGATGACCAACGGATCGTTGCGCTTCTCCGTGCTGCACTGGCTGTCGAATTCCAGGCGCAGCATCTCGGCTCCTGGTATGCGAACCACTCCCGTGACATTCACATTATCCACATACGGATGGCTGCTCTCCTGCATCACCGGTTTGGGTAGCTTGCCCAGGCAATGTCTCGAGGTGCAGAGATCCTCCAGTTCCGTGATGCAGGTTTCCAGCAGCATGGCTGCTACAGGCGGTGCTCCAGCGCCCAGGGAGATCAGTGTATCGCCTATCGTCTGAGCGGTGCTGGGAGGTCCACATCTTCCACACACTGCTAGTTTAAGCAGCTCCACCAGGCTCTTGGCCTCCGGCTCGCCCAGCAGCCCGCCAAAGTCATCCAGGCCATGGCAGTGATGGCTGAGCATCTCCTCCTGCTGCGTCATGGTGGCCGCCATCACGGACATGGCGCTGGCCGACATCCTCGAGTGCTTGTGCTGTGGCAAGGCGCTGCTCGAAAGGGATCCTGAAATGGACAGGGATCCCGTCAAGCTCTGGAAGGCGCTCAGTGGCCCGGCGGGTAGGGTGGGTAATCCTGGTGCTTCTATCGCCGCCTCGGGACTTTGCTCTTGGAGGGCAGCATCTGCGGCATCAGCGGGCGCTTCACCGCCTCCCTCCTGGAGAGCTGCTCCTCCTACGATGGCTGCTCCGCCGCCTAGTTGATCTTCCTCTGCTCCTGGGACTCCCCCTCCTCCTCTTTCCTTGTAGTTCACCTTGCTGTGACTGGTCAACGCAGCCACGATGAGCTGTCGCGCCTGCAGGATGCTCATGGCGCGCAGGACATGACCCAAAGCAGCCTGCCTGGCAGCAGGCGTCTCCAAGGCGAGGCTCTCACTCAGGCTGCAGAGATTCAGGGGCTTCCCCTCCTGTTTTACCGCCTGGACAGTTTCCGCCTCGTAGATTCCCAGGCTGCTTCCTCCGAGAGGATCCCTTGTGCTGCCAAAGGGCACTGGTCCGCGCTTCTCCTCATCCAGCGAGGCATTCGGCAGACCCCAGGCGATGGAATGCGAGCTCCCGCAGGCCACGCGGTTCACGAAAACTGCATCTAGTCCGATGACCAAGGCGGGCTTCTTGTTCACAAACGTATTTCCGCTGCCCTGCTGTCCGTGATCGTTGTCGCCCCAGGCGTAAACCTGTCCGGCATCCGTGACAGCCAGGCAATGGAGGGCTCCCACGGCCACGTGGATGACTCTCCTGCCTCTTAATCCTCCAATGGGTTGCGGCTTGCGCACATGCTGATCTCCGCCGTGTCCCAAGCGATAGTAGTCGCCCTTGCCCCAGGTCCAAACCTCTCCAGCTCGCGTCAAAGCCAAGCTAAACTGGGCTCCGCACTCGATCTGCACCACGCCGATCCCCGAGAGCCTTTCTATCTCGTGTGGAGTGTCCGATCCCTCGCTGCCGCCGCGTCCCAGCTTGCCAAAGTCGCCATCTCCCCAGGAGTACACAGCTCCATCTTCAGTTAGGGCCAAAGTCTGAGCATCCCGACTGCCGCAGGCCACCTGGATGACGCGACGTCCCGCGAGGGCAGCCACTAACTTGGGTTTCAACTGGGTGGCATTGTCTCCATGTCCCAGACGACCGTACTCACCCAATCCCCAGGTGTAGAGCTCTCCCTGGCTGCTGATGGCCGCCGAATGCGAGGAGCCGCAGGCCACATCGCGGATTTTCTTGGCTCGCAGGGATTCCACGAGGCGTGGCTTGTCCAGCGTCGTCCGATTGCCGTGGCCCAGCTTGCCATCCTCGCCCTCGCCCCACGAGAAGACCTTTCCATCCAGGGTCAAGGCGAGGGCATGCTTGCCTCCCGAGTGCACAGCCACCTTCTTAACCACATACTGATGCAGCACCGGCAGCTGGTGAGGCAGTGGAACATTGTGGGTGACTCCCAGGCCCAGACGTCCATTGGTTCCCTCGCCGCAGGCATAGACCTTGCCATCCTGGCTCACGATGAAGAGGCTTTTGGATCCCCCAGCTATGTGGATGGGTCGCAAACGACTGATGGTCTGCGAGAAGGTGGGCACTTTGACCTTGGATCCCTTCAGCCCGCCCAGCTGCTCCTTGTCGTTGAGGCCCCAGACCATCACGGTGCAGGGCAGATCCTGTTCAGCGGGCTCTAAATTATGATTGCTTAGGGATCCCGCTGTTCCAGCTGCTCCTCCACTATATTCACTGGCCAGAAACTGTGCGTTGGCCAGGATATGCTGAAGATCCGGCTGCTGGCGGCGTCCCACGAACTTCAGGCCATGAATCTTGCACTGGATGCCGTTGTTCTGGCACTGCTTGACCACCACCTCCACCCAGGGATAGTAGGTGGGCACCTGCTGCATGAGGAGCACTTTACTGGCGCCCGCTGGCACTGGGATCCAGGTGTATTCCTTCAAACTATCCACACACTCACCCACGCGAATCTCCAGCAGCGACGGCATGTGCGAGTGATCCTCGGGACTGACTTTTAGGGTGAGACTATGAACCAGGATGCGGTCGTGCAGCTCCAGGCGTATCCAATGGCGACAGGGTCCCGTGGAGCAGCTCTGCCAAGGCTGATTGCTTCCGTTTAGGAGATGCTTGGCCGCCGCCTCGTTGGAACTGACGGTCAGCGAGCGGATGCAGCGGGACCAGTCCTCGATAAGATCGCTGGGTGATTCTGCAGCTCCCAAAGGAGCGAGATTCGTGGCCATCAAAGGGGTAACCAGTTCCACCTCGTTGATGTGACCCTGCCAATTAAGCAGTTCGGGAAAATCCACCGTGAGCTGCTTGCTCCTCACCGAGGTCACCACTCCAGTGGCCGCTCCCTGATTCCTTCGCATCTGGCAGAGCATTCCGTAGCGCAGCGAGGAGGTGCGTAGCTTGACCCTCGCTCCCACCGCAATTGGCGGTGGGCGTGGCTGATGGGCAGCCTGTGCCGCCTCCACCAGTTCAATGTGCACGAAGCAAACCCAATAGGTGCTGCCGTGATTGCGCCAGTCCACCTGCACATTGAGATCGTGCAGACCCTCGGTGTCCACGATGAGCACGGTGCCCATGTCGCCCTGCTTGATCTCCTCGAAGTCGCGGCAGCAGCGCACCGTCATCCCAGGACGCACTAAACCGCGTACATATAAGGCATAGAGATCGGCGGTCTGGAAATCCTTGCGAGATTCGAATTTCACAGGTGGGGTGGCCACTGGTGCACCCTCCACGGTGTCCGAGGAGGCGGAGGAGGAGCTGCTGGACTCGGAACTGGGGCAATCACAATCCGAATCCGCTTCGGGATCATGCGAGGGAGCATCCTCTTCAATCGTATTCGCACACACATCCGGATGCTCGAGTATCCATTGGACTATTTGCTCTGGGGTGGGCATAATCTCCGCCTGCAGCGACAGCTGCTTGAGGGCAAACTCCACGGTGCGACGGGTGAAGCCCATTTCCATTATCTGGTTGATGAGCTGAGCATCTGTGGCTGCCGCCGGCCACTTGGATTTGGTTTCCGCTGGGGGATCCAATGGTTTCTGCTCCTTCTTGGCCACATTGTAAACGGGAACGCCGTGAACCATCGTGGGTTGCGGTGGTGTAGCCATGGGATGTGGATTAGAGGGTAGATTGCAGCTTCCCTCGCTGATCTCCTGATGCGCCTGGGTGGCCAGCGATTGGATGCAATTCAGGGCAGCCGTGGCCAAATCCATGTAGCTATAGCAGGCTTTTACTGGTGATGCCTGAGTGGCTCGCAAGAGGATGCACTGTATCAGTAGCTGCGATTCCTGGGCAGCCGAAAGCTGTTGTTCCTGCGGTTCCTGCTCCTGGGATTCCGACTTCTGCTGCTCCTCGCCGGCTGCATAAATCATCCCCGGAGCCCTTTGCTTGAGAATTCGACGCAGGGCCACCTGGTGGCGATATAGTACTCCATTCGTGTGCAGCACAGCCAGCTGCAGTTGCTGCGCCCGCAATAGGGTTAAATCCAAGCGACCATCGGGACTACTGGGCAGATCCCGGAGTTCCTGGGCTGGACCATAGAGCAACACCGTCCAGGCGTTCAGCAGCATCTCATTCATCGGCAGGCGGCTCAAACTGAAGACGCTGTGATCCAAATGGGGCATTAGCGCGGGGAGCGGCACCTTCACGAATCCCAAGCCCGATGAACCAACGCCTCCTGGCGCCAGCAAACAACGTCCCTTGGGCGTGAAGCTGGCTATCACCATGTGGCTGCCCTCGTGGAAGCAATGGAGTCCTACACGCGGCCGCAAATCATGGCCACCCATGGCACCAAGGACTCCGAGCACGAAAACCTGTTCGCTGTCCAGCGGCGATTGCTCCGCCAGCAGTTCGGCGGCCACGCAGAGTTTCTGGGCGAGAAACGAGTTAATCACCGGATTCCAGGTGGGCAGCGTGTGCAGGCGACGCAGCAGGGCAACCAGTTCCTCCGCCACGCTGCCCGAATGCGAGGCGGTCAGCAGGACGCGGGCCTTGCCCTCCGAAGTGGGCAGCAGACTGGCATCGCCGGGACAATGGAGTGCAATGCGCCCGAGGGTGGCAAATAGTTGATGCACTAGGGCAGGCATTCGCGGCTCCTCCTCGACGCCCCACATGGCCAGGATGAACTGCAGCAGGCGCAGGCAGTGGAGCTGCCGGTAGACACCCGCCTCGCTGCCCGCCGGCTGCTCCAGCAGCGAAAGGTAGTGGCTCAGCCAGTTGGGGGTGCTGAGCTCCAGGCAAAGGCGTGGGCAGTCACCTTTAAAAGAAATACAGAGTGGGTTTAGGAAACCAAATTTTTATTAGTAAAAATATTTTGCATATTTGTCCATTTTCGGTCCGATTTTTACCGAAATTTCTAGGTAGCGGTCATATTTTTCAAATGTAATAAATTTGGATGCATATCGAAAATATGAAAAAAAATAAATGCATAAAATATGCAAAATATATGAAAAATATGCTAAATATATGCAGAGTGGGTTTAGGAATTCAAATCCTTATTACTAGACCTCGGATTTTGCATATTTGTTAATTTTCGGGCCGATTTTTACCAAAATTTCTAGGTAGGTCTCATATTTTTCAAATGTAATAAATTCGGATGCATATTGGAAATTTGCAAAATATATGCAAAAAATATATGGATAAAATATGCAAAATATGCGAACAACTGGAGGCTCAAAATTTTAATGTAGCCCTCTGGTATTCTAAGCAATTTAAACGAGCAGTTTGGCCGATAGGGCCTAAAACTATTCTGCCCCTTTTACTATTGTTACCCCCTTCTCGCCTACTCGTTGGAAATATAAATAGGGTTTCCTTAAATTTGGGAAAAAATTAGATATCTCAGAAATGACGAAAAGGAACAAACCATTTTCTTCGGTTAAATTAGGTTGGCTATTAAATAATCAATCTTGAATAGTTGAGTTTATTTTACTTTGCATATTTTATGCATATGCATTTAATGTAAATATGCAAAAAAATATATATTAATTTTAAACTATATTTTTATCGAAACGAACTTTGGTGTTTTCGGAATTGATCTATCTTTATCCTATAAAAATATGCAAATATGAAAAATCCGAGGTCTACTTATTACCAGTACTCACCCGAAATAGCCCGAATAAAGCCGAGATTCAGCCAGCCCAGCGAATGAGAGATATTAGACATGGTTGGCTTGGGGTAGATGATGGCTCGGAACATGCTGGTCATCCCGCGCAGCGCATGCTTGTCCAGCTGGGCACCGTGTAGTCCCGTGCCCACGGCCAAGATCTGCAGCAGTTTGGCGGCACAGTGGCGCAACAATTTCGAGGGATGCGAATCGCTGCTCGGCGAGGATTCACTGCCGGCCACGTCCTCCCGTTCCGGTTCCGTGGGCGAGGCCACATTGAGCGCACTGTCCGCCAGCTGGAGATCGTACTGACCCTCCTTGCCCATGCGATACGAGTTGGTGGCTCCCGTGTACCATTCCACGCGGACCCAGCTACCGGAAAATCGAGAGAATAAGTTGGAAATTAAATTTCATTCAATTTCTGTTTTATCATAGTATGCCATGAAATTTCTGATTTGTTTAATTCAATTATATGTGAAATAAATTGAATGTTTTTCTAATTCATTTCGAATTGATTTAGTTCTTATATAGCATATTTTTATTTATGGCGTTGATCAACCAACTTAATGGTTATAATTTCGAATTGAATGAATCTTTTAAGGACAAGAAGTGGAAAATTTTTAACAAATCAATGTTAGCTGCATAGTAAATAAAATTTAATTTAATAAGATTTAATAACAAAATGATGACCCTTTCTTCTTCTAAAGAAATTGTCGTTTGAATTATTTCGGAATTTATGCCATTCAATCATTCAATTCTATTAAACTCAAAATTCAAATTTATTCAATTTTATTAAACTCAAAATTCAAATTTATTCAATTCTATTAAACTCGAAATTCAAATTTATTCAATTCTATTAAACTCAAAATTCAAATTTATTCAATTCTATTAAACTAAAAATTCAAATTCATTTAATTCTATTAAACTCAAAATTCTAATTCATTTATTCATATAAAACAAAAAATGCATTGAATCCATTCATGCAGGGCTCTATTGGAAAATCTCAATCAGGGGTTATCTGAATCACTTACCCATCTTCGCCCACCTCGCTGATGATGCGTCCCTCGCCGGGCGGATTGCCATCCTGGTCGCCCCACTTCCAGTCCGCTCCGCGCACAATCCGCGTGCCGATCTTCATCAGCTTGGCCAGATCGGGACCACTGAGCTGCGCCTTGCTGGACTTTTGCTTGAGCACGCTATCCTCGTACAGGATGCTTAGTTCGCCGTGCATTTGGCCGCCGCTCGCTCCCTCGCCGCCTGTTTGCGCCAGCAATCCCAAAACAGTGCCCAGCAGTCCGGAGTTGATGAGCAGGCCCAGTTCGTTGGGTCCCAGTTCCTTGGCGAGCAGTCCAAAGACGCTGAGAAGGAAGCGGGCACGTGGCAGTCGCTTGAGGAGCACATAGGTGCCCAGATTGGTGCTATCCTTGCCGCGGGCATGTCCCTGCTGCTCCTGGTTGACCAGCCGGCGCAGCTCCCGCACTGCCCAGTCGAGGACGCGTGCCTGGGCGAGCAAAAGCCGGGCCTTCTGGTAGGCACTTATCATGTTTAGCTGGCCAAGAACGTGGAGAGAGCTGCCGGAGTTAACTGATCCTCCAGATTTCAAGTGGAGCCCCAGGAAACCATTGAGCAGACTGTACTGCGCCGCATCCAAAAGGCCATGCAACTCGAGCAGCTGCTGGACAAGCTGAAGCCCGGCCAAACGCAACTGGTATCGCTGCATTTGGCAGTACATTGCTCGTCTCGCCGTCTCCACATCGCAGCTGTCCTGCAGGGCAAAGTCCACAATGTCCTGCATGAGCACCGCATCTAGCTCCCCCTCGCCATGCAACTGCCGCTCGTTGAGCCGCCGCAGCAGCGTCTCCTCCTCCTCCAGCTCCAGCTGCTTGGCCAGCGGCTTCTTCTCCTGCTCCTGTTGAATCGAGGCATTCACTAGATCCTCCGGCTTCGCAGGCTGCCGCGAGGAGCGCAATTCCTGCAGGAGACGACGCACCAGCAGGCGAAAGCGCGGCGGACGCTGCAAAATGGGCAGGCGACGCAAACCACGCTGTTGCGGACTGATGGCCGGTCGCACCTCGTAGAGAAGAAAGCGCAGTCGCTCGAGGATGGGGGCACAGACCTCCTTGTAGCTGCGGTTCAGCTGCTGCCGCGTGCGAACCACCGACCATTTGGCCTGATGCACCAGCCGAATGATCTCGCCCAGCTGCCGCGGCGGCAGGGATTCCGTTGTCTCCAGAGCACTCAGCACCAGGCCGCCGAGATACTGGTGACGAATGAGCACAGCGCTCAGCAGGCGCTCCAGCTCCTGGACGGGATGCTCGGTGGCGAACTCCTGGTGCCACATCAAGTTGTGCGCCTTGCAGTAGCGCTCCGTAAGCGAAAGCCAAGCGGCCACCGGTGGCTCCGTGATTCGTGCCTCCGCCAGGCTGGCGATAAACGCATCCGCTCGCTGCTGCAACTGGGATTTCCCTCTCCCCGGATTTAATTGCTGCTGCAGGGGCAGCGGAGGCGGCTGCTCCGTGGGCGTGTTGCCCGCCGTGCTGTGGCAGCTGTGGCTGCTGCGCGCCTCGCCCTTCTCCTCGTCGAAGGGATTGCTCGGCTGGAGGAGCTGTAAGCCACCGCTTAGCAGGCTGGACTTGTCCAACTGGCGGCACTGAAGCTCCGCCGGCTGAAGAGCGGGTCCGCTGCACATCAGGTTGGCCACCAGGCCGAGAAGCTGCGCCAAAACGCACTCCGAGCTGAAGTGGGTGAGGCGACTGGGTCCGGGAGACGATGTCTAAATGAAATAATGGGAGAGATATCATCGTAAGTCAAGGAATTCAAATCTACTTTAAGGTGTAATCTTACCTTCTCCTCGTTGCTCGCCTGAGCCATGTACTTGCCCAGCTTGTGGTGCTGCAGGATGTGCTCCATGGCGCTCCTGTGCACCTGGCCGCTCATCTCGGCGGTGAGATCCTTGCCCAATCCAGAGTCCAAAAGGGTACGCAGTGTCTCCGACTCGCAGCTGCAAAAAATAACATATAAATTAATAAAGATTGGAGTAAACAAGAAAGAAAGATTATATACCCTTGCAGATCATTCCTATTAATTTACAGATTACAGCCCGTTAGCTAGTACTCATAGAATTCATAAGATTTAGTATTGTATACTTGATTTAATTTTGTTAATATAAAAAAATACAAATTTCAAAAATGTTAAATTTTCTATAATTTCTCATTAATTTTCCGATCGTTCCTATGGCAGCTATATGATATAAAATTACGGAAATATTTAAAAAGAGTCATTATACCAGAGAATACAATAAAAACCAACGGAGCTATAATTTATTTCCTATTATATTTCTATCCTTCCTATGGCCGCTATTTGATATAGTCGTCCTATGTAAATAAAATTAAATTCAAAATTCAGAATTAAATAAAAAGTGGTATTCCCAAAAGTAGAAGGTAATATGTCAAAAACATCCAAGACATAATTTGTTTACATTTTTTTCCGATTATTCCTATGGGAATATAATATAATATAAAATTATATTCGAAATTCAGAACTATCAAAATAATGTAATTCCCAAAAGTAGAAGGTTATATGCCAACAAATATGGAAATTAATATTTTTTTTTCGATTATCTTTCCGATCTTTCCTATGGGAGCTATAAGATATAGTTGTTCGATCCGGCTCGCTCCGACTTATATACTAGCTGCAATAGATATAAGACTTTTGGTAAAGTTTCATCCCGATAGCTTCAAAACTGAGAGACTAGTATGCGTAGAAACATACGGACAGACGGACGGACATACGGACATGGCTAGATTGACTGATCTCCAAGGGTATAAAGAAGCATCTTTACTCACTTGTATCCACTCAGATCGCACACGTAGCCGGCCAGGATGATGCAGCGACTGCCGTCGAGCAGAAGATTCTCCATGTCCGCGCGGCGCACATAGTGCGTCTCGGGATCGGCGGGCGGCGGACCGCCCTTGGGCCCGCCGCGACAGATGATGCCGGGCCAGCCCATGTCGTCGCCGTCGCGCAGCTCTCCCTCGCCGAGCGCCCGATTGAGTCGGTCCAACACGCGCAGCAGGGGCAGGAAGAGGCGCGCCCAACGCAGGCCGCCCAGACACTGGGGACGATCGCGCTTGAGCAGCACCAGGCCCACGAGCAGCTCGTGCAGCAGGGCATCCGAGATGTCCGCCTGTAGGACGCGGCCCAGGTGGCCCACCTGGTGGCTGAGGGAATGGTCGCCCGGCTCGCGGCACTGCAGCGCCAATTCGTGGGCCTTCTGCAGCGTGCCGACGCAGGCGGGGATCAGGGCGTGCAGGTATTGCAGCAGCAGAGCCTCCGCCCCGGTGGTCTCCTCCTCGGGCTCCGCCTGGTGGATGTGGGCCAGCAGCAGGCGCTGAAAGCGATGCAGCAGACTGAGACTGGGACTGGTGCTCGGCTCCTGGTGATGCTGCTGCTGGTCGCGCTGCTCCTCCTCCTCCTTCTCCTGCTGCTTGCCCAACGTGGGCGAGAGTCGCGTCTGCGAGAGAGCCGCATTGTTGCCCAGCAGTCGCGTGATCAACTGCAGCAGGGGCAAATGCACACCGTCGCCGCAGTCCGCCGAGCAGGAGCTGCTCTCCAGGCGGATGGCGTGTTGCAGGGCCGACTCCAAGCCGCCCTCGGCCATCAGGGAGCTGACCAGGAGGTCCGTCATGAAGCGGTGGCCCGCGGAGGACGCCTGTCCGGGCTCCGAGGGCAGCAGCGAGGTGAGGGTCTGGGCGCGCTCCGCTGCAGTGGGCAGTAGGACACTCCAACCGTCCTGGTTTAAATAGAAAAAAAAAGGAAAAATAGCGTTTTATGTGTAATTCATCTAGTTATAACCTTGTAGAGGTTATTATTATTTTAGTCAGAAGTTTGTATATTCTTGATCAGCATTTATTTGGTTGATCAACGTCTAAATAAAATTTTATATTAAAAAAAAGAAATGAATAGCATAACTAGACGAGTCGATCTAGCCATGTCCGTTTGTCCGTTCGTCTGTCCGTATGTTTCCACGCAAACTAGTCTCTCCGTTTTTAAGCTACCGGGATAAAGCTTTCCCAAAAGTCTTCTTTCTATTGCAGGTAGTATATAAGTCGGAGCGAGCCGGATCGGACAACTATATCCTATAGTTCTCATAGGAAAAAAACCGTAAAAAAAATTCTAGCTTCGGTGTTTTTTGAAATATTACTTTCTTCTCTTGGGAATATTACTATTTAAATATTTTTGAATTTCGAATAAAATATTTTAAAAAATCTGATTACTATATCATATAGCTGCCATAGGAACGGTCGAACAATTAAATGGAAATGCCAAAATTATACGAAATCAGCTAAAATTTAGATTGTTGTAAGATATAAGCAAGTAAATCTAAATTTAACTTTTTTTTTTGTTTATAGTATAACAATAATTATCTGCAAGGGTTTATAAGCTTCGGGTGGCCTTTCTTGTTTACATATTACTTTCTACTTTTAAGAATATTATTATTTAAATATTGTTGACTTTCAAATTAAATTTTCTTTGACATTTCTAAATTTTGAATTAATTAAAACAACATTTAACGGCTATATTATATAGCTGCCATAGGAAGGATCAAAAATTAATGCCAAAATTATGCGACAGCAGCTAAAAGTTAGATTGTAGTAAATCTATATTTAATGCTTTTTTGAGTATACTATTAACTTCAGAATTTTTATAGAATATTCAGAATATTATTTTATAGCCTCCGTAGGAAGGAAATTGAACATTTTGTAATTTCCAAATTAATAATAATGATCTGCAAGGGTATATAAGCTACCTACCTGCAGAGCCTGTTGAGCGGCCACTTGGATTGTGCGCAGCACTTGGCTCCCGCCTGCCAAACCGAGCACACGCGTCTTGAGGCTGCCGAGGAGGCGACTCCCGCTGGCGAGGCCCACCTGGCGCGGCTCCACTCCGTTGGCGATGAGCGCGAGCAGCTGCAGGCGGATCAGATTAAGGCAGGCGACGGCGATGCATTCGCTCTCCTGGTTGGGAGTCTGCCTGTTGTCTTGGCTGCTGCACATGCTCAGCAATTGGTCCAGCAGGCGGAAGGTGGGCTCGCCCAGGTCAATCACAAAGGGGGCACGCAGTGGAACACCCTGCTGGGAGCTCTGGGTCCACACTAGACTTTGGGCGCTGGTGCAGGCGATTCCGCTGGCGGGGAGCGTGGGCAGGGCAACCAGAATGGGCGTACGCAACAGGGGTTCGCTGGACACGGAGGCTGGACAGATCTGCTGGCTATCGTTGCGTCCCCAGCCGAAGACTTCGCCGCTGCTGGAGAGCGCCAGACAATGGGCCACACCCACGGCCACGTCCACAATGCGTTTGTGCTGAAAAAAAGAGTTAGGAAAGTCAGATAAAATCACAGGATAACAAAGCAGACAACTCACCTGCAAACTGCTGACGAGACGCGGAACACTGCAGCCCTGGACACTGCGCTCCACCAGCTGGTGGCCCAGGCAGGTGGCCTTGCCCCAGGTGAATAGCTGACCCTCGCTGCTCAGCGCCACCGAGAACTGGGAGCCCGCAAAGATGCGCTGCACGCGGGGCAGAGATTCCACGAGAATTGGCTGCAGGCTTCCATTGCAATTGCCATTGCCCAGCTTGCCATAGTCACCATCGCCCCAGGCGAACACCAATCCCTTGGAGGTGAGGGCCAGCGAATGGGCATCGCCACTGCCCAGGGCCACGTCCACCACCATGTGCTCGGCCAGGGCCGCCACCAGCGTGGGCAAACAGCGATCGTCGCTGTTCCCGTGGCCCAGACGAGCGTAGGTGCCGCGGCCCCAGGTGAGCAGGTTGCCGCCGCACGTGATGGCCGCACTGTAGGAGCAGCCACAGTAAACGGACTGCACGCAGTGCTGCTCCAGGGCAGCGATCTTGGTGGGCACCGCCCGGGCATGCGTGTCGCCGTGGCCCAAACGGTGATCCTCGCCAGTGCCCCAGGAGTAGGCGTTGTCTGAAAGGGATCAGGGAGATCGGGATTAGCTGTATTGCATCATAAGATGAAAGGAAAAGGGGTTTTTTTAGTTTGCTAACGCTAAAAAGCATGCTACATTTTGCGTTCGAGAGTAATCGAAAGTCCTTATCAACATGAAAAATAGTGATTTATCTATAAAAATAATTAAAATTTATAATATTTTGTTTCTTTTGAGGTAAATTAAAGTGCTAACTGTCAAAACACTTAACGTTCTACTAAAAAAAAATTTTTTAAATAGTTTTACAATGGTTTTTAAGTGAATGATAATACAATATTTCAAACACTTGTAACAGTTATCAAAATGAAAAAGAGTTATTTCCTTATAAAAAAAAATCAACAGTTTGTGTTTCTTTTTAAATAAATAAAGGTGCTAACTTTGAAAATGCCTAACGTTCTATAAATATGAAAAAAGTGATTTTTCCTATAAAAATAATCAACATTTCAGACTTTATATTTCTTTTAAATTAACCCTTAAAATTCTTAACGTTCTATAAATATTTGTAAAAACCATATGTTAAAAATGGTTTTACAATGCCTTTCAAAAGAATGTTTATACAATATTTCAAACATTTATAATCAGAAACCCTTATCTACATGAAAAAGAATGCTTTCCTTATAAACAGAATAAACATTCATGAATAGTTTTAGAGTGGCTTTCATAATAATGTTAATACAATAATCAGAAGTCCCTATCAACATGAAAAAAGGTGAATTTCTAATGAACAGAATTAACATTTCTAACTTTGTATTTATTTTTAAATAAGTTAAGTTCCTATGATAAACTTTAGATAAATATTTGAAATAAATTTGATCAAAATAACTTAAAAGTGGCCTTCTAATGAATAGTTATACAATATTTCAGACAGGGATTTTCTTTTATCCTTTTATCTTTAAACTATTTCAATGCGTATTGGATATAGGGTAAATAATATTTAGGATCGTTCCACTTACGGTTGCTGTCGATGGCCAGGAAGTGTCGCCCCTCGCAGTGGCCGGCGATGCTGATGAAGACCTCGTGGGCGACCTCCTCGAGGGGCAGGGGCTCCGCCTCCGGCTTGGCCAGTCGCCAGGTGTGCAGCTTGCCCTCCTGACTGAGGATGAGCAGCTGGCTCTCGCAGCAGGCCACCTGCTTCACCTGAAAGCGGCAGCTGAGCAGCGGCACGGACGTAGCCTCTCCGCTCCAGCTGAGCGTCGGTTCGGCGCTGAATCCCTGCTGATCCTTGGACAGCGAGGGCCAGCCCAGTGCGTAGATGCGCTGCTGTGGAGCTGAGGACGAAGCTGTGGAGGAGGCGGTAGCCTGGCCACCACCATTGCGCAGCAGGCAGCGCGGCATCAGCGGCTGCACCAGGCGGTCCAAATGCGAAATGATGACGACGGCGGCGCGACGCAGATCCACAATGGCCGCACTGCTCTTGGGCAGCGAAAGAAAGCGCAGGAAGGTCTCCGTGGCACTGGCCACCGGCGCAGGTTCTCCGCCCGCCATGCCTGCTCCCTTGACGTTCGCTCCAATCCTCTGATAGCGCAGGAGGATGCGCTGCAGCGGAGCGCCCGTCTTGCGCGGCATGTCCCTATTGTCGTTGCCCGCGCGATCCTTCTCCCAGAGCATCAGCAGCAGGACGACGCACTCGAGAGTGGCGGCCAGCGTGCCCTTTTGCACACCGAGCTCGAGGAGAAGGCACAAAGCGGTGTGCCTATCGTTCAGGGGAGCAGTGCATCTTCCACCCATGGGATCGCCCAGCGCCACCAGGCGCAGGAACTTGATGGAGCGCTCCATCACCTCCAGCCAGAGCGAGGAGACCACGGCCGCCTCGAAGAGCGTGGCCTCGGGCAGCTCCTGCAAAGAAGCCAGCGCCTCGCTGAGCAGCTCGCTGCACATTTCCGTATCCTCGCCGGAACGCCAGGCGCGTCGCAGGAAGGCAAAGCTAAAGTTTAAAGCCGCCCGCGTGGCCACCCTTGCCAAACCAAGGGCTCCGTGCTCCGAGGGCTGCTCCGCCGGCGGCTGTGGCTCCACAATGGTGGTGGTGCTGCTGCTGCTAGCCACCGCTGGAGTGCTGTTGCTGGGTTGGCGCTCCCTTTCCCTCTCCCTTTTCAGCGCCACGAAATACCGCTCGTAGACAAAGAGCTGCTGGCGAAGATGCTGGGCGGACAGGCAGTTCCCAGCCGCCCGCAGCGCCAGCTCCTGCAGCTCGGCGATCATGGAGCGCTGGCACTCCAGCCTGGCCTGCTGCGTGGGCGGCAGACTCCAGAGCCAGCCACTGAGCACGGCATCGGTGGCCTGCTGGGCTGCCGCCTGGCTGGTTAGCTTCTTGATGGCCGTATCCGAGTCCAGGGGACGACAGCCATCGCAATTGCAGGCGGAGAGCGGGCCACAGTAGTCCGGCTGGCAGCAGGAGCACTTGAGCTGCTGGGCGCCGCAGTAGTGCTTCCCGTCGTCGCCCAGGTAGGATAGTTGGCCCCGCGCATTCAGCAGGGGCGGCGTGGGCGAGGAGACCAGTTCGCAGTCCTGGATGAGGTGATTCCAGAGCACGGCGCCATTGGCGGAATTGCGCAGGGAGGCGATGAGATCGGCGCGCAGCCACTTGGCGTCGAGGAAGGGCAGCGGGCGCAGGTAGAGATCGGGTGATGCAGCTGCTCCTCCTCCTAATCCGAATCCTCCTCCTCCGGAAGATGCAGTGGCTGTGGTTTGGGCGGGAGCTGCTCCTCCGCTCGCCTGGCGGTTGAACATAGTGGGTTTTTCTAGTCCTCCTCCTCCTTCTCCTGCTTTTCCCCACTCAGCCTAGAAACATGGCACATTTTCCCCTGTGCGAGGGGGTGGCAGTGGGAGGTGGGTGGGTGGTTGGGGGCGGGTCAATGTCGTCACTCGCACACACACACACACGCACAACTGCAGTCGTTGGGAATCCAATTCCAGGATCAGGATTATCCGTTGTTATCCGCACTCCGCACTGCTCATTCTGTTCCCTCGCCCGCAGTTACGACTCCCGCACTTGGTAGCCCTCCGAAAATCACACTTTCCTTTAATAATCACCCGTCAATTGCAAATATAAGGCGAGTTTCAAAGGAATATTTTTAAATGGAATAAAACTCTGGCAATCGATATCAAGGGGGAGGTGCAAACTGAGGACCACACTATCGATATGCTTCGCTGGGCGATAGTTTCTAGCCGTGACCCCGTCGCAGTCACTGGATTCGATTGCAGTCACTGTTTGGCTAACGGAAGAGTACAGTAAACTCAAAGATGTATTAACGAACGAATTTTTTATGGAACAACTATTATTATTATTATATTCATCATTTTTGATTTCATTATTTATTTTATCCCTAAACAAACAAATCTATTGCAGTTTTTAAAATTAAATGAAATAAAATTTTCACTAATTTTAAATTTTTTTAAACTTGGTTACAGTATGATATTGGAAATTCGGGACTTTAGTTTTTGACAAAAATTATAACTTTTTTTAGGTTTTTTTGCTGTAACTTGGCCAAAAATGGTCCTACACCAAAAGTACATGCTGTTTTGAACAAATAACAAACAACATAAATAAATCTATGACATTTTCTGGGTGATCTTAAAAAAATTAAAATTTTCCTTATTTTTAATTTATGTTATTTTGCCGTTATCAATTTTGTTATATATGATTTTTTTTTTAAAGTTTCAGTTATGGAAATCATCAACTTATTTGAGGCCAGATATTCTAAGAAAGCAGTAAATTCTTGGAATACAACCAATTTTTGGTTTTCTTTCTCTGTTACTGGAAACCGATGCAATGTTTAAGGGGACCTTTTATAAAAGGTTTTGTTTTGTTTTTATATTAATATGCAGGCGATCAATTTTGGTTTTGGCTTTCTTTATTTTCTCCGTTTTCGCTATGTTATTTTTAAAAACAGCTGAACTGTATTACAGTCTCAAAACTAGATATTTGATTTATATTGAAATAATAATGTTCTATAATTTTCGGTTAGTATATGAAATCTATAATAAAATCACTTCACTTGAAGGAACGACAAGCAGTCCCCAGCTACTTTTTCGTGGTATTTCGAGCGGCGGTCACACTGCACAGCTGAGCCAAAACCAATAGGAACCCGATTCCAATCAGAAGTTTGAAAAGTATCGATCCCCCCCAGAAATTCGGGAGCAGAGGGCCAGGATGACGTCGCGCAACCTGACGGAGGTGTTTGTCATCATGCGCAACAATGCGTCCAAGAACCGGAGTCACTACGACGACCGGGTAAGCTGAATGTATATAAATCTAAGGTGAAATTGGATTGTGACTTGGCATATGTTTGGGCTGATCCCAATTGGGATTACGATTGCGATTCCAGCGGGGCAGCGATGCGGAGCGCCTGCTGAAGCACTCGGTGCGGGAGGCGGAGGAGGGTCTGGAGCTGCAGGACGACTACGGCACGCCGCCGGCCTGGCTGGACAAGTTCGAGGAGGCGCAGTACACGATGTCGAAGTGGGTAAACTAAATCCCATCATTCTGCATTCTATATTATTCCTCCTCTTCTGGTTAGGATCAAACCCAAGCTGGATGAGCTGGGCTCGCTGCATGCGCGGCACCTCCTGCGACCCGCTTTCGATGACCAGCAGGACGACGAGTGCGACATCGAGGTGCTCAGCCAGATCGTCTCCAAGCTGATCACCTCCACGCACCGGCACATCCAGTGCGTCCGCTCCAGCATCGGCGTGGGCAGCAAGGTGGAGCAGTGCCTCACCGCGAATGCGGTGCACTGTGCGCTCCTCCAGCTGCAGGAGCTGACGGTCAAGTTCCGGGCCAGCCAGAATGCCTACCTTTTGCAGCTCAACTCCAGGGAGGAGCGATCCCAGAAGTATTTCGAGGATAAAAGTGACGGAGGAGAAATCTTTACCAACGTGGAGCTGGGCGAGAACTTTGTGGACTCCTTTGACAACTTCCTGCAGCCTCCAGCGGCGGAGGGAAAGGTTTCTGGCAATAGCTACCTATTTTCGGACGACGACCAGGCCATAGATGACCACTTCCAGCGGCCGCCAGCCAGCAGGATGACCCAGCAGCAGCTACTCCTCTTCGAGGAGGAGAACTCGCGGGTGGCGCAGCATCGCGAGCAGGAGGTGACCAAGATAGTCCGTTCCATCTACGACCTAAACGACATCTTCAAGGATCTGGGGCACATGGTGCAGGAGCAGGGCACCGTCCTGGATCGCATCGACTACAATGTGGAGCAGACGCAGACGCGCGTCTCGGAGGGATTGCGGCAGCTGCACAAGGCGGAGATGTATCAGCGCAAGAATCGCAAGATGTGTGTGATTCTCGTACTGGCTGCCATTACCTTCTTCATGCTGCTGCTGCTCATCCTGACCAAGCTGTAGGGTTAATCCAATTCCAATTCCATATGTGTGTATATTGTAAATGTATGAATACAAGTTATATTTATTATTTATTGCTAATGCTAAAAAAAAAGAGAAAAAGAAAAAGCTACTCAATCACATGCGCTCCGAGAGGCGCGAGGCGACGGCCCGCAAATTGCCGTACACCTTGCTGGGCGGCGATCCCAGGATCAGATTGCAGACCGCCCGGCGAGCCAGCTGGATGTTCTGGTAGCTGCCGAGGATGTGGATCTTGCTGTCGGCCAGCACGATGCGGGTCTTGGTCACGTTCTCGATGGTGAACTTGGTGCGTCCGCCCTTGCCGGCCAGCCGACCAATGGCCCTTGACTGGTGGTCACCGCGCAGCGTCTTCACATCCTTAATTTCGAATGACTCTACGAACAGATCCTCCAGCCGGAGCAGCGCCAGAGCATCGTCCACCTCGAAGCCGCAGAGAAAGGCGCGCACAAAGTCGGCGCCACGCTGGAGATTAGCTATATCCGGCGTCTCCGGACCCACGCGCAACTCCACCTGGCGCGCCTTCATGTTGAAGCGGATCTGCAGCTTCATGTGCTCCACGACGGGCGTGAAGATCTTCATCCAGTGCTCCTTCAGCGAAGAGTACCTGTGCGGCGGCACCGACACCTTGCGCAGCTCGCTACGGGCCCGTTTGGCCTTTGGAGGGGCTGATCCTCGCGAGGTTCCCAGTGACTGACCCTCGATTCCGGTCGCCTCGTCCACCTGCATCTCCACGTCGCCACTGGTGGCCCCGCGCTTGGCCGCCCTCTTCGCCGGCTCGAATGCGTCCGCCTTGATGTTCTCTGCCTCCATTTTGGGTTGTCCTGGCTCTGTATTTCTCGCAATTTGCGTTTTGTGTTGTTATTCAGCGCTATATTTATTTCCACGTGCTCGCGATATTATTGTTGCTCCCAGGCTATCGGTTATCGATTTGAGTCGCGATTGAAGCTACACCAACGGTCACGCTTAAATGTCAGCTGGGCTAGTGGAGACACACACCCGCTGGCGGCACTGAAATAAAATTATAGCTGGAATTTATGAAAACAAGCTAACTATACACAGCTGTAGGAAAAATAATAGCACCCTTTTTGTTGTGAAGGAAACTTATGGAAGAAACCTGAATTTGTTTTGGGTTCTTTCGTCGTGGTTATGTCAAAAAAAATGCCTCAATTGTTTTGTCCAGCTAATAATATAAGTAGACGATCCGCTTAACTTATGGAAAGATTAAAAAAGATTTATTTTTGAAAATGTTTCAATTTTTATAACGATTTGGTTTTAATAGCCAGTTGGTTGGGAAATTTAGTAAATATTTGTACACCTTGATGTTTTGTTTTGTGAAAAAAGGCATAGAATATATATAGTACATTTATAGGTAGTGTGAACAGTACTGAAATAGCTATAAGGTTCACAGCAGGCAGCTTTGAGCCTCCTGCCCCCAATCGTTATCGAAATATGCCAATCGAGTGTGCGGGAAAATTCAAACTCTTTCTCAAGCAAAAGTGAAAAGTTTGGAGATTAATTGTGGTCACCGTTCTCGGCCGCGCTCATCTTTTGGCCATTAAAAGTTCGTGGGGCAACAATGGAAATTACTTTTGCATCAACCGCAGCGATAAGCGGGCCATTGCGAAATTTGTAATTTGCAATGCCTCCTGTTTCTCCTGCACTTCAATGGAAAATAAAGTTAAGTAAGCCAAAGTGGAGTTAAGTAAAGTTAAGTACGAGTAATGCGGCCACCAAAGGCAGGCGATAATCTCAAGTTTGCAATTGCACTGGCAATTTGTTTGTTATCTCCTCCGTTTCCTCGTTTTTCCCTCCAGATCCTTCTCCTCATCCTTAGCCCCTTTTTTCGGGCTCTTGGGGAAACTTTTCCCCGAGCATGAGATATTTGAATATGAGCACTGCAAGAAATAATGTCTACATTTCTCTGAGATTCGTAGGTTAATAAATTACATAGATGTAATTAAAAATATATATTTTGAATGATTTTAATGTTCAATATAACAATAATAATTTAAATTTAGTTCTAGGTATTTTTAATTTTATTAGAAAAATTCGTATTATTTCTTTTTAATTTGCGAACTTACAACATTTGTATTTTTTATTTTGATTTATTGGTTTAATTGCTTAATTTTAGAAATACATTTTTTTAAGTGTAAAACAGATATTGTAAAATATTTTTCTTTCCTTTTTTTTAATTTTTAAACGCAATTTCACTGTTCAACCCAGAAGCCTTACTGGTTTTTTTTTTCTCGGTGAAGAAAAATCGTGGCGATATGAGTGCAAATTGCGTTGGCTTTCATTTGGCATGCACTCATTTGGGTTATCTGCTCGCCCACTTAATAAACTTAATGACTCTCGAATCCTTTGGCTGCACATGATTTTGCCAGGAAAATCGCCTAAAAGCGCTCGGCTCTCGAGCTGCCAGGTCAGCTGGTGCCACTCCCACTTTCCACATCCTACAGCCATCCGCCATCCGCCATCCTCCATCCGCCCCCTTGGAGGTCCTTTCGCGTTGTCCTTGGCTGCCGTCGCTCTGAAACGAGAATGAAAACGCGAAATACGCGAAATACACGCGTAAGGGCTTCAAAGGTTCTGGATGAACTGCACCAAAGTTATAATTAGTTGAGGTTAGATTCGGGACAGGACCTCAAAGGCGAACATGTATCCTTGTGCCTGCCACACAGCAAATAAATCAACATTAAATAAGCTCGTTTTTAGATATATTAATTTACCATCATTTTTGATCAATTTATTAAAATTTCTTTTTTTTGGGTTTTAGGAAAAATGTTTCCGAATTTTGGTTTTTTTTTTTAGATTTTTATGTCCGTCCTTTGGTTTCTTATTTTATTTTTTGTTTGGATAATTATATGAAAACCAATTCTTAAGTGCTTGTTTCTACAATACTTATATTAATTGTCGATGCATATTTGTCCGGACTTTTATTACCGTGCATCATTCGCATGTCCTGTGCCCGCAAGGATAATCAGATTAACCGTGGTCCATTTTGGCCCTTTCTTCCTGCTCTTCCTGCTCTCATTTGGCTTCGCCTGTCGCGTATTACTCGGGTTACCAAAAGGTCCAATAAAGGGCCTGTGGTGCAAGTTTTACTTTGCGGAGCCGTTTCGACTTGCGGGTGTCGCCCTAAGGATTCCCCGAATCCTTTCGTTTTCCGTCTTCCGCTGCCCGGAGCACAGTGCGAAATTATTGCGGCCTGGAAGAATGTAAAATATTTTATTGCCCTGTTGTTCGCCGAAATTGAGGCGAGGTGAGCAAAGAAGGAGCAGCACCAAGCAGTTGTCATCTTGAAGAGGCACAGTGGACATTAATCAACTAAAATATATGACAAAAATCTAGCGTGGTAGTTTATAATCGTAGGATATAATTTTCTAAAGAACGAAAAAATATTGTATTTCAATTTTTTGTACCTGCTGAGAGAAAAATTAAAAACAATTGGATTTTATGATATATTGCTTCAAATGTCGCGATAAAAACTATTAAAATTTAAGAAATATATAAAAAAGTGTTTTGAAATAATTTACAGAGGTGTTAAAAGTATGCAACAATATTTTTACCATGTATTTTTACTTAAGCTACCAACTTAATTACCAAATAAAAATTAAATAATTAATCGTAAATAGCAGGGACCGTTAATAAGATTCATTTGAGACTTTTATTTAAAATTATAAATTTAAAGTTACTTAAAAATATCACTTATTTTATTCATGTCCAAAAAGTTTATACAAAAATTTGTTTATGCTTTGAATATAAATAATCCTTTTTACCCTTGTCTATAAAGTGTACAAAAATTAGCCATATTGGTGTTTAAAATATCTAAAAATCTCAGTAGGTCTTTAAAAATCCTGGTAAATACCCTTCTTTTGAATGATCAATGAATTTATGCTTCCACTGTCGATTGCGAAAAGGCTGCAAGCACTAACCACTTGTGTGTAGTTTGTTGTGGCTAATCGGGGGTTGAAGGAAAAGGAGGAGTGGTTCATCATGGATTCATCTGAGGTTGAGGGATATCCGTGTTTTGCAAGTTGTACAAAATGCCGCAACATTTTCATCGACTACAAAATGCCACCGACATTGATAATGAATAAGGGCAGGCGCAGGTTTTATTTTTCTTTATTTTGTTTCTTTAAAAATATGTAGAAAAAAATATACCTATGAATAAAACTTAATTAATTCGATTTTGAGATAGAAAAACTGGTGGAAAAATAGCTTCAATGGAAGGCGAAAATCGTGACGTGCGGTTCCCCAATCTCCTTGGCCATCCAACTCATTTGGTGCTCGACTAATCGCAAATAACACACATCGATTACACATCCCCCCGGAAAAGGGGGCGGCACGGGGGGCGGGGCCCAAGGAAGGCCTTGTCCAAAGAGAGAAAGCGGAAAAACGGCAGGAGAAATAGAAACAGAAACAGAAGCAGAAACAGAAATAGAAACAGAAACAATTAGCACGGAGCAGGACGTAATTGGCGTGCAGTTACGGAGGCTGATTAAAGAAGCAATCATAAAATTAAGACCCATAATCCTGTGCAATTTGGACAAACACACACGCAAACGGAATGGAATGGCATAGGATGGTATGTGATGTGATGGCATGGGGGAATTCCAAGAACACGAAGCCCAGTGGAAGCTAATAATAACCGAACAAAACCAAAGCAAACCAAAAAAGCAGCAGGAGCAAGCAGCATCGGCAAAGCAACAACAGCAACAACACCAGCACAAAAATCACTTTACACGCTCCAAATACGAAACAAATAAGTGTGCGTGTGTGTGTGAGCGTGTGTCAGGGGCGGACGACAAAGGGGGCTAAGGGGTGACCAAGACCCCCACTTCTCAGAAGGTCCAATGAATGGCTACAACCTAAAATTCCGAGTCATTCAGTAATTTTGATACTTTTTTTACTGCAAAAACTATAGTTTTTAAACTAGATTATCAAAATTTAATAATTTAAAAAAAATGTCAAGTGCTTTTTTAATTTGTAATTCAAATTTCAAAGTTTTTTTTATTCAATAGTGGATTGTTATATTCAAAAAAAAAGGGTCTAGTGGGTCTTATTGTAGGACTTTAACAAATATTTATGTCGAACTGCTTGCGATTACTTCAGTAAAAATAACTTTTTAGCCATAACCAACACTTTTATAAGAATGTTTGGTAAATTGATTCCTTAAGTTTCAAAAAATGTAAACCAAAATTATATCTATATCCATAGATTAGCTATTTTATTTACTAAAATATTTATTACTCTAAATGAAACTTACATTCATTATCCCTTAGTATCCCTTGATAATTTCCTATATCTTAATATTTTCTACTGTTTGCAGGCGAATAAAAAAGTTCGGCAAAAGGTGTTAGCACTAAAAAGAAACTTCCGAAATGGCCTATTGATGGACCCCAAAGAAGATATGCTGCCGTTGCCCCTGGCGAGTCTGTGTAAGTGTTCTGGAGTCCAGAGTCCAAAGGCCAGAGTCCAGAGTCGGTAGTCCTTCGTCCTTCGTCTGGACTGCAGTCCCGTTTAAGGGAGAGACGGAGAAGTTGAGCTGCTGCTACGTGCGGCGATTTGTGTGCCCCGTATACCAGTAATGCCGTGCCACAACAGGCAGTAGTGGCAGCCACATCAGATCCGAGAGCAATATGAAACCTTCATTAGCGAGCTGTTTTTCGGGAGGAGGAGTGCGATGAAGGAGGAGGAAAACGACTCCCGCACCGCCGCAACGGATTGAAAACGCTTCCGGCCATACAAATTGTTCGTGAAACGTGAGAAATTAATTTTTAAGGTGGCCACTGGACGGTTCCAGAACTTCAGACATTCCGAACTCCAGAATCCAAAAGTAGAATCCCGAAATGACTATCCCATCTGGACTTGATTATCTGGATGTAAGATGATGAACATTTAAATTTCATGGTAATAAATA